TTTGTAATTATATTTTTGTGGCCTAAAAAAATTTTTCGACGAATCCATTCGATAATTTGAACCCTTTTAAAGAAATAATAAAGAAAAATGAAAAAAAGATTTTTATGTAAAACGAATCATTCATTAACCGCGACACAATTTAGCAATATTTTTACGAAGATTTTTTTTTTTTCTTGTTAATCGAAATTTTTCACTGATTGCAAAAGCTTCTTTGCCAATAGGAACGAAACGAAAAAAATTTAAAGAATGAATAAAATAAATTTTTTTTTTTTTGATAATAATAATCTATGAAATAAATGAATTTTTAATTGAAATAGGAGAAATATGAATGAAATGCGACAGATGGAAATGTAAAATCCGATTAATCGTACATTAAAAAATTTCACGCATTCCATTCGATTTATTGTTATTCACTATTAAAGTTTGGTATTTTCATAAAAAAAAGAGATTTTTTTCTTAAAAAATAGCCGAAGGAGATTTATTAAAATAATACTGTAGTACTATCGTGGAGGAAAAAACAATATTTTAGCAATTAATAATAATATTAATATTAATAATAATAATAGTGATAATAATAATAGTAATAATAATAATGCAAATAATAAATAAAATGAAACGATTCAAGTAAGTACTCGAAAGATGAAATTTCTCGTATAAATAGATAGATAAATTGGAAGATATGCAAGGCATTTCTTTCCAATATCTTCGTATAACGACGTCTATTCATTTATTCATTCGTACAGAAATATTTATCACCATTGATTTATTTATTATTCACTATATTTTAGTTTTAATAAAAAATAATATAAAATAAAATAAATGAGTAAAAAATAAATTGGCCCATATTATTTTTTTTTTTAGGCTTTATTTGGTTGGCCAATTATAAAATAAGATAATTTTGACAGAGGCTTAGCGGAAGAATGTAAAATAGGTAGAATCCGTGTAGATGAAAATTTTTAAGCATTTAAGATTTCAACGAGAGATTTACTTTCGATATTTTATGTAATATATATTCGATATTCGATTTTTTTTTTTTTTGCTTTTATTTCACTTTAAATCACTTTAATTTCACTTATACTTATTTTATTACTTTAAAATTACCAATTTTTCTTTCAAATTTTCTAATTTTACGATATTATTAATTTTTAAAATTTTAAAATAAATGATCGAAAATATAAAGAAGCAAGAAAAAAAAAACAAGTCTTAACAACGAGTTATTTGTGGAAAAATATCAAATAAATTAAATTACAAGTAAGTTGAAGGAAAATTTTCCAGAAAAAATTGCAAATAAATAAGTTTGCATAAATAATTGATTTAATTTTTTTAGATGTCAAAATAATAAAAAATAAATATTTTATATAAAATATTTTATATAAATAAAAGTTTTTAAGCAAAAAGAAAAATTTTTTTCGACTCGATCAGTTTAAAATATTATTTTTAATAAAACTAAAATATATACGAATTTTTTTTTTGATCATATTAGAAATATCTTATCTATGTTATCTTATCATCCAAGGATTCACGCCTTATTAATAATTAGTTTTTACAATCATCAAATAATGAAAATAATGGTTTATTTTAGGATTTAGAATTATAAATTATAAATTTTTTGAAAAATATATTTATAAAATAAGTTAAATTTGTTGAATAGACGATAAATTACGTTTGAAGTATTATAAGCTATCACAATAATATTTGGGAAATGAAGAAAAGATTTGCAAATTTTCAACTCGCTTATGGTAGTCGAAAAGTAAATATTCTCGAAATTTTCAAGAGAAATACACACATAAATGAAATGTAATCAGAAGTACGTACACAATAAAATAAATTTATCTTATCTAATACTTATCATTATCATTGTTAACATAAAGCGAAAATGCTTAATCTTAATGAATTATGCACTTCTTTATTCATGCAAGCGATATAAAAATTTAAATATGGGAAATGCATCATGCGACAAATAAGACAAATTTCCTAGTTGGGAAGCCATTTTATATGTCCATATTGTCGAAGTGATTCTTTAACGAAAGCCTCTAAATCAAGAATCAAGAAGCCAATAGCCAAATTCGATCACTTAAGATAAATAAAAAGAATATAAATAAAAAAAAAGAGGGGAAAAATTTCAACTATGAGGGATAATAAATAATATTTGTAGGCAAAATAAATTTTGAAATTAAAAATTTTTGTGATGATTTCGAAAATGCAAAATAATATTCGATTAGTTCAAGAATTTGAATTTTTTTTTTCTGAAAATTGAATAATTCATATTTAAATAAATAAAATAAATTTTAAACATTTAAATTTAATTTAAAAAGAAAAAAGAGCAATAAACATTATAAATTTTACATTTATCTCATCGATAAGCGAATTTTGTATTTATAAAAAAATTAAATATTTCAAATTAATAATAAATTTAATTAATAATAAATTTAAAATAAATTCTTTTTTAAAAAATAAAAAAAGAAAAATAAATAAATTTAATAAATTAAAATTATTCGAATTTAATTAATTTTTTTTAAAGAAAAACTTTATTAAAAAAAAATTCGAATAAATTTTAGATTTTAATCAACAATAGCTTTTATAGGTAATAAATGAGGTAAATGGACAAAATAAAGCGATAAATATGAGAGACGTCGTTGATTTTGGTTCGTTCGTTCGGTTGTCGGCGATTATACTTTAGCTAAAACAGAAAAATTAGCAAATAAATGAAGAAAGTAAAATATAAAGGGTTTTGTTTGAAAATATAGAAATTGCTGCTATAGGTTTATTTGCGCACGTAAAGGTAGAAAAGATAGTTGAAAAAGACGATAGCGACAACGATTGTTAGAAATTTTCATCGTTGTACACGACGAGCACATCATCATCACATTTGCCTTGTAAATGCCCTATTCTATATACAATAATGACCTCCACCAACCCGAATTTCGCGTGCGTACGTAATTTTCTTTTTAGAAAATTTTCATTTCTGCACTAAACATTATTAAACTTCATAATTTTTAATATATTTTAAGCTAATAAATTAATCGTTTCATTATCAGTTTAGTACCACAATTATTAGTATGAAGAGTATGGCTTTTATCTAAAATTATTTAGCTAAATAATATCGTCTATTAGAAAGATTTAAGACTTGAAAGACATTTGAGAATAGGAAAACTCCTCATTAATTACTGAGATTTCATATTCAACGTAATCACCATAATTCCACTTCAAAATCCATTATACGTGGATTTCACTTAAAGCATAAAATTCAACAATCCTTCGATCGCTAATGCCAATTAGTCATTTTTATTTCAATTTTATTAAATTATTTACGAAATGATTTTGAAAGATTTTTTAAAAGAGAATTCAAAAAATCCAAAGTTGGAAATCATTGGATTTTATCTAATAATATAATATAATGAATGAATGATTGACTGATGACAATGAATGATTAATAATCTAACGATTTACGATTGGCAGAAATAAGTGCTTCTTTGAAAATGACATTTTCGTAAGTTTATAAAAATCTTCAAAAGCGAAATTCATTAAATTCAAAAAAGAAAAAAGAGCTAAAACTAAGAGAATTTAGCAATATATATTTTGCGAAATAATTTTTTGAAAAAATATTCTTCCAGTATTTCAAATCATTTATTTTATCATTTATTTATCACTCATTTTATCATTTATCACTCATTTACCACTTGTTTATCTTATCATTTATTAGCTATAAAAATTGTTAAATATTTAGAAATTTAAAAATTTAATATAAAACCACAAATTATTTCAATTTGTTATTTTTTAATATATATGAATTGATGAAATAGAAATTTTTCAGTGATATTTAGAACGAGTTAGTGAATCAGAAAGTTGAAAATTATTTATACAATTATTTCAATAAACTGTTTCAAAATCACGACTCGAAATCGAAATCGGATTATTTCACTCATTCATTAAATATTTATACTTTCTAATTTTTCTTATTTCAGCATAACGTAGTTTCAATTGTTATTTTTTTCTTTCTTAAGCCATTTCTAATTAGACTCGTACAGCTAATTTATTCGACATCTTACCACAACAAGTCTTTTTTGGTCAAAGAAGTGTAACTAGATCGCTAGCATAACTCGGATTTTTAAAAGAAGACAGGTTTTATTTTACCGAGGATAGAACCGGCATAATGGCGCTCCGAAATAAGAATAATAATCCACTGAGCTATTTTACATTTTATAAAATTATTTCGAATAATTTTTTTTTATAAAGTCCTTAAAATAATTATTAAATTATAATTATAATTATTAAATCAACCGTATTAATTAATTAAAAATCACTATTTTAATGAATATTTTCTTATTTATTCAATAAATTCATTTTAATAAAAGTGAAAATAAGAAAATAAATTTAAAACAAAAAAAGTCGAATATATTTTTTAATTTTTCGTTGCATAACAAATTAGGCAATTTAATTGAGTTTAATCGATTTCGACAAATAGAATTTATTATAAAATTTAGCAACATTTTATTTCTTCTTCAACCAAATGTTTTTTTTTTAAAGTATTCTAAGTTTCTTAAAATATTTTTTAAGAAATATTTTATATTTTGCCATGGGCGTTTTTTATTTTTACAAAGCATCATTTTTGACTGATACCAAACTTTTTTATCGTTTAGCACCACTTTAGTCCATTATGTTTATCAATTCTTTGATATTATATATAAACTTATAAATCAAAGAATTATCAAGTTAAGATTAATTAATGCATTAACAATTGAATTTAGTTTAAGTAAAAGATTAGCATTTAAACGGATTTCGCCATTCATAAATCAACATTATTTATAATATATAATAATAATATAAAATTTATAAATAAAATTTATATTGAACAATACAAGGAATAATAAGTAGATAGTCGAATCAATCTAATTTACAAATATTTTAGATTGATAAATTAGCCTTATAGCCTTTTTATTATGAATGGAAATTTCGGTATAAAACTGATAACTGATAACTGATTTTTCTTCTCTATTAAATCATTTTGTCTTATACCAGCTATCAACAATTTGACCATTTTTATCAAACCAAGATATATATCCACATGTCGCTTTACCATTGTAACCAAACAAATTTATTTGATCACATTTTGAACCAAATATTTCAGTCGAATTATGAGCCTATAACTATCAAAAAAAATAAATTAAATGAATTAATGAATTAAAAAAATGGAAATGAAATGATAAAAGAATTTTTAAAATTGTTTAAAATATTTTCAACCATTAATTACCACAAATTTCCGCACTAATTTATGTCACAAATTTATTGACTGAAAATATTTTTTCGAACATTCAACAGTAATAAAAAAAGATTGCAATTTTTAAACGAGAAATTATATTATTTTTTATTTTTTTAAAATTATTTTTAAAAAAATCTTATTTTATTCATTTTATTTATATTTACATAGATTAGATTATACCTGATAGTCATAATGATTAACAGCACAATCCAAAGACCCACATTTGCCAAAATTATTATCATAGCGGCAGTAAACATTATGTGCCGTATTAGCACTCATCCAGCGGCCACTCCAAGCACATTGAGTAGGATCACTTCTATAAATAAATATTAGAATAGTTGCAACGATCCTTATTCGACTTTTGATTCTCAACAAATTTCGGTTGAAGAATAATTCAATAACAAAATATAAAATAGACGATATGAAATTGAGAAGAAAAAAAAAAGTTGAAATAAAACTGAGAAAATTTTAAGAATTTTTTAAAATTTTAAAAAATAATTATTAAAAATGGAAATTTTCAATAAGAAAAAAACGAACTTGCAACAAAATCGTTTAGTGAAATAATTTCCTAACACAGTACTACATGGATAACCGAAACTAGGATCTGGCTTGCAAACAGATGCAAACCATTTAGAGCTGCAGCGCCCATTACTACTTCGAATATAGTCGTATTCTGGTGGACAATGATGATTACAAAATGGTGCTGTACCGAACCACATGCATCCACCGTTCGATGGAAGTGGCCGATATGCTGTTATATCAGATACAGCTTTCGCTGTCATACCTGAAATTTTATTTAAAAACTTTTAGAAAGAAAATATTATATAAAATAAAATTGTTCTAAAATAGCTTTTTTGCTTTAAAAATGAAACACATGAAAAAATTTATATTTTTAGGTTCAAAAATAAATCCTGAAAATTATGATAGAAAATATATAATATATAGAAGTGCAGGAATAGGGAAAAAAAACGGCAAAAAAATTTCACACAAAATCTGATAAAAATTCCATCCTTCTTAGGGGTAGTGTGGATATTTTTCATTCGCCACTATTCTACTAAAAGCCTAAGAAAATTGGCAAATAGGCAAATCAGCATTAAAAATCTTTAGCGCTAAAGAAGTGCTTTGGAAAGGGTAAGTAAATGGAGGAAAAAAATAATAGGTTTATGGATTAATTTTAAATTTTATATTGCTATTTGAGAAGAAAATGATAAATAAATAACGAAATTGTGAAAAAATTGAAATTATCATTAAAATTCAATCGCCTATTTATTGTAAATTTGGCATTAACCAATTTTTGTGGTTTTAATGATACTTCTTCATCACACATTTGTTTGGAAGATTTCAACCAATTTTAAAATAAATATTAAAGTAAAAAATAAAAATATTGAAAGTAAATATAAAGAATATTAAATATTAATATTAAATTTTCTATAAATATTTATTAATTTATAAAAAAATTTAGAACTACGTATGCATATGCAGAGCGTACCAATAATTCCATTGAGAACTGCTCCGAAGACAGGCTCCGTATCATCGAGAACATCTCTTTCGTATCGCTCTATACTCATCGTAGTTTTTTAAAATTAAATTATTATTTTTAAACTATTATTTTTTAAAATATTAGTAGCAATATTCATTATCATTATTATCATATCACTGTGATATAAAAATTAATGCTAAAACTGAAAAAAATTTTAGCAAATAATTTTATAAAAAACATTGTCTGTGAAATTTGATTCAGTTTGATTTAAATAAAGATGGAATGAAAATGGATCAGAAAGACTTTCTTTTTCTCAAATATTTATTTTATAATAATTATTTAAAAATACCTAAAAAATTTTTGTAATTATTAATAAATATAAATATTAAATGGAAAATATTAAATAAAATAAAAATATTAAATTTGAATGAAAAATTTTCAAAGAATAAAGAATTTTAAGAATTTTTAGAATAAAAGGAATAAAAATTTTAAAATTATCCAATAATAATAGAAAATATAGTCAGGTAAGATTTTGAACGTATAAGGGAACCAGCGAAATATGGACTTAAACGATGGAAAAAGGAATGGTTTCTATTACTACTAGCGATGGCATCGGACCGGGAAACTTGGAGACATCTTATTCTTGAAACCAGCGGAGCCAGCCTAACCAGCAATGGTGAGAGTTGTTAGAAGAAGAAAAAGTAGAAGATATCATAGAAATAAATGATTTAAAAATGATAAAAAAGTAAACAAAAAATAAAAGAACCCAAATGTAATTTTTAGGAATAAAATACTAATTTCTCAACAAAACTAATATTGTTAATAAGAATATTTAATGATAATTAATTGTTTGCGAATAATTATTGCCTAATTTATTATTAATTAATTATTATTTATTATTATTTACTATTAATGATTTATTAATTAAAAAAAGAAATAATTATAAAAAGAAATAATGAAGAAATGAAATATGGAATGAATATTTATTTTGAAAGAAATTCTCATTTTTTCATTTTTTTTTTTAACTAATCTCCAAATTTAACATATTCACAGTTATGAATATAAGTTATAAGAGTTCAATTATGAAGCGTGCTTTGTGGATAGGATAGCCGATTGTTGTGGATATCGCTTCGACTTAGGTCGAGAGCAATCATGGATTCTTATTTCTTGACAAGCTTGAGACTACCGAGCGAGACACCCTTGTGCGTGTCTATCTTACTGGCAAACTATCCTATTTAAAAGCCTTGAAGCCTTGAAGTACCATTAAAAGCCTTGATTAAGAATTGCTTTTTTGCGCACACTCACCAATTACTCCTGAAACGACTGCGGTTCCAAATCCGGTAATAAAACCGCCATCTCTTCTATTTCTGCTATTCTCTAAAAATTATTCACTTGAAAACATCGAATTTATTTTCTATTTTCAATTTTTTTCCAAAAAAAAGAAAGAATTTCTTTAATGGTTTAGAAAATTCGTTTTTGCTTTGTTTGATCTTAATGATCTATGGAGTTTTTGAATATCTTTGATATTTACATTTCTCGCATTTTGGGCTTTCAAAAATCTTCGAGGAATTTATCTATCATTCTCATTTTTATTGTATTGTATTGTGTATAATCGCAATGTTTACTCACTTGATTCACGAATTTTTCGAGGCCAATCTAAAATATTTTTTAAAAAAATTATTTAAAATGCTAAAACAAATAATAAAATTGTAATTAATTTTATAATTCTAAAAGGTGAACATTATTTGTTTTATTAAATAAAATTAACATTTATTAATTAATATTTAGTGAATTAATATTTAATAAATTTGATAAAATACGAAAAAAAAATTCACAGCAATTTTTTGAAAATATTTTACATTTAAAATTTTATTTTTAATATTTTATATTTTATAATTTTATATATTTATTATATTTTTTATATTTTATTTTATATTTTAAAATTTTAATTTATTGCTTTAGTTACTTTTTTAAATTAAAAACTTTATATTTAGATTCAATATGAATTATTCAATGGAATTACTGTGTTGCAATTCAATTATCGTGCAAAATCGATTGTAAAAATCGAAATTTAAATTTAAACAAAAATGAATGAATGAAAAAAATGAATTATGAATTATTTTTATAATTTTTAATATATATATAATTTTATTTTATTTGAATTTATAAATTAATTTGATTCAATTCCGATTTATATTTATTTTTAATTTTTATTTATTATTATTATTTATTATTCATTTTTAAATATTAAAAAAACCTTTCAAATTTTGTTGATTATCATTTTCATTATCATTATCAGAATAAAAATTTTGCAAAATGTTCTTTTCCATTTCAGTTGAATTCACATTCGTTACATTTCCAATGAAAATAGTTAAAAGGCAATTTTGAAGTGAAAGGAATATAAAATATAATACTGTCGATATTGTCGAATTCATCGTTATTCACTATCTAAAATATTAAAATAAGACGAAATCTATAAAAAAAAAATTTATTCAGAAAAATTACACCTATCATTATTTATATAATAAGTAAGTTGTTAAGGAATAAGAAATTCAGTGTTTATTACTAAGAAGCCAAGCAACAAGCAAATTAGCAAATTAGCTTCTTCAAGCAACAAATAGTAAAAATAAATAGTAATAAAGTTAATCAACGATAATAAACTTAAATGTATTTCGATAGGTAATATGCAGTAAGTACAACTGATTGATAAATTTTGTTGATTATCATTTATCATTTATCATTGTCATGATTAGTAAATTAATTTCTTTAAATAGTAATAAAATAACTAGTAGTAAATTTAATCAACAATAATTAATTAACTTATATGTAATTCGATGAGTAATGCAGTAAGTAATCCAATCTATCGAAAACCGATTCGTTCCTTCATTTATTCACGTTCATTTAGTGCTTTTCACTCTCAACAATTCATCTACTATTACTATTATATTTGTTAAATTGTTAAATTGTTGTTTTACAATTTTCTTTTTCACCTTATAATTTTTAAAATAGTTGAGAATTTCTCAGAAAATATTGAAAATTAATAATTGGACGCGGTAATCAAAGATTATTTAAGATGAAAAGTGGAAAAAAAACATACATTAATACGAAATATCGCTGAGAATATAAAATTAATAGAATTAAATAAAGTTATTAAATATAATATAATTAAAAATAAGTAATATAATTTAAAATAATATTAATATTATTAATTTCTTTTAGAATACCATAAATTGTTGATAGAATCGTTGATAAAATTGATATAAGATGTAAGTATATTTGCAAAATTTCCTTTGAAAATTTTTTTCTACCAAAAAAATTACCTAAAAAATAATAATCACAATTTCATCGGATTATTTTATTCTGGTTTAGTTGGTTTTAATGCTTATGAAAATGCAACAGGCTCCACCTCGACAGAAAATCACTTAATCATCACTCCCCTATTTTATTATTTTAACTATAGGCTTAACTCGTCAAGGTAAATGAAGAAAAGAGACAGAATATAGTTATCGCAGTGATTTTCTTCTTTTAACAGCTCCGATAGCTATTACTATTTGAGTTAATATATATCTATTACTCGAGTACCACTGTATCCTTTCTTAATTATTGTATTATCTAATTATCTAAGGGAAAAATTATTGTAGTTCCTCAGATTATAGCTATAATAGCCATGAGGCTATTCCTTGTCATTGAAGTCATAAAGTAAGTAATATTATAAACTAAAAAAAAAAAAAAACCCAATAAAATTTCATCGACTTCGAGCAATTAATTCATTTTTAACAACTGTTCATTGATCGTCAAACTCGTTTGCTTTTCACAGTCATTTCATTTCGTTATTCACTGTTATTGATACGTAATAAAAATTCATCTAAATTGCTAACGAAATGAATAAAATACGATTTTAATTAATTTTAAAATTTTATAATTTAAAAATTATGAATTTTAGAATTAGGATAAATAAGGATTTTTTGTATTGAAATGAAATAATTAGAAAAAAAATTATCCAAAAAAATAAAATTTTCGAAAAAATATATAAAATAAATAAGAAAAAAGACGACCAATCGTTGGCCTATTTTGATCTATTCAAATATTCGTATAAATGAAAAAATTAATAAAATTTCTTAATAATTAATATATTTTTATTTAAAAAAAACTTTTTTTTAAAGAACACTCAACATTAGTGTGTTAGACTCGCTTCGTTGGCTCGTCGTACTGGATTCTTTGACGATAAAAATATATGTAAGTCGCCTGCATCATGCGAACATGCAAAATTAATTCTCATACAAACAAATAAATGAATCAAATTAGAACAATCAAACAATCAAAAGCGATTTGTTCATATGCTATTTTTATCAAAAAAGGAGGATTTTTCAGATATTTTATAGATTCATTCCATTTTTTAATTAGAAAATATTCAAAAATTTAAAAGATTTCCCTTTTTTTATCAAATCTTTTTTTCAAATTTTCTTATCAAAAATTAGATAATGAATGAACAGATATTTGATGTTTGATTTATGATCTATTTTTTTATTATATATGATAGAGTGGGTAGAAAGAGTTCATATTAGCTAATCTTTTTAGCAATTTTTTCTAATATGAAAATATCCAAATAAATAAAATTTTCGAAAAAATATATAAAATATAAGAATATATATACTTTTAAGATAAATCGTAATAAAATACATTGATAAATTTTTATCAATTTGTTAAGCAAATTTATATTTATAAAAATTTGCATAAATCGGAAAAAAAAAGAATGAAAAAAAATTTTATAGAAATTATAATTATTAGAAAGAAATAAAGTACTTATAATAATGTACTTAAGTGCTCCTCGTTTTCCGCATTATTTTTAATTTGATGTGCTCCTCGTTCGTACCATTTCTATATTTTTCTTCCTCTTCTTCGTACCATTTCTGGTTTGGCTGATTTCATGAATATATATTCATTTTTCGTATATCAACTTTAGTCTGTTTTATTTTTTTACAAAAATTTTTTCCATTTATATATGTAAAAATATATATTGATTTTAGTATATTGCAGTGGATAGATAAAGAATTAAGGAGAGAAATGTCCATCGATTTTTTATTATTAACATTTGTTATTTGCAAGCGAAACGATATGCTTTCTAAAATGCGCTCAGTTATGGATAAAAAAGGATTTGTTAGCGATAATATTGATGATAAATTTAAAGTTGGAATGGTTATCGATGTTTCTCAAAGTATTTTATCCACTGGAATAATACCAGGTAATTTTTTAATTACTTCCTTAAGTATTCTTATTTTTCATTAATTTTTCATTAAATAATATTACTTTTATTCGGTAACATTATTTTTATCAGATAAATAATATTATTTTCATGTTAATATTTAACTATAGATATGATGGAGAATGAGCAAAAATCTTCAGTAATTTTTAAACGATTCTGAAATTCTTCTTTTCTAGAAAAGATTTTCATGAGAAAAGATAGCTTAAAAATTACTACACCAATAAATTATTAAGCAAATTTATTAGAGTTCGTTCCATATAACTTCAAAAAAAATTTCTTAATTTAGTTCTAAATGTTCCGGAAATGAATCGCTATGAATATTCACGTCCCGAATTTCTTTATTTTTCTGACGAGGAAATTATTCTTTCATCTGATCATAGTACAAGGCCTGTCATTTGTCCAAAAGTTCTTTTTAAAATGCCTATAAATGCTGGTTATGCTGAAGTTATAAATTCTGGTATATTTATTTTTATAATTTTTTATTTGATTTAATTATTATCAGCAATTTAATTATTATTATATTATTATTATTATATTATAATTATATTATAATTATATTATATTATAATTATTATTATCAGTTAATTTTTTTTTTAAATCATTGTTTATTTATTTATTTATTTGAATAATTAAAAATGATTTATGATAATTTGCCTTAAAACTTTGATAAGAGATTTTATTATTTTAGAAGTTCAAATTCAGTTATAAATTGTACAATATAATAGTTTGGTTTTTTTTCCAAAAATATTAAGAAAAATAAATGCGATGAAAGAATTTTTAGCGAGATTATTTAATAAGTTTTATTGAAATTTTTTTTTTTGAAAATATTTTCCATCTCAAATGACAAAATTTTAAAAGTTTAAATTATTTTAACAAAAAGCATAAATTTTTGCGAAAGTAAAAGTGAAAAATATTTAAAAGAATTTATTCATTTTGAATGGTTAGCGCTCAACATTTCCAGTTTAGATTCATTACATTGTCGGTCGATATAATTGAAAATTTTTGTGTCATTTGCTGATAGAAAGTAGGATAGTACCACTAGTATACCACTTGAATTTAAGTAGAATATAGACCAACAATAACCAAAAAAAAAGAAGAAAAAAATCGGCGAGAAAAAATTATCCCAAAAAATTCAAATTTTTAAATTTTTAAATCTTAGGCTAGGCTAGCTATCACAACTTAATGGTATTCAATTTTTTTCATCAGATCACTAATTTATCACTAGTTATCACAACTTATTATTGATAAAATGAACTTAATATCATTAATTAATATAATTTCTTTAATAAATTTGCTAAATTCTTGTTTCTTATTCTATAGAATTTGAAAAATGAATAAAATTAATTTTATTTCATAAATTTTATCATAAGATTTTGTTTAAAAAAAAAAAAACAATAAGCAATAATTTAAATTTTCAGTTCAGTGAATTAGCAAAAAAGAATTTTTCAAAAATAATTTTTTTTTTCATCATTTAGCTTTTTTCAATTTTTCATTTATTTGAATTCACAAATTTAATTTTATTTTATAATTCAAAAAGCCAATATTTTAAAGCAAATATTTCTTAACTTATTTTACTTTTTATTATAGCGAATCTCCATTAAGGAAAAACTGATCAGAATGAGGATCAAGCGACAGCTAAAATTCTTAAACTTGTGCAACAAGGTTGCAATGCTGAGGAAGCCAAAGAAATCAGTGTACGCGCTAGCAGTTTTTTGAATTTTTATAAGTATTATTTTTTAATTCTATGAAAAAATTTCTACAAAAAAATATTTCTTTTTTCACCACAACTACATTACCAAGTATCTTTAATAAAAAGCATCTCCAGTCTGCGAAAATATGCTAACGATAAAGTGATTTTTTTAGCATTTTTTATGGCTAATCTTCATGTGAAGAGAATTTTTCCACTTCTTTTAAGGGAACTTCGTTTCTAGCTTAATTAGTTCCATTGTTTAGACCGATTAGGCCGTTTAGCCAGAGTGAGATAGATACGGACTTCCGATAATCAGTAAAATTTTCCATATCGAAAAAACTATGCACTTTTAAATGTTTAAATTTTTTTATGTATTATTGATATTATTGATAACGCTCGAATGATTTAAGGTTGATAAAGAATCGATCAATCGACATTTAAGAGCATCGAGTGAAATTCGTAAAGAAAGTGGTACCAAAATGAAATTTAGTCGTCATTACTCTGATGAAGAACTTATAAGATTACCTGAAAGAATTATTCCAGTAAGAATTTGAATTAAATGTATTTTTCATTAGACTATTAATTTTTCAATATTCTATAATAGGAAATTATAATAAAATTGCTCAAAAACACTTATAATTTTATAGATTAATGATAGCTCAGAAGAACATGCTGAAGCTGCTTTTTTTGCAATATTTGATGGGCACGCTGGATCTTGTGCGGCAATTATGGCGGCCAATTGTCTTCATGAACATATACAAGTTAATATTCGTAAAATTCAACTAAATAATAAAAATTTTTATTCTAAATAGCGCTCACCATTTTATTATTCGCTGAAGAGATAGAGGGTATAGATGAATCGACAGCATCAGCTAGATTTGCATTATAATGACGACTTCTAATGGTTCGATGGACTTCTAAAGGATCGCATGAGGCTTTATTCTAAGCCAAATTGATGGCCTAAGTAATACTCTTCATACTATCATATTGCGCAGTTATGGACTTCCTTTTTGATTTTTATTAGACTTTATAAGTTGTTTGAACTTTTCAGCATTATTTTCTATATTTCGAACATTATTTTCCATAATTTCCCAAAATCTAGGACGCTTTTTTTTTAATATAGAAACTTCTAAACGATTATTTAAAGCAACGAACTTTTAGGAAAAATTTTTGCAGGCACGTTTAAACGAAGTTTTAGAAATAGTTATTCATTTGGATCGACAAGAAACATTTTGTGGAACTTACAATCGCTCGCCTTCGTCTTATTCCTTATCCATGACGAACGAGCATTATTCTCGATGTATTAGCAGTGATAGTTTGGTAATTGGTGCAATCGAAACAGCTTTTCTTGACATGGTACCATTAATTTGCAAAATTATTTGTTAATTTTCGCTAATCCTTTATAAGAATTTGATTTATGGCGTGATAATCTTATTTTTGCAAAATTTTACAAAAATTTTCTTATGCAATAAATGCGTTTAATTTAAAATTCTAGTAGAGATCAAATTATCAAAAGTTATCAATGCATATTACAGGATGATAGAATAGCTGAAGAAAAGCAATTATGGAAGATACCAGGAGGATGCGCCGCTATTGCTGCGTTATTTTTTCTAGGAAAAATCTATATTGCAAATGCTGGCGATTGTCGTGCGCTATTAATTACTTCTAATGGTACTCAACAAATTAGCCAAGATTTTACACCAGATATCGAAAGAAAGCGTCTACAGTATATTGTATGTTTATTTTAAAATTATAGATTTTAAATTAACGAGGAAATTTTTTTAATATTTTTGAAATTTTTTAGTATTTTTAATATTTAATATTTATGTTAATATTTTTAATATTTAATATATTTAATATTTTTAATATTTTTATTTAAATATTTAATATTTTTTAATATAATTAATATTTTAATGCAAATAATATAAATATATTTTAGGCATATAAAAATCCTGATATCATCTCAAATTATTTTTCTCGCTATGAATATAGTAGATTTCTAACTCGACGAGATTTAAACCGGAAAGTTTTATATCGAGATTGGTTCATGGATGGATGGTAATTTTCAAGTTTTTTTTCTTCGTGAATTTTTTTCTCCATACAAATTATTTCTTCTTCACCGCTCAATTATCATTTCTTATTCGGCTATTTCCTAAGGTAAATAATTTTTCACCGTAGAAATGAAGTAAGCAAATAGATAAGTCCTTAAAACAATTCTTTGATTTTTTTTTATTTATAAGAAATATTTAGAAAATATTTGATAATATATAAAAAATAAAAAAATTTATAAAAAATTTTAATTCTTTAAAAGATAAATAACATTTATAAAATAAAATAAATAATAAATAAATAACTATAATTAAAATAATTGAATTTAAATTTAAGGGCTATAAAAACTGTTTGCAATTCGGATTTAAAAACTCCATTAATATGCGAACGAGGAAAAAAGGTCTTTTAAAAATTTTTTAAAAATTAAAAATTTTAATTATTTTAATTATGAAAATTCACAATTTATCAATAAATTAAAATTTACTATAATAAAAATTATTTAAATATTCGAATTTATTTTTAGTATAGATTATTGAATACGATTGGCGTAAGTCGTGCACTCGGCGATCACCATCTTTTTACAGCAGAAGAAAAAGTTCCAATAAAACCATTTCTTTCCGCAATACCCGAGGTTATTTTCAAAAATTTTTTAATGCCTAATACAATTCGTTTCGTTCATTTCAAATAAATTTAATTTTATTTATTTTTAAAATTGAAATTATTAAATTATATTTATTATATTTTTATTTTATTATTATATTATATTTTATATATTTTATATTTTTATATTATATTTATATTTTATATATTATATTTTTATATATTATATTTATAAAAAAAAATGGTTTTTAAGGTAAAAGTCATTGATTTGCATAAATTAGATTCGTTATCTGATAAAGATGTATTGATTGTTGCATCTGATGGATTATGGAATGTTTTAAGCAATGAAGATGTTGCAAAAATAGTTAAATCCGCTTTAGCTAATACCGATTCATCAATTCATCTCAAGTATTTTTTATTATATTTAATTTTATTCTCATACGCTAAAATTTTTATTGTGATTGAACTTGAAAGAAAACGTTAGAATATATGGTTTAAATATATTCTGAAGACTGATAAAGATAGTGATAATTTATTAATATATGATAAAGATAATGATAATATATTTTAAAAAACTTCATTGATTATAAATAATCGGTTATTTAGGTTAAAAAGGTTAAAAAGCAAGCTATAAAAAATAAATGAGCTCGAAAATAAATTATAATCGATATAAATAAATTATAATCGATTATGATAAATCTGATAATATACCTTTTAGAACGATAAAAATGTTATTCATATAATCTTTACCCATATCATTTATCACCTCCAATTTGATCAGTTCAATTGATTGATTACCAGCCATTTCGCTAAAGACCCACTTATTGATAGGAATGACTTCTTCCCATCAATCTCCTCCTCTTCCTTCTCCTCTTCCTCCTCGTCCTTCTAAAATTAATCAAACAATGAATAAATGAAAATTTTAAGATACACAATGGTAGCTCAAGAGCTTGCGATTGCTGCCAGAGGTAATCCAACAGAGTCACATCGATGGCTGATGACTGGCGGCAAAAGTGCTTCATGCGATGATATAACTGTATTTGTTATACCACTGAAATATGCGATTGGACCGTTCAGTCCGGAAGATGACGATGATGATGCAATGCTTCAGTAGATTCATCACATATTCATAATTTTTTATTCAATTTATAAATTTTTTCTCTTCCATATTTTTTCATTTTTTCATGAATAATTTTTAAATTTAAAAATTTAAAAAATTACCCATATTTCTTAGATCAGAAAGTTCCAACGCAACATAGTAAGGCATTCATTGATTCAAATTGGTTTAAAAAAAAAAAATCAACAGCAATCAACATGTCTTATAATAGAATAGATGCTATTTTTGAATAAACTGTACAAATTTGAAGAATTAAGAAAAAAGATTATTGCAAAAAGACAAAACCCATAATTCCCTAATAATGAGACGGGTAAATTTTTAAAAGAAACAATTGTGTGCATGCAAATAAAATATTGAAATCAATGAACACAAACATGGAATAACTGCTTCACAAATAAATTAAATTAGAAGAACAGCGAAATTGAGAATTATAAAAGTTGTTCTTTCGAAAAATTCTTTTTACATAAAATCGTAAAGGGGATTTTTTTCTATTTTCGTCGTTACCTAAGCATATTATTATATAAATATTACATATTACATAAATTATTGAACAAAGACTACATAAAATATGTATCTGAAAGGAGGAATGAATGACAAAATGACAATGAACTAAAAATAAAATTAATTTAAATTAAAAAATATTTAACAATTAATGTAATAAGAAAATAAAGGCTATGGCGATAGAAACAAAAATTACATGAGCTAGAAGACTAGAAGAAATATAAAAATAATTTTTTTAGTGGGTTGGGCTATGACGATCGACTATTGCCATTTGGAGTAAAAGTATATTGCATTAAATTAAGCGATTCAACTTCCTCCGGTCGAAGTGCTCGAGTTTTCCTCAGTCGTTTCCATTCGCCTGTTCGATAGTCCATCTGCAATATTTCTTTATTCATTTCCTTCATCTTATAAATCCCAGTATTATTTCATTTATCTAAATGCTGATAAGTGGAAAAGGGATAAGTATCTACATTTGAATTCGACTGAAAAAAAAATTGTTCTAATATTTATTTAATATAATATCTACATTTAATATTTCTATAGCAGAATATCGTTTGTTAATAAGAAAAAATAATGCAAATAAAAAATTTTAAATTTCAAAAAATTCTAGTAAAAAAAATTCCTAATTCATTTCATTAAATTAAGACCAGAACTGACCTGAAAGTATGTTTCCACTCGATATCTTTGATTTCGACCATCTTCGCGCAATTCATCTTCATATGTTTCAGAAAGTTTTAAGGTCACAACATCACCCATGTGAGGAAATGGATGTACTAAATAAAATTATCAGATGGTAAAAGAAGTAAAAATTTAAACAAATGGAATTTTCTAATTGAATTATATTCATAAATCAAGACAATAAAAAGAAAAAGACCTTTAATGTATGACTTTTGCGAAGAGGAAAAAGAAAAAACCTTTATTTCCTGACATAAAAGCCGTAACCATCCTATGACCTTGAACATCTAATACATTCGCAGTACTTAGCATTTCTTCGCATTGCCGCCGTGCGATAGTTTCTCGCTGATCCAACTAAAATTAAATGTACATTTAAAAAAATTGCGTAATAAAAAATAAAAAATGTTTGATGAATGAACTAACTCGAGTTAATAAGGCAAATGATGCTGGTTCTAAATCCATTGTTGGGCGCTCGCGTACATTTGCATAAGACGGAAGTTCGGTGGGCACAGATGCATCAAATGACTGAGCTGTATTTGAGTTAGACGGTGTAGTAGTAGTAGTTGCAGTCGTCGATACCGAAGTTGATGGCATATCCTCTTTTAAAACAGGACTTTTGGATCGAAGATTCGAAGGTTCCGTCTTCACTGATGCTGCTGTACGACGAGCTTCCTATAAAATTTTAAAATGCTTAAAAATTAAATAATTAAATAATAATCATTAAATAATCATTAATCAAAAGCCTAAGTAAGGAATTATAAAAAACGTGCAAAATGTAACGAAAATACTAAGATTACTAATCACCTTACGAGTTTCCTAGGATATAATTTTTCATTTAATTTGCAAATATATGCAAATATATATGAAGATGAATAAATGAAGATAGTTGAAATAAAGAAAATAAACCTTTTCAGCATCAGCTTTTTCAGCTTGCAGTCGCTTTTTTTCTTCTTTTTCTTGCAATTTTTTCGCTTTCTCTTCAGCAGCTTGTTCACGTCTACGAATTTTAAGAGCTTGCGGAATCTCATCTATATCAATTAATTTAGCACCACCTTCTCGTTTAACTAATTGACGTGGACGTTTGCGAGGTTCATTTGTAAATCCCGCTGACATCTTGCACGTATTTACAGAAGGAATTCCACGCATAGGTACTGAAAATTATTCATTAAAATTCAAGAAAGAGAAAACATTGCACAAAAAGATAATATGAAAGTACAATATAAAATATGATGAAAAGACATGAACTAAAAGTTAAAACTTAAACTTTTAGAAAGTTTAAAATTAAAAGCAAATAATTAAAATAAAATCAAGATTATACAAGATTTTAAAAACTAACAATCATTATTAGGCTTGCGAACAGTGCTTCGCATTCGAATTGGGAAACTTGGCGCAACAACAGTAGTTTTTTGAATTTTTGTTGAATTAACTCCGGATTCTGCCGCTAAATAACGAGTTATTTATTCGAAACAAAAGCTATAAAAAGATTAAACGAAAAGATTCGCTAATAAAAATGAAGTAAATATGGTAAAAAATTTCATATATTTTGTGAAAATAAACAAAAACAACTAAAAAATATAAAAAAATATATGAACTTACATCTAATAAGATCAGTCTTTAAAGAATGAGATTTGGCAGGCTTTCTTAAGTTAAAATACTTGGTCGCATCAACATTTTCAATACCGAAGCGCGCCTAAAGAATTTCTCGAATAGAAATATTTTGTACCTAAATGATTTATCGCAATATCTATGTTACAATTAATTTAAACAAATAATACCTATACCTTTATTGCTGCTTCAGATACATAATGCATAGCAGGTGGCAGCAATTTCAAATTCTTTGCTTCTTTATGTTTTTTAACTGCAATATCCTGTCTTACATTTTTAATTTAGCATAAAAGACCACTGAGAAAATGCTCATTTTCAAAATTTTCAAAATTATTATATTTTACTAAAAATTGAAATATTAATTATTGTAAAATATTAATTATTCAAAAAAACTAGAAATAAGCGCATTTAAGATGTTAAAATTAATTTTACATCCACATATTCAAATTTTTTTTCAAATTTTTTATTTTAATATTCAAATCTTACTTGTTTTTCTTAATTCCTCCAATGTTCGACAAAAATATGATGTTGGTTCGACCAAAGGTGTGATACATTTATGTGAAGGAAAATCTCTATATAAATATGAAACAGTTTCGATCCAATCATCCGCATCTCTCCTCGCCAAATTTAACAAATTCATTAACGGATCCCTCCACTGTAATCACCAAATATAATCTTATGATACTAATAATATAATACTAATCCATTTTAAAACAATTTTATAATAAAAATCGCCTGCAAAAAATCAACTCTAATTTGAAACCATCTGCATTCGTAGATGATTGATGGGATGAAGATCTGCTTAAGTACGAATGATGAAAACGTTAAAACTTTCAAACACAGTTTAAAATTTATTTAATAATTAAATTACCCCCAAAGAATAATTAATATCTTTGAGAAAGTTGGGTAAAATTAAAATCTAAAATTTTAAAATCAGCCAAAATTACGAATATACGAAAATACTAATATTCTAATTGGAAAAAAAACAAAGAACTGGAAGAATTCCTGGAATTATTTAAAAAATAAATGAAATCAAAATAGTGCCTTTAAAAAAAAGCGAATTTTTCTTTCGATTTATATATTAGGCGATGATAATAAGCTGATAAATGATAAAAAAGATTTATACCATAGTCATGAGACGATGAGAAAGATGGGGCAATGCGAGCACAATTTTAAGTTTAACATGGGTTTCAAGAGATTGAAAACAAGTTTCTAGTTCGACAAGCATTTCTCTTGAAATGAGTGATGCTGCTTGTTGTCCACACCATAATTCGTTATTATCACCTAATTTATTGTTTAACCATTGCACTAAATCCAAATCGCGTAATTGGGCACTTGGCTTTAACATCTGAATAAATAGAATAATCAAAAATCATTATCGATTTAAAAAATTATCGAAAAACAAATAAAAAATTCCACGTAATAAAAATAATATTAATAATATAATATATAATAATATTAATAAAATAATATTAATAATATCAATAATCAACAAAAAATTTCATATATAATGTAATTTAAAGCTTCATGCTGCGTGGCGTCAGAAGCTGGAAGCTAATTTAAGACCCCGATTGATATGGCCAGGAAAAATTTGGCAATTCATGGCTTAGTGATATTTGAGCTTCGATGATGCGAGAGCTGATAATTCCCGCTTATTTCCAGACAACGCAATGGATCGCATTGGAAATCTTGCAAACGCCTTATAAAAAGTAAACCTGTATAAATGCGCAGAGTTAGAGAAAAACAATAAAAACACAAAAAAAAATCGAAAATCGAAACGATTTTTCTTAAAAATAGCAATAATCTTCGCAGAAATAGAACGCAATAGAACGCTATTACAAAATAAGACTTAATTTCACCAATTGTGACCAAATAACCTATTGAATTTTAGTTAAATTTTTTTACTATTTCGGTAGCTCTTTACTATTTTATTTTCTACAATGGATGATTTTGGTGAGTCACCATCCACCAGCATCCTCACCATTACCAGTAACTTCTCCCGTCAAAGTGACTTTCACTGGCAAAATATTTTCTGGTCCAATAAGTCAATGGAACAAAAATAATTAAAAATGAGTAATGAGTATATGAGTATGAGTATAAGCGTATTTCGAACAAAACATAAAATCTAATCGAATCGAAGAAAAAAAAAATTTAATCAAAACAGTGATAAATGATAAGAGTGATTCTGATAAAAAAATGGTAATCTAATGATAATTTCGATTTAAAATTTCCAAAGGTTTCATAAAAATTTCATAAAAATTTTTCCAAAATAATTCATTAAATTTCAGCAAAATTAGTTTTGTTTAAAAAATTATTTTTGAAAACTTCGAAACGATCTATTTAAATAGAAAAAAATAAAAAAAAAACAGAATATAAAATTTATGAAGAACGCGAAAAATTGAAAATTTCGCACATCATAAAATACAGACAACAAAATTACGTTTCAAGACTTGAATTTCTATTAACAGCGCAAAATATTTGACCATTTAACTAAATAAAAAATGTGTGAAAAAGAATATTTTATTGAATAATTTTAGGTGAATAAAATTGAAATAAAAAATTTAGAAATGTATAAAATTTGCTACCAATGAAGCTAATCGAATTAAAAAATTTTTTAAGAAAAATTATTCAAAGAAAATATCAAAAAAAAAAAATGATAATAATTTTGATAATAATTAATATTATCAAAAATTCAATAGATTTTCATTAAAACAATTATTAAAAAAACTAAGTTATTAAAGAATTAATTAATTCGAATAGAAGAAATATATTGAAAAATAGATAAACAGAGAAATACAACAATCAGTAATAGCAAATTGTAGGAGAGTTGGGAGGGGGAGGGGGGTGGGCGGGGAGACAGAGGGTGAAGGGGGTGGAAATTAGGAAAATAAAAACAATGAGAAGGGATACTGAAAGAATCTTCAGGTAGCTAAGTCTTTTAGGTAGTCATTTTTTTCATTCATCGAGACAAATTTGCTACAAATACACAGCAAAAAGAGTGGAGAGTGGTACTAAAGAAAGATGAAATGTAAGTGAATTAAGAAAATTTGTCCAAGGAGGAATATAACGAGGAATATAAAAGTGATTTTCTTCAATTCTTATAAGAAATTTGCCAAATTTTCCTTTTATTATTTTATTTGCAAGAAATTAAAACTCGGACTGATATAGTTAAGAAAGATTTTTGAACATATAGGAGGATCAGTGAGAAATGGATTTAGACGATGGAAGAAGGAATGGCTTCTATTACTATCAGGATCAAGATGGCATCAGGATCGTGCTGCTTAGCAATATCGTACCCTCATAGCCAGTGGAGCCAGCTTAGGCTTCTATTTCTATCAAAAGTGGCACCAGAGCGTGCAGCTTTTTATAGCCAATAGAGCTAGTCGAACCAGTTATTCGAAGAAAAAGAAGAAGGATCAGTTGGATTATACGATGGATTTATAAAGATATCACAGGAGGAATAAATTTATGCATTTTAATTTTCAACCTATTAGAAGAAAAGTAAAGTTTTGCGAAATTATTGATGAAATAACTGAAAACTAAAAGTAAAAGTACCATAATGCGTACAGTGAATATGCAAATTTATAAATTCTTCGAAACTCTGAGATTCAGCTATTCTGTTTCTGCAAAACGGTGACTGCAAAACTTACTTTTATTTTTTTGGACCATAGGAGTTAATTTTGTGAATAATTTATAATATTTAAAAATAGAAATTATTATTATTGTCGTTCGAGGATTTTGCCGTTCTCTTTACCATCTTTTTTCAATATGCAATAATTGCATAAGTAAATAGCTTTCAATAAATAATATTATATTACTTTAATATTTTATTATTAATATTACTGAATAATATTATTTTATATTTTTCATCCACTAAATAATGATTGTATAAGTAACTAACCTTCAGTAAGTATTATTACTTTATATTTTCCATTTATTAAGTAATTCCATTTATTAAGTAACTGCATAAGTATGTATTTTTCAATAAGTAATATTATTTTATATTTTTCATCCACTAAATAATAACTGTATAAGTAAGTAACCTTCAGTAAGTATTATTATATTTATATTTATATTTTCCATTTAATAAGTAATTCCATTTATTAAGTAACTATATAAGTAAGTAGTTTTCAATAAGTAATATTATTTTATTATTTTATATTTTTCATCCACTAAGTAAGAATTTTATAAGTAAATAACCTTCAGTAAGTAATATTACTTATATTTATTTATATTTTTTATTCACTAAGTAATAATTGAGTAAGTAGTTTTCAATAATTAATATTAATTTTCTATTGTGTATTTAGTGAAATGCAATTGTTCTAATGAAAATTTGTGGGGAACAATTCTACAAGTATTTTAGAAATTTCGATTTTAGTTGATTTTCTTCTCATTAAATGTCAATCAATTTTTTTTTCGATGATTTCAATAATTTTTATTGTAAATTTTATTTACTTTCTTTTTTTTCTATTGTGAAAAACTTTTTAATTCTAATTCATTGAATTTGAATCGCTCTTTTTTTTCATAATAAATAATACCTAAATTGTTTAAATTGAATTCTACGAGAAGAATAAATAAATTAGAAGAGTTTTTTGATTTTTTTTTTTAATCAAAAATTTTACGAAAACAGTCGATAGAAATAGAATGGCTCAGTGGGTTTTCGCATAATTCGAAGGACCGATACTGAGGTTCTACAACCCATAGGAATAAACCTGTCCAAAACTTCGGGCGATGCTGGTGACTCACCTGTACTTCTATCGCCAAGGGATTCTCTGGCTTATTGTCCAATGCGACAAGCCAGTGGAGCGAGTATTAATGGTGAGGGCTCTTAAAACGAAACTTAAGTAATAATTGATAATTAATAACTGATAACTGACAACCGATAATAAAAATATTTCTATTATCGATTCACTGAAATTTCTTTATACATTAAACTAAAAAAAAAAAAAAAGAAGAAATTAATTAATGCCAATTATAAATTTTGTAAATATTTGAGCGTAAATATTTTTCAATACGGGTTTTTTTCACTTTTCATATTTTATATTCATTTTCTAGGTTTTTTTTTGTTGCTTAGAAGAACTATAATCACATTAAGAATGATAAAAAATTTGATAAAATGATAAGATTTTTCGGTTTTTTTTTAATGTTTTAGTAATGAACTTATCAACAAAATATTTAATGAAATTAAACGTATTAGACGAATATTCACTTAAATAAGAAATAGTCGAACGAGTTTAAATAATAAAAAAGAAAAGTAAAAAATAAGCGATCCACAAGACAGAAAGAAATTTACTTTAGCAAATTTTCTCATAAAATTTGTCATTTCATTTTTGTGTTTCTGTTAAAAATAATTAATTACTTATCTTTTTTTTCTTTATATAGAAATTTTTTTTGATAAAGTGATAAGATTTCTAGAATTTTTTACGAAAATTATGTTTTATTTATACGAATTATATGATTTGCCCTTTTGCTCTCTTATAAGTTTCGCATAAATTTTTATTACGGCGACTGAGGTTTATCCAAATAGATTCGAGCTCTCGTGGACTTTTTTTATTCGAATATACTCGCCATTAGTCGAAAAATGCGATTCAAATGCGCTATTCAATGGTACCAATAGTGCCTCCATTTTATTAAATTGTATTAACCAAATTATAATCGTATATATCATTGTGACCTGACCTGATTAATCGTTTATAATATATTTATTATAATATATTTATAATATTATTTATTTAAATAAATAATTTATATTATTAATAATAATTTAAACAAATAATAATTTGATAATTAAAGGAAAAAAAATAAGATATATGCGGAATAAATTTGAATTTAAATTAAGATTAATCGAAATTCACATAAGGAAGAAAAAAAAAAGAATTGTTATAAAATATAAAACATATTATTTTATAAAATATATGAATTTATAAAATTTATTAATTTATAAAATATATTAATTTACAAATATATTAATTACAAAATATATTTGCAATATACATTAATATATTTACAAAATATATTAATTTTATTAGATACAAAATTATATTTTTTGAATAAAATTGAAAATGTGGGATCGAATGTGGGAAACTCAGTGGCATCAGTGGCATCAATTGTTTGCACCATTTTTGCTTTGCTTCTCATTTTAAAAATAGAGTTATGCTAGCGATTCATCGGCAAAATTTGACTCATTGGCAAAATTTGTCTGGTACGAGACGCTAATGGAGCGAGTTTAACCAGAAATGATGAAATGGTGAATGCTCTTCAAAAAAAATGAAATTATTGAAAATCGGTGATTAATTATGAAAAATAAATTAGTTCCACAAGAACGAGTCGTAATTTATCTTTATTTTCTTATTAAAAAAAAAAGTAAATTTCATATTTCATATTAAAAATCATATTTTTTCGAAAAATTTAAAAATTTCGTAAATTTATTTTCAACTATTTTAATAAATAAATATTATATAACAAATATTATATATTTGTAAATATTTATAAATAAATATTATGGATGAATCGTTTAATAATTTTATCATATGTAGTAAAAATTTTTTTTTGTAAAAAAAAAAGTTGTAATAAAATTTATTGAAGGGATTTGTGATGGTTGAAAGAATGAAATTGACAAAAGGACCTAACTGGAAGGAAATTTTCATGCACCATGAATGGAAAAATTATGTATTTTGGGGTATAATAATGTTTTTAGCTGGTTTAACAGTTCGCGATGTTTATAATTTGGTATGACATTTCTCATTCAGAAGTATAAATACAAATATTCCAAAGCCAACTTCCCAAACAAATAGTTTAATAGTTTAAACTTCAAACAGCTTTTTTTTCTTTTGTCTTTTCACACTTTTTGTTATGTCAATAGAATATTTAAAGTGAATTCAAAAAAAAAAGAAAACGAGTTGAGAAACAGAAATTTTGAAAAAATAGCGAAAAATAGCGAGAAATAGCGAAAATAGCGTAAAAATTTTTTTTCAAATTTCATGAAATCTTTATAGATAGATGAATATGCGGACGATCCAAGAGACACATCCTTTACGATAATTTTCAATGATTCGATAACAATGCCAAATTTAACATTTTGTATGTCAAAGCCACAAGCACTTAGTCATTTTAATAAGCCAAATTTCACTGATAAAGCTGACGATTGGGATACAATTGTACAAGTAAATTTTTATGTATATATATCGCAAATAATACAAATTGAGGAAGTTGGTGAAGTATTCATTGAATCGAAATATAGTCTCAAGGTATTTAAAATTTTTATTGTTAATTTCTAGCAATTTATCACGAATGATTGCCTTCAGGATCTTCTAGGATTCATAATTTACATTGTTAATTTCTGGTAAGCTACCTCAAACGATATTAAACGATTCCTTACGAGTATTCAAGAATTTAAGGGATTTAAGATTTATTATATGGCTCGCCACTGGTAATCTATCTATTTTTCACATTCTATATTTTATATTTTATAGGGGATTTTCAAAGGGTTGTAGAATATTGTAGAATATTTTTTCTTTTTTCAATAATATAACAATAATTTAAAACTGCTTTTTAACTGCTCTATATATCATATCATCATGAATGTGCCACTATGAGAATGTCACCATGGACCTTGAAATTGTCACCACGAACCAATATAAATTATATTAAATCAAAATAATAGAATTAATTTTTACAGTATATTCTATTAAAATAACTTGAAGAATGACATGGTGTAACCAGTTTTTATTTCGATTTAATTTTTGATCTTGAATAATAAAAAGAAAATTCGATTTTTTAATCGATTTTAATTAATTCTAAAAAATTTAAAAATATATTTAAAATTTGAAAAGCAAATAAGTAACTAAAAATAATTATAAATAATTAGTTTAATTATTTACAATTTAATAAATTTATATTATATAAATTTATTTTATTGTATTATATATTATATTGCATTTTATATTAAAATTTAAATATTTTTATTTTATTATAATTTTTAATCAATTAAAATATTAAAATCTATTAATATTGAATATTTAATATTAAATATTAATATATTAATATTAAATTAATAAATAAAATTTATAGGCGAATTTAGAAAATATGACTAATCGAGAAACATTTTTAAATGAAAACTGGGATTACCGAGTTGTTCTTGAAGCTTATGAAGTTGTTTCAACGTTGAACTCAATGGAACGTGAAACAAATGGCCATCGTTCGGCTCAAATTATAAATAAATTTAAAACGAATCCAAAATTACAAATCAAACGTGATCTTATAAATGTATTCAATTTTTTCTCGTATTTAATGGTTCCCCATTCCTCATAGGCGACTGGCTCAGGCTATTGTGCTTAGATGGCTCTTTCTTTCAAGTGATAGAAAGTGACGTGTGATTAAAAAATATGGTTGAAAGATACTAGCGATCCAATCATAACTCTATCGCCAAGCATTTCCTAGTCAAAAATTTCCCAATCGTGCGGATAGCCAACGAAACAAGCCTAAGTCAGTATTTGAGCTTACGTTACTTAATATTTCAATATTTTAATTTTTGGATCTTTCTTTTAAATATTTAAATTTCATTTTTAGACCTATCTTAGTGTAATAAAAAAGAGAAATGTTACTTTCGCAGAATTCACGCAAAAAGTCGGAAACGAAGTTTTAAAAAGGTTATTTTTATTGTTAAAGGAAATTTTTACTCAAGCAATTTAAAAATTGTGAGAAAACGTTTGCTTTTTTCTCATTTGACTCGTTTAGACTCGTTTCGCTGGCTTATTTTGCCAGGTAAATTTTGCCCGGAAATAAGTTTTTTTCGTTACTTCACAATCAAAATGCAGGTGAATCGCCAGAATTAGTAGGATTTTTGAAAAACTGATTTACTTCTGTTGACTGTCAGCTGTCGTGGCGCTCTAAAATCATAGAACCAATACCAATTCATTAAAAAATTTTATTATTTCTTATTTCTTCATATTATTTTTATTATGAAAAAATAGTATATAAACAAGAAATTAAGTCAAATAAATCATTTAATTTTTTCTTTGATCGAAACACAAAGTGCAAAATCGAAAAAAAAAAAATTCTATTCAAAATTCAAAAAATTCTAAAATTGAATTTTGGCAAAATAAATGCAAAAAAGAATCTTATTCAATGCCAATATGAGAAAATAATTTAATTCTAATTTTATTCAAAATTTTTAAATTTTTTCAAATTTTAAATAAACGAAATAAAAAATGAAAATATATGTGATGCGATGTGGTACTATTGTATAAAATTATTGCAAAAACCTTCGATAAAATTTAGATCGCTTCAACGATTCGTTCGGCAAACATTCGACGAAGAGGAAATTATTCGTACTAATCTTCGTATTTCATGGATTTCACAGTTGCAAATGTGTTTTCAACCGGAATTCGATATAAACGATTTTAAGCCGATTGAGGATCAGGTTTATTCAATTTTAAGATAAAGATTTGACGATAAAATAGTTAAATGAGAAGCAATCTTTTTTTTGCATATTTGCACACTTGCATAGTTGCACAGTTGCACAAAAATTGCAAAAACGAAAATATATATATATTTCAATATATTTTATAAATTTTAGGGTATATTTTTTACATTAATGGTTTCACATAATGCCGAAAATCTGAATAATTTATATCTGGATTGTATGTCAGTGGATTTTCATGGAAGACCTAGTTCGTTGAGTCGTTTTATGCAAGGCAAAGGCCAAGTTTTGGATGGATATAGCGAGGATGTATGATGCATAAAAATTTTACTTAAATAATAGGCTTTTATATAAAATACTGTATAATCGTCTAGTAAGATATGAGATAAAAATACATTCTTAACGTGCTTTGACTCACTATTTATACTGCAAGTGATTAACTGATAAAATTTGTCCACTATCATAGAAAAGAACGAGAAGAGAATTTATGATCCTTTTGCCTAGTTAATTTTTATTTTGCCATTATAATAAATATTTTCGATAATTTTATGGGGCCTTTTAGAAATTAGTTTAAAAACGACTTTAAAATGAGTTTAAAATAATTATCCTCTTGAGCATCAATCCTAATAGGCGTGAAATCTGCCACTGAAAATTCCAAATTATGCTAGGATCCCAATCTTAAATAACTATTATTATTTGACCCGAGCAATTAGCCGCGAGCTTAACCAGAAGTGATAAGCACTTAATTTATTAATTTAATTAATTAATCTGAGAATAAATTTATTTATAGCTTTGTGTTGGTATGAGGCATGAAGTTTACGTTGAAGTAAGAGCGCGATATAAAATGTTAGAGAATGATGATGAAGGAACCGCATGCCGAGATCCGGACGATAACGAGGATACCGAATTTAATTGTCGAAGTCGTTGTCGAATGAATCTAATTCGAGTTCATTGTTGTTTTTATTCTTCATTTTCTAATCTTTTAATAAAAATTTTCTCTGAAGACCAGCTTAACCCTATATTTTTCATTCCCTAATGCAACTTCGCGAACTATAAACAAAAATTTTGCAGCATATTTGCCAATGTACGCCTCTATCGATTTCATATTTAGTTAAGGATGAGAAGGAATTTCAACGATATCCATTATGTGATTATACGAAATGTGATATCGAGTAATTTTGTTATTTCGCTTATTTTTTAAAAAATAACTCTTAATTTATTCAAGTGTTAGGATGGTTCTGATTTTTGAAGCCACCGATGCTGAGATTTTATTCCCGACAGAAGGCAAACCTATCTTTCGAGAAACCGAGTGATACTAGAAACTCTATAAATTCTTCAGTATTTCTTCCACCAAGTGACTATTTGGTAAAATTTGTCCAATCCAATCTGACAGACCAGTTTGAGAAAGCCTAATCACCAATAATGGGAACTCTTGGAGAAAAAAAAAATTTATTCGATATTTTTCCTTAAATTTTTTCAAATCTAAGATTGTCCACCACCGATCTCAAATTATTTTTTATATAAATGTAAAAATTATTAAAGCAATTTTAAATATAATTTTAAATAATTTTGAAAATAAATATAAATTTAATTGCATTTAATTGCTAATTGCGAAAAAATAATTAAATATTTTAAAAGTCATTAGAAATTTTTTTGTTTTTTTATATTTTGCCTTTAATTTTCATTAAAAATTTGATGTGAAATATGAAAAAAAATTGAGTGTGCAAAATGGAAATTTCGATGAATCCGATTGTACGAGAGAATGTCTTCGCGATTGCACACAAATTCGATATGAGGTCAATCATGAAGCGAAAGGTCGAATGTCACGTTCAGGTATTTTTTATCATTTAACGATAAACTGATAAATGATAAACTAGGGTCTAAAAAATTTTTACAGTTTTTAGAAATAATTTATTTCATAAATTTCCAAATTATATTTCGAATTATTTTATCATTATTATCATTAATTATTATTATCATATTTAGATTTAACATTAATAACACTTCATTGGAAATCATTTGAATATTTGAATCTGGAACAATCACCAAAATATACGATAACAACGTTTGCATCAGCTGTCGGTGGTGCTATTGGAGTTTGGCTTGGCCTTTCAGTTCTTAGTGTTTTTCAGGTTAATCCAATAAAAAACTATTTAAATTTTATTCGCAAATATACCTACTGTACTTTATATAATAAGCCCAAAATTTCCGATAACAAATATTGAAGATATTCATTTAATACAATTTCAAATAGTATTCATGGCTAATTAGGGTTGCTAGGATAAGGCCCTTTTACTTGAGAACCACTCGAGGAATAGAGGTATTCATGATGATTAACCTCAATACACCATTTATCCTATCGTTTATCAGTGCTAAAAGAAAAAAATCAAGGCCTACTTTAGGCCTTGATTAAAAGGCTTATTTGCTTGAAAATGGCAATATTGCTCAAAAAATGCTTGAAATTAAAATCTAATCAGTGCCCTTAAATGCTTCGAGAAGCCATAATTAAGAAGGCTTAAAGAGCAGCTAAAAGTCGGAATAGTTATGATCACGAAATAATTGCCTTTCTTGTCTTCAAAATAGCTCGAAACGAATTTTTATCGCTTAAAATCTTCGCTAAATCTGAAATAGCCAAGAAGGCTGAAAATAAATAGAAATTGAAATTAATCGAGTTAAATTTTTTAAATCTTTAAAATTTGAGCAATAATTCAGATTATATTTTATTAAATTTTGTTTTATATTTCAGGGATTAACTTTCTTATATTCAGTTCTTAGTAAAGGTGTTACGACAAAACTAAGTATAGACGATCCGAAGGTTTCAATTTTTTTCTCCTATAATCCATTTATTTATTGAAAACCAGTTAAGCAGGGTGCAAATGCGATGTGCTTGTATTAATAACAACAGTTAAAATAATAAATAATAAGAATTAATGACAAAAATAAAAAAAAAAAAAAGCAATTTAAAGATGAAATAAAGAGGAAATTACAAAATAATAATTTAATATAGTACAATTCGAAATAACTATAATTGGGGTTGGTAAAAGTCGAGATTTAACCATTTCTCGTCATATTTCTCGTTATTTACATTGAATATTTTCATTAATAAAAATTTTTTATACGAAAATATTTAATAAAAATAATAAAAATTTAGATATTTCCAAAAGTGTTATCTTCTTCACGTTCATCATTGCATAAATTAGCTAAAAATCCATTACCTAAACCTGAAACGCTTAATGCAAATCCATTTTCGAATTTTCTTATCGATAATGCAAATGAAAAGCAATCTGATGAAAATCTTGGTTCGAAAAATTTTTTTTTTTAGTTTTTTAAAATATTTTTTAAAATTTTTTAAATTTATTAACTTATTATCTTATATAGTTTATATTGATATATTAAAATATACTTTAAAATTTTTAAATTTACAAAAAAATTATTTAAATGACTTTAATTATATAAATCGTTCTTTCGCATTAATTTTTATCGTAGATTTCATATTAAAATTTCTTAATATTTTTAAAAATATTATCATTTTATTTATCATTTTATCATTTTTTATAAGCAATCATTGGAATAACGAATATTTAACATTATTTTCAACTATAACGAGATTTTGTCCATTTTTACCATCTAATCACTATACGAATGTGATGAATATTTCAGTTCACCAAGGCTCCCCGCTAAGAGTCGAGGGCCTTAATTTCGATGCATATCTAAGGCCTCAATTTTTCTTTCAATAATTTTCATAAAATATTTCGTACTTTGCACACTTTCTTGCTTTACTTATTTTTATACTTTTAATTATAATAATTTTTACAATTCACATTTGTCAATTATACTTTTTGCTTCCTTTATTTATTCTATGAAAAGTGATTTCAGAAAGAAGAAAGAAAGGAAAAAGCGATAACGAATACAACTAATCGTAATCAATATTTTACAAATAAATATAAATATTTATTAAAGTGAACAATGAATAATGAAATGAACAAAATGCGATTAGACGATTTAGCAGAAGAGAAATTTTTTTTCCCACATTCTTTTATCAGTTTATCAATAAAAATCCTTTTGATATCACTCTAATGAAACTCATCACTCGGGTAGAAATTTTATACATTAAATACAATGGAAATTATTTTTCTTTTTTATGATTTTACGATTTTAAAAAACAAATTTACTAATATTTCGAAAAAAAAAATTGTTATGAAAATTTTTGATACGTAAAATATTCGTTTATTATGTTTATTATTTGTTTTTTATTCTATTATTTTAATATTTATCAAAAATTTTAATTTTCATATTTTTATGTTGAAATAAAAATTATATGAAATCCATAATTTGTTTAATTCTAAAAAAAAAAGAATTTTTCTTCAAAAGTCGAATGATTTTTCCATCTATTAAAAGAATTTGTTTCATTAAAATACATTTCAAACAGCTGGTAAAATATGCGATCCTTCTGTGCAAATGCACGTAAAGACTTGCAATTTTTTTTTTCTTTCTTTTTTTGCATTGTAAAGTAGATTATTATATACTTTTAGCACCGTAAAATGTGATCCATAGTGTGCGTTTTAACGCCATATTAAAACAAAAACAAAAACATAACTGTAGAGCACGATAAATATAAAATAAGGGAGGAAAACTAGGTTAAGAAAATGGAATATGCTAAAGTAATGTTCGCCATCAATGCAACTATAAGAAAATGAGAAAAAGATATTATCTAGGGCACGTACAAAGGTAGCAAAATAAAGAATCATTAAAAAAATATAAGAAATTGACTGGTTTATTAAAATAAAAAATACATATATTATAAGGAAATAATAGAAATCATTCATTGATCTTGAATCTGAAATAGACTTTCGAAATTATATTATTAGCGAAAAAATTTAATTTTAATTTTGATAAGAATAGGAAAAATTTTAAAGAGAAATTTTCACAAAACATCGTATTTTTTATGTTTTTTATTTATTTTCTTTATAATCTGCAAATTATGTTGAATATAGTCGCAAAATTGATAAAATGATAACGAAAAAACTTACAGCGTTTTTCTGACATGTTGACATTGCTCTCGACTACCACAACTGCAGTACCACTGCAACGGCTCGCCTTCTTCAGCTTGCGTTGCTTCAACTACGTGCGGAAATCCAGATTTACCCCGTACAATAAAGGTCATTGGACTAACCAAACGTACTGATGGTACTCTGTAACATTTTTTCTCACTATCAAACAATAAAATTATTAAAATAAATCAGATTAAATGAAAACAAAGAAATGAAAAATTTGCAAGGAAATTTTGGTCTAATTCCGCTAAAAAAAATTGAAAATTTATTAAAAACAAAACAAATGAAATTATATCGATTACAATTTCATATCTGTAAAACGAGACGACATATCCAAGCCACTTCGATATGCTGAAGTGTCTTGTGGTGACCAAAGGCGTGAACTAAAATAAAAATTTTCATGAATTGAATTTGATGATGTGAAAAAAATTTTTTTCAATAAGTTAAAAAATTTGGTTAAATATTAAATCCATCTCGTCAATGCGTAAAAATGATAATGATAAAATGATAAAATGATAAATGATGATTGTTAAATAATAATAAATAAATTTTATCTTGTTGAATAATTTAAAAAACAGAGATAAAACTCATCCAGTAAAAAAAATTATGAAAAATAAAATTGAATTATAAAAAACAAATAAGAATAAAATAAAATTCTTCTAACCTATCATTTAAAAAATGGCAAAACGTTTTCTTCAAAGTATAAAATGAATCACATCCAAAGGATTTATAAACACATTTGCCACATTTATCTATGGATATAATAGAGGAACAAAATAAATATAAAATTTATTTGATATTTGATAAGATAAAAGATACTTCGAAATAGATGATGAAGCAGCACAATTTGAAGGGTTATAAACATTAGAATCAGTATTTGGAATAACGTCCGATATAGTAACGTGATTATTTTTATAAGAACGGTCAGGACAGTACTTGAATGCCGTTAGAACAATGTTCTCCATAGCTGGTGCATACGGCAATTTCGGTAACTTAAATAATATATATGTAATTTAAGCGATATTACACATTTGTCCAGATAATATAAATAGAAATGAATAAAATGAAAATGAATGAATTTAGGTAACAACTTCTTGCAACCAAATTGTAAGACTCTACTTTTTGAAAACTCGATTTTTCTTATTTTGTCTATATTTCTATTTTCAATATTAAAAACAATAAATTAACCTAAAATTAGGTGGCTACTATAAGATAAAACTTAAACTTACTCTAAGGTGACTTTGCTGAAATCTTCCTCGATAACACTTCTTCAATCGCCATCCTCCACACTGATGCAAACCAGCTATGAAAAGACGGCGATATGCATTGGACAAAAGAAATAATGAAATGATGATGATGTCAGCTTGAGCATTATTTTCACAGAGTTGCGCCACAACCTGTAAATAAAAATTTTAAGCGAGGGTGAAAGAAAAAAATAATTAATTCAAGAGCATATTACTTTTTTAAGGTCGTTGCTACCGCGCCAAATAATGCCTTTTTCTGCTTCTGGAACTCCAGCAGGCTTTAAAATCCAAATTGCACTCGAAAATTTAAAATCGATCCATACATTCACGAAGTAATTCATGATTTCTGGATAATCAGTATATCTTTTACATGATGATATCCTCGCCCAAACCTAGAAAACCTTTTTGCTAAAGTATAAATCCACTGAAATCAATAAAGAATTGCAAAAAAATTATGATTGCTAAGAGAGAATATTTGGAACCTTATTACTATTTTAATATAGATAATATTTTAATATAGATTAGAAAGGTTATGGGTCGACTGGGACGACTGAACTTACTCTTAAAACTACCAAGTTACTTCGAAAAATTTTGTCTGCAATCAAATTACACTCACAAATATGGCGATAAAATTGAGTGCAAACGTCATTTACATAATTGTAGCAAAGTAATAAAAAATGTATTGAAAAAAATCCTGTAAAACATAATTTTCTGAAAATAATGATCTGATTTGAAAATGAAAAAAAATTAATGAAAAAACCTCATCAAATTTTTTTTCTGTTTGACAACTCATCAAAATATTCATATCATTTGCATATTCACTGAGATTTTGATCCACTTCGGTGTTACTTTCCAAATAAGCCATTTTTATCCTCTTAAAATCGATCCAACAACGAAAATGTTCAGCGACCTTAAAATTTTAACTAAAAAATTAAATAATCATTAAGAATACGCCGTAGATAAGCTAATCCTCTTCTATTTAATTTATCAGATTATTTTTTCTACAGTGACTTGAATGATAAAAATATAATCATAAAATTACAGGAAATGCTTCAGGAGTAAAATGAAGATTTTGGCCAGTCACAACAACGAATCGACCATTTTGTAGATCATTAAATCTGTCACATATAGTAGATAAAAAAAAATCATGATCTGCTTGTCTTGAAGGTGAAGATGAGGAACTCAACATAAAAGCAACAGGTATTATTTGATCTCCTGCAAATTACTTAAATAAACTGAAAATGAATAAAAAACAACTTGAATTGCCATACTTAAAAATTGAAAAACGACGAATCTTTTATGAATAGATTCTCAAGATAAGATTCTCAAAATACTGAAAAAGAACCTTCGAAAAATGGATGAACAAAGGTCAAAGTAGAAAGATAAAATTCTGATGAACATGGTTCGGTATGATAAAAAAGTAAGACAGTGCGGAATGGATTGCTTTGTTGCAGATAACTTGCGACTCCAATTAACTGATCCATTAATGGATGACAAAACAGAATAACGGCACCGACATTACCATTTTCATCAAGTTCAACTTTATCAATAAAAGGTTCCCCATTTTCAAACTAAAAATCCAATAGACTACCTAATGAAATAAATTAGATATAATTAGATATATATATATAAAAACAATCGCTAAATATATCTTTGTATATCTAAAATAAATCTTTAGCAAGCAATGAAATTCGATTGGTCCTTTCGTGATTGACTAAAAATCAGCATGGACTATGTACTTACAAGTAGTATTTAAATAAATCTATAACCTATTTAAATTTATAATTAAAAAAAATATTTGTAAAGATATATTTATAATCAAAAAAAAAATATTTGTAAAGATATATTTGACATCAATAGCGAAATGAACGATGGAAATATATACCGCTAAATTTCTTTGAATAGTTTGCACATTTTCAAAAATGATCTGTCGATATCTTTCACGTTCATCTTCGGTTGCATTATTATTTAACTCAGCAACGGGAATCAGATTTAAAAGTGGTGGAGCTTCAATATCTTGTCGACTACGTTCCAGTAATACCATTGCATTTGTTTTATCCATGCACTAAATAAATAATTAGAATATTAAAAAAACTTTAGTAAATTAAAATAAATACTTTAAATATCAAGAACTTGTATTCTAAAAAAAAAATTTTAAAAAAATTCTAAATTGTTTAGTTCATGAATTTCATTTCTTTTAGACCATATTTATGAAAATTAATTGAAAACAATTCTCCGAACAACTTCGTGAACGTATAATGATGCTTTTCAATATTCAGATAATTAAAATTTATCTTTCATTAATAAAAGGTATTTCACAGTTCCATATTGAAATTACCTTTTCAGAAACAGCTAATGCTCTTTTCTCATCGCCAATATAATGAAAGACGAGAATGCCATAAGGATCGTCCTTTAAGTTAAAACGATATTTTCTATAAATAAGAACACAATTTTGTTTACAAAATTAAAAATTAAAAAAGGAAATTAAATTGATAGAACATAAAAGAAAAACACAAACTTGAAGGCTGGATCGCCAGCAGGATTTTGTGGGCTGAACAAAAAATGGTAGGTTCGAACAAGTTTATTGCCAACGCTCTGTAAAAGTTTAACACCTTTCGATCGGCCCCATCGATAACCATCATTATGTATTTGTCGATAATGATCCGCACTAGAAATGCATTCAATAAATAAATTCTTCTTAATATTTAAAAAAGATTTTAGGTAGGAAAAAATATTTTTTCTGTAAAAGCAATCCTGAAAAATGAATAAAACACTTTATTACCCTTTACAATCGTAGACAATGATACTTCCAGCAGATGGTCTTAACTTTGGTATATCTAAGCTGATAATCGATGGATCGTGCTTTGCGCGCACTGCAATATGAGAAATGAAAATAGTAAATAGCATAATGAGAGTAAAATAGCTCTTAAATCAGATAAACATTGTAGTGATTTATCCTAAACATTAAGTGCAAATCCGGGTGAATCAATAGTGTTTCTTACTCAAAAAATTTTAGTATTTACCGCACAATATGGAAAAATAACTTCACTAAAGGCTTGATTATGGTGATTTAATTAAAATAAAAATGTGGTTAGTGGTTACCATTTCTTATTTTTGATTTGTCCTATTTCGCTAATTGTTGGCACTCTGAGATATTTTTGCCAAGGAATGGTGTATGGCGATAGAAGTAAAGATGGATCGCCATAAAGATACAGGTAATGAAATAAAATTTTTACTCTTATAGAATGCAGAATTTTGGACAGGATAGAATCCATGATGCGCATGATGATTATCTAAGCAATAACCACTCAACATGCGGAGATATGGCTATTTCGATTTTAATATCGATCACGAGTTTGACTTCCAGCCTCCTTGAAAGGAGTAAACCTATCATTAAAAATATGGGTGGCGTGTGATGAAAGGAGTATACCTATTTTCTTAGAGAATTATATTAAGAAACTAAGTGATTACAAAATAGTGAAATTTCAGCAACTCACTTATGATATCATAATAAACCGGATACGGAAATAACTTGTGATTTCCTGTAAAACTGAATGATGGATCTTTAGCATCAGGCGCTAAAACTCTTTCTCTTTTTCCAGTTTTTGAAAATCCAAGAATTGTGTCAACAGGATTGAAATTTTGACTTCGACGACTAACCCAAGTGTTTCGAGGAATTTTTCTCATTATATATTTAGGTTTATCATCCACATTGTGACTTTGTAAGCTTCTGCAACAAATTGTTATTTTATGAAAGAAAACGAATTTTATACAAATTTTACATAGTACACAAAATAAAGGCTCAAAGTTGAAAAATAAACAATAAAGGATAATTTTTATTAAAATCAATATAATTTATGCTTTTTCTATATGAAATTAAGTAAATGACAAAAAAGGAAATAAAAAAAATCAAAAAATCTAACATATTAGGCGTGTCGAGAAGAGTTTGGCGTGAACTTGTTGATGCTCTTCCTTCTTCGACCTGAATAATTGCATCATTTTCTACATCAATCATTTCATGAATCGAATCATCCGGGTCGACTTCAGCCTCAAGGCTTTCAATTTCTTCTTCTTCTCTTTTTGTGATCATAAAACTTTTTGTTTTTTCTGCTTGTTCTCGAGATTCTTCAGCAGATGATGTCGAATTTCTATAATAATTTCACATAAAATATATATATTTTAGAAGGAAGTAGAAGAGGTCAAATAGAGGTCAAATAGAGACTTCAAGAAGAAAAAGAGAAGAAAAATAAAAATTTAATTCAGAAATTTATAAAAAATTTTACCTTTTAACACGTTTTCTTAGATGCATTTTATAGAACTATCTTTTTATATCCTTTGATTGAATGCTCCAAATTTCTTTAAAAGTAAAATAAAAGAATAAAACTTAAAAAATCACAAAAATTAGGCAAATTAAACCACAAAAATTTACACGCAGCGTAAAGAAAAGAAAAAAATCACGCAAAAGAATCGAAAAAAATTTTAAAAATATTTTATAGTATAATTTCCAACCGAAAAAAAATATTTTTCAAAGTTAATGAAAAAAAATTTATTTCGATTTCGAAAAAAAATTTAAAAATTAAATTTACATTAAAATTCAAAAAAAAAAGAACGATTTTTTATTTTAAAATTTTTTATTTTTCAAATAACATAAAGAATTTTACAAAATTTCAATAAATTAGGAATATTTTTGGAAAATAAATTCTTTCGATTCTTTTGAAATAAATTCGAAATAAATCAAGGAGAAGAAAAAAAACGACGAATTATCGCGAAATTAATTAAATAAATTAATAAAGTACCACAATATTGAACCGGCCGCACCGCCTTAACAAGTGAACGCACGCTTAGGCCACAAATTTAGGTCATTCTCCCGCTTCATTCCTTAAACTTCGTTCAGCTCGATACGCTTGGGGACGAATTATTCTTTTTCAAAAATTTTTTCACTTTTTTTTTGTGGTGCTTTTTTTTCGTTATTGAATTTCGCTATATATTTCTATTTTGCACATTTTTTTCTTGGAGCGATTGTTGTTAGATTTTTTCACGGATCCCGTAGAAGGTACCGAAAAGATCCAAGGGTCCAAACTATAACTCCACGAATATATTGTTTTCAAATTTTAAAATTTTAAATTATTTCTTAAATATATGTGAATGAATGAAAATAGTATTCTATATAAAATGATCGTTAAGAATGCTTTTATTAATCATATTCACATAAAATTTATAAGGCGAATTTGGTTTTCATGCATTCTCTTAGAATCATCATGGACCGCATGAATTCTATACGGAAATGAGTTTTTCATGACCACCATTGTTCTTCTTTTGAAGAAAAAGCAACTGAAAGCAATCACTTTTGTTATTTTAGAAATGTGTAAAAAATTTAAATTTTAAATTTAAATGCATAAAAATTTTTCAATTGCTTAAATCGATAAAATTCGTAAAAATTTATAAATTTTTTTATTTTTTTCAGAAAATATTATTTTAATTATATATTCTTTGAAAGAATGATAATGAAAAAAATTTGGCAAATGTTAAGTCGAAGCGCGAAAAATTGGCGATTTCAACAAAAAGCGATTAAATATTTAGAAAATGTCGATAGAACTAAAGTAAATTAGTATTTTTTTTTTTAAAATATAAATTTTATTTTTATTTTTCTAAAGGTTTTTGTGAAAAAAATTTTTTAGAGACATTATTTAATGAGAAATAAAAATTGAAAAAAGAACAATCAATTTTCCTGAAAAATTTTCCTTTTTGAAAAAAATTGTTGAGAGGAAATTAAGGGAAAATTAAGTTATATTATTTATATATGATTAGGCTCCTCGCTGCGCTGATTTATCGGATCAGACAGAAATTTGGGTTGGTACATGGTAATGGAAATACAGGTGAGTCGTCAGCATCATCTCAGGGTTTTTAGAAAGATTAATTTTCTCTTGTAGCTATTTACGCTACCCTATTAGAATTTCAGCCTATTAGAATTTACCCTATTAGAATTTCAGCCTATTAGAATTTACCCTATTAGAATTTCAGTCTTTTTTTGGTATGGTGATGCTTTATCGTTTCTTCTGTCCACTTCTTGAATTCTTATTATTGGCAATTTCAAATTATTAATTTAAACTGTTGAGTAAATAAACTAATCTTCTTTTTCTAATAGCTCTCATTATTACTGGTTAGGGTGGCTCCAATGGCTAAAAGAGTGGCGCGGTCTAATGCTATCGTCGACAGTAATAGAAGCCATTCCTTTTTCCATCGTCTAAGTCCATGTATTGCTGGTCCACCTATACGTTCCTATAATTTTCTGATAAAATCTTTCCTGATTGTAGCAGTCCAGCTCAGGTCTTGATTGGCCCACCTCACTTTTGACGCCAACCATCACACTGTTTAGTTAATAACGAAATATATGTCAACTTCTGTGGTGGAGAATAACCTAATGAATGTATAAGTAAATTATCCATCTGATAAACTTATTAAATACGATAAATCTTTCATTTTTTCTCGAAACATAGAAAATATTTCCATATTCAGATTTCCCCACATTTATGCCTTTGTATTTTTTTACATCAAAATTTTAATTAATAAAATACAAAATTAGTTAATTGTTTGTATTTAACTGCACTTAATTATTTATGTTTATTATTATATTTATTTATTTTTAATGGAATAACTAAGAGATTTATTTGAGTAAGAAAGCCAGTCGACACAATAGCAGATTTGCTTTATTAGAGGGACTTTACTAGCGATGGACATATTTGCAGGATTTTTGCTTGCTTGGACATTTGAAGATATTTGAAAATTTTTAGATTTAGATAAATTCTATTCTTTATTAATCTGAAATTTATATTTAAAGGATTCGTTCATATATATAATCACCGACAATACTTAAATTATATTTAGTTAAGTTTTTTTTATTTGTTTTTTGTCTTATTTTTAAATTTGTTTTCATTATATTTTTACTTTTAGGTGCCCGTTTCGAGATATTCTATGGAACAGAAAAGATTAGAAGAAGCTCAAAATAATCAAGATATTTTAAAGGTCTTTTTATAATTTCCCGTTTTAATTAATTCTTCCTTTTTTTTTATCCTCTTATTCAATGGTTCTTTTCTATTTTTGCGTTGAGCATTTTTTTGAAAGGGATTTCTTTATCATAGGAAGGGATAATACTCTTAAATAATTCTTTATCATAGAAAAAAATTAAGAATCATTGATCTAGTTGAAAGCGTGATTGATAATTCTTCTGGTTTGATTGATTTCTGATTGTCTTTACGATTGTCTGTGCATTTATTTAATTGTTTAATGCAGAAGTTTTTTTCTTATTATTTAATAGTCATTATTTTTTAAAGATTTCACATTATTATTTTAGGAAGTGCATACGAAACATGAAAATCTAATAGAAAATATGAACAAGTTTACGATTGTTTCCACTAATCCACCCGAGCGAACTGAAGCAAGGAGGTTTTAAACGCTTTATTGAAATTTCTTATCGTCAATACGGACCATAAAATTTCCACTCTTTATTCATCTTGCTTTGAATTTTTGGGTAAAAATTTGGATTTAGCAATAGTTTCATGGAAAAAAATTATCTTTAATAAAAAAATTCAATGAAACAATTCGAAAAAAAATCGACTTTGATTTTTATTTCGAAATTGCATTCAAATTTTTCAAATTTCAGTAAAAAGATAGAGCTATTTAATGAATTTTCTTAAGTATTATTAATTATTTAAGCGAAAAATTTTTTTATTTTTCGTAAAAATGCTATTTTTTTGTATAATTTGTAATTTTTCTCGAAATTATATGAAATATTAATAAATGTTTTTTTCCAAATTTTCAGTTAATTTAGGCCAGGACCTACGAGAGAAAACGAATGGTCAACTAGATATGAGCAATCATGGGAATTTGGATTTTACGAGCCACCAGCTGATAAAATACCGAAAGGAAAATTGACATTTCGTGAGGCTCTCGATGTAAATATAATTTTTAATAGTTAACTTTTAAGCAAATTTTCACTAAATTTTCGTCTCTTTTATTTTCTTCTTATTTTTTCTTTTTCTTTTGGTGAAGAAATTTGATAGTTTTCACCGAAAAAAATTTATTTAAATTAAAAATCTCTATGAATTCTTAAAATCAGTAATTCATATTTATTGTAATTATCATTAATTTTATTTGATAATTAAGATTTTAGAATTAAGATTTTAAAATAGACTTGTAATTATTCGTTTTTTTTAGCTGATGAAAGTGCGATCAAGCTTGGAGGAGAGGAGTAATGAAGCATATACTTCAGTCGATATCAGCAAAGATCATTCGGCGAAATATCCAGTAATTTTCAGATTTCTGTACATATTCCTTAGTACATATCTCCTTTGAGGAGATGTGCATATTAGCTTTTGCTTAGATAATTGTTTGAAAAATCTATTGTTATTTTACAGAGCCATTGTATATGAGATATTTATTTCCATGCAAGTGATTATTTAATATTGTTTATATAATGCATTAAAATAAAGTTCTATAGATTTGAGCGGAAGACATAGATTTTTTGAGCCTGGCGATTATTTTGATTGGTGTTCAAAGATCAAAATTTATTAATATTAATATTATTTTAATTTTTAATATCTTATATACAATTAATAATTATTATTAATAATTATAAATAATAATAATTATTATTAATACTAATAATTATTAATATTTATAATTAATAATTATTTATATTTTCGCGTTTTTTTCACTAGTATTTATATTTATATTATCCGGTGCTCTATTGTCGCCTTACAACTATCGTCATCTTTTCTTTTTTTATAATTATTTATTATAATTATAATTGATTTTATTTAATGATTAAATCTTAAAATAAGTTTACAAAATAGGTTTATAATTATAGCGGTATATTTTTTTGTCATTTTGATTATTTCTTTGAAGTAGATGATTAAAATGAAATTTTTTAATTTTATTTTAAATTTGTTAAATTTTATAAATTTATTTATTTAAATTTATAAATTTATTTTAAATTTAAATTTTAGGCTATCGATCGAATTGATAAGGAGAAACTTCAACGTATGTGGCAGTATTTTAGAGCATTTGAGCACAGAGAACAACAACAGGTTATATTTTATCTTTTCCAAAATTTTTTATTTTTTGAAGTTCTTTAAATTTAATTTAAAATTGTTAAAAATTTTCTATTTTAGATCGTTCGAAATTCCGAAATAAAAGTTCTTCAGGACGCCTTTCTTGGATATATACGACCGCAAAAATTGGCGGATGTTTTCAGTTTAGCTAAAAAAACAATTAAACGGAAGATAGGTCCGACATTGGATTCTCTTATGCCTTCTCAGGTACACCATTTTTTTTATTTGCATTCTAGTGAGCAAACAATAGCAAGTTTCTTAAATTTTTTTTTCATAAATTTCAATGCCACTTAATTCAGAAAAATGATGAAAATAGTAAGGATTTCTTGGAAGAGATAAAACAAAGGCGATTTGAGGAAAAGCAAAGGTTAAATAAGCAATTGGAGAATTTGGATGATTTTAGCGTGGTAAGTCACTTTTGTATATTTATTTATTTTTACATTTGCATTTATATAAACTTTTTCTGTTCTCAGTATTGAAATAATTCATTATTAATAAAAAAAGGAAGTGAATTATGAATCAAAGTATCTATATGATATAAAATATGCTTCAGGAAGCGGAGAAATTTCCAAAATCCAAATCATTGGCTGTGAAAAGCTCCAAAAATAGTAACAATTCCACTCAGAGTTGATGTTATTCTCTATTTCTCTTAGGATTACTAGTGACAAAAAAATTTATCGTAGCGATGGGCGAAAGGAAGAAAAATTATTTTCTAAAAAAAAGAATGAATTACGAAGAAAAGGAAAGGAATATTGTTTAATTAATTGGTTGTTTAAAAAATAAAAAATTGTAATTATTTATATTTATATGTTGTAGGAATAAATGTGGTACTGTAATTTGTTTATTTCACAGTGACTGTTTTCTGTTATGGGCAGATAAACCTTTTATACTATGAAACCTTTAATTAATTATAGGCCAATTATAAGTGTTAATTAGAGAAGTTGATCTTTGTTGATTATTTTTTAAAAGTATAACAAATGCCTTTATAAGCACGGATTTTCGCTATAACACATAAGTTATTTCATAAGCAAAGTTATTTCATAAGTTTTTTTTCATTTTTTAAGAGTCCGCACCAGTATTGGTTAGACTCGCTCCGCTGGCTTGTCCCATTGGGCAATATGCCATGAAGTCCATTGGTGATAGAAATACGGGCGAGTCGCCAGCTGGACTTTTATGCAGGTTTACTCTTGCTGGGAATCGAACCTCATTGGCGCTCCCAATGAACTCAGTTTTTATCAATTAATCAGCAACAACCCACTGAGCCATCCTATATCATAAATAATATGGTATTTATTTAAATCATGCATTCGCTGAAATGCTGAAATAAGCTGAGTTCATGGGACTCGATTAAGTCTGCGTATTGCCAATGTACTTTTAACTGCATGGCTCATATAAAAATGATCTAATGGAGGTCGTTTTTCTTCAAATTGACGAAAGAAAGATGAAACGACTTTAAAACCTTACATTATTTAGTTGTCATGCGCATATACAATGAAGTCGATATGACTGGACTATATCGTTTTAATTTTTATTATTATGTTAAAATATTTTATAGATATTATATTTTATAGATATATATTATATATATTTTTTAAAACCCATTATAATAATAGCCTCGATCTGTATTGATTCTTATATCAGTGGTCAGTTCTCATCAATATTATCAATTATCAATTATCATTTATCAAAATGATTATTGGCTATTAATAGGAATTTTTTTACTAACCAGAGAGTTACTTGGTTAAACGTGATCAACACTATCTGGTTAGTTATCATCAGTTATCAGTATTATGCAAGGCATCGCTATATTTCTCGGTTTGTGGAATTATTTTAGTATTTTCAGTATTTCTTGGTTTTAGTTATTTTTGTTTTTTTTTCTTTGCTATTTATTAATAGTTAGATGAATATAAATTATAGATTACAATTATTTTTTAAATTCATAATTCAGCTAATTTAGCTATTGCCATTATTACAGCGGATCTAATGTTATTATTATAGATTTTCCACGAGGAGTTCCACGATTCTAAAAATTCTCCGTACAATAAATTTTTTTTTTTTTTGATATAAGGGGAATTTTAAACGATTCACCATTCTGTTCTTAACCTTTTATGCCTCATTTTTATTTATTTTTAAGGGCAGTTTTTATCAATTAATCAGCCATCAGTCATACTTCTTTATTTTCATCTTTTTTAATTAGACTGGTTCCAGTGCTTTGTCAGATTAGATTAATTTTACTAGTGGAGCCAGTTGGCAATGGAATTAGAAGTGAGTCGTCAGCATAACTTTTGGAAAGACAAGTTTATTCATATTGAGAATAGAATAGGAGCATCAGCGCAGAGCAACAAGCCATTCTATTCTCGAATATTAATGCAGTTAATATCTATTATCCCAAATATTGTCAGGATATTTCGTAAAATTTAATGAAAACGATACGACGTGTTGTATGTGCATTATCAGGAGGGATTGATAGCGCTGTGGCGGCGCTAAGATTAAAGCAAAAAGGATTCGATGTTGTTGGACTTTATATGGTAAATTTATTTCTTTAATTATTTTATTCGAATAATATTTTAAAAATTTTATTAAATTTGAGAATTATAATATATATTTTTATATTTCTCTTGGATCGCGAAATATAATTTTTGATTCTATATGAAAAAATTTAGGTGAATTGGGATCATTTGGAGGAAGGACAAAGCGAATGTCCTCAAACACAAGATAAATTCGTTGCTAAAAGTATTTGTGATCGTCTTGGAATAGAATTTCACGTCGTAAATTTTGTGAAAATTTATTGGAATGATGTATTTTTGTGAATTTTAATTTTAATTTTATCTCCCATATAATTTATAATTAATATCTTATAATTTATCCTTAAAATTTATAAATTTATACTAATTCATTTCGAGATTTTTTATTTTTTTTTTCTAGAGCACAAAAAAATTTTTTTTTAGATATACGATTAATAATTATCGTAAAGGGAGAACTGTGGTTCCCGATATTTTGTGCAATCGAATTATAAAATTTCAACATTTCCATGAATATGCTATAAATAGGCTAAATGCAGATGCAATCGCCACAGGCCATTTTGCAAGAACAAGTTTTGGAGATTTTCTGGAGAATCGCTCTGAAAAAAATAAAGGTTATTGAATATTTTTATGGAATTGCTTTTGCTTTTTGTGAGGTTAGTTGAAAATCACATTTTATTTCATTTTTCATATCGTACCGAATTGAATTTCAAGAATTAAAGGAATTTTATTGTCATTCGTTAAATTTCAGAGGTTCTCTTATTCCGTGGTTCAGATCCTATCAAAGACCAGTCTTATTTTTTATCAGCTTTAACTCAAGATCAGCTAAGACGCTCAATGTTCCCAGTAGGTTCATTAACAAAACCTCAAGTAAGGCAAATCGCTAGTGATGCCAATTTAAATGAAGTCTTAAATAAACCCGAGGTTATTCCTTACATTGATAATAAATTTTGATGAAAGATATAGTTAAAATTAGCTGAAATTTTTTGCTAATAATCTATTTTCATTGTTGGATATTGCTAATGTGATATTTTTTATAAATTTTTTGCTAATAATCTATATAGTTAAAATTAGCTGAAATTTTTTGCTAATAATCTATTTTCATTGTTGGATATTGCTAATGTGATATTTTTTATAAATTTCATTGATATTATAATTTGGTAATTTATTTATCATTCGATATTTAGAGTATGGGAATATGCTTCATCGGAAAGCGTAAAAATTTTAGTGATTTTATCGACCAGGTTTATTTTTCTTTTTTATTTATTTTTTAAACTGCCCAGTTTTCTGATACTTTGTTTTCATTTTTTTATTTATACATATATAGATAGAGGCGTACAAATTCTTTAGTTATGAAGATTTTTCTTTGAATATTCCTTATTTTCTTTTTATGAATAGATACTTATTGATGAGAAGGAAAAGAGAGGATTTACTGGATTATTTGTGGTAGGAAAAACTTCTCGCATTTATTGATGAGCCAAAAAAAGAAAGTAAAATTGGAAATAAAACTGGTGAAAAGAAAAAAGGAACGAATTTGCAAATATTTTTACGGGCGATTTTTATACAATTGAAAATTTTCATTTTAAATTTTAAGATCATTTTCTAGTATATTGAACCATCTCCTGGACCTGTAAGACTTATTGATAGTGGTGAAACAATTTGGCATCATAGTGGTATTCATCATTTTACAATCGGTAAACGAGTTTCTGTACCTCATCACCAATATAGGACACATTTTGGGCTATTTGTTGTTTCACTTGAATATTCAACACAAACAGTTTGGGTGGTAAGTTAGATTTTTTAATTATTTCATTTCCACTTTTTAAAAAAAAAAAATAAGGTAAATTATTTCTATGGATTTAAAAATGCATTTGATTTTTTTGATTTTGACTTTATAAGTTTTTCATTTTTGAAGATTTTTGCTAATTTTTAGGAAAATAAAAATTTTGAGTTTTATTTTTATTTATTTATTTTATTTATTTTTAAGTGCGAAGGCACTTATCATCCGTCTCTTTTTGCCACAGAATTTGTTATATCTCAACCAGTTTGGATCGCTAATTCACCATTTGATTTTTGCGGTACTTATTTCTTTATTTTATTTTTTATACATTCATTAGATTTCATTTGGATCACCAGTTTTATCAAGGGCAATGATGGTCAAATGCAATGGTCTCTTCGATTCACATCCAGTATCATTGATTCTGTTCCTTTCTCCTTAATAGAAAACCTATTATAAAAGTTATATCTTGCAGTAATGAGAATACCATTTTCAATTTTATCCCCATAAGATTATCTGTAGAAGGAACCAGTTTAACCAGTAACGGCTAATAAAGAGATCTGTTACCATATATAACTCTCATTAAATTTTTATAATTCTGAATATTTACCGGTAAATAATATTCACACTCATATCGAATCGATTAACCTTAAATGCATATTTCAAATGCATATTGTTTTTAATACGTATAAATCCAATGAATTCCTCATTTATAGGCAATTGTGATGAAGCTAATACTGAATTCTCTCTTCAACGAACACATAAACCACATCCTTGTAAGCTGATTCGTTTTACCGATAATTTAGTTAAATTAAAACCCTTTTATCCAGTACGAGCCGCAGCTCCTGGTCAGGTAATTATTGCAGCATTGTCCTATTACAAATTCATTTCATTTTTCAGCAAAGATGAAGATGTTTTAAATTATTTTGTTAAAAGAGCTTTAAAATTTTATTATTATTATTTATTTTATTATTATTATTTTATTATTAATCTTATAAATTTATGTTTTATTATTATTTTTTTTTTTAGATTTGTGCTTTTTATCGTGATTCTGAGTGTCTTGGATGCGCTGAAATACAATATGTGCTAAGGACATTGGCCGATTAGTTATTTTTTTAATAGGTATATGGAAGAGAACATCCGTTTTTTTTTTATTAGTGCTTCTAATTCCACTTACTGATAGATATTTGCATAAAATATTACTTTTTATATGGCTTTTTTTTAATATTTGTTGTATTTGAGGGTGAATTTCCACATAAATATTAAATATTAATTTATTAAATATTGAATATCAATTTTACATCCTACGTATATTATTTGAAAGTTTTTTATTGCAAAATTTTATTATAATTATTTTTAATCCATTTTTATTAAAACTGGCAATTGTTCTTCGCTGATATGCATTTATTGGTCGTACATGTCAAGGTGAAATCGACATTCCTGCAACAGGTCTGTGCGAAACTACTGTATTTGGTAGAATATATGGTCCTCTTATCGGAAGCATATGATGCTGTGGTGGATTTATATATTCTTTTGGTTGTGGCTTGAGATTATGTGATAGAATATTTTGGTTAATTATTGGTGATAGGGGTAAGCGTTTGTTCGAAGTTAGTTGTGGATTTATTTGCGGAAAAAACATATTCGAAGGTAGCTGTGGACTTGGAATTGTTCCTGGATGAAATGGAACGTATAAATTCGGTTGAAGTGATGCTATAGGAATTGGTTGTGGTGGAGAGAAATGAGGATAATTTGGAGCGCAACACATGCATTTTGTAGTGGGGCATGGTGATGATGCGCTAGCACAACTTTTTTTCGTTCTTTCGCCTTTGAATTCAGTGAAATTATTTTTCTGAAAAAAAATTTTTTTTTTCTTTAGAAAAAATTTAGAAAAATTTAGAAAATTTTGCCTAAAATTAAAGTGTCATTATTTCTTTTTTCTATATTTCATTCTATTCTGATGGAAAAAAAAAGGAAAATTCGAGTGAAAAATTTTTACATTTCGCTATTATTGAAACCTACTTTTTTTTTTTAGGATTCGTTTCGTGAAATTTTTTTTTTTCGAAATTTGCATTAGAATTTGAGGATATTTGACGCATTCGATAAAAGAAAAAATGAATTTTTGTAAATTCGTTAAAAAATGACAATGGCGGAGAAGGAAAGAATTGGAGAGCAAAAAAAAACCGACCGAACTAATGTTAATATTTTCCGTTTTATATCCAATAATTGCAGATGAATCAGTAAGAATGCCATAAATATCTTCCTAAATATAATTTTAATACTTATAATTATAATTATGATAATAATTTTTATAATTCGATAATTATAAAAATTTTTTTTTTTTTGGATAACTTTTTTTTATATTTTTTATTAATATAATTTTTTATATTTTTATATTTTTTATTAATAAAGAAAGCGTATAATTTATTGTATCTATATGAAGAAAAAATTATTATTTCACATAATTTGCAAATTTATTGCCTTTTTTTTTTTGAGATTTACAAAAAATTCTGATTGGTTTCCTTGAATAAAATGAATGGTTTTCTAGAATGCTAAAAAGTTACTTTTCTTACTCCATGATAGCGGCTAGCAAGTCGACAACATTGTGTACATATCTCAGTATTCAGTGTTGCTATTTCTGAACAAGGCATTCGTTGGGCATTCATGGACGGTGAAGAGGGTGGTGAAGGTAAGGGTGATGAAGATAAAAGTGGAGATGAAGGTGCAATTAGAACTGGAGGTGGAAGTTGGGGTGCAATTGGAACTTGATTTGGTGTAGGCGATGGTGGATTCGATGGTGGTGGTGGTGGTGGTGGTGGATATGAGGGTGGTGAAAGTGGAATTGGATCTGGATGAGGAATTGGTGCAAAAATATGTAGATAACTTGGTAGAGCCGAAGGAAGAGGACAGGGGTAGCCATTGGAACATGGTTGGATAGGTTCGCCTGGAGCGAGGCCAGTTTTATATTCATCTTCATCACGAATAACAACCATTATTGAGGCACTCATTGTACAAACGAATCCTGCAGTTAAATCTTTTTCAGAACATGGAACATGAAACATGTATTTTTATTATTTTTTCATATTTCATAGAAATTTAATTTATTTTATTTTATTTTATTTTAACTGTGGAAAAATATACAATTATACAATTATACCTCGAATATACAATTTTAGTTTAACTGTGGAAAAAATGCATTAATAAATTTACAGGTAGGTCGCCATATGACTGCCTAGTTGAATTTTTCTTTGATAAGCCAGTGGAGAGAGCCTAACTATAAGTGCTTGACAAAAGCACAGTCTAAGGACCTCTGTTCTGGAGGTCTCCGAGGCCTTTTCATTTGGTCCTCCCTAGAAACCATTTTCATGGTACTTTAGTAATATATTAGTAATATAATAATATAATATATTAGCTTAGCAAATTTATATATATATATATATAAATTTCATAGTTTTAATTTGTAATGTGACAAATACCGAAAATTATGCCAAAAAATAAAACGCTTTATGGGTTTTTCAATAATTTTCGAGAATTTAGAGGGATTTTCAATGAATTTTTGGAATTTTCAAGGATGAAATTTTGAGAGCCAAAATTTTAACCAAAATTTTGGCATTAATATTTAATTGAATTTATAATTTTTCTTTTATTTATAAAATTTGTAATTTATTTATTTTAAGTAATTCGAATTTATTTATTTTTGCCAAAATTTTTCATATCTTAATAAAATTTGTTAATAATTTATTATTTTTATTATTATTTATATTGATGATCACTAGTGATATTTTTTATCACTAGTGATGATAAGAAGTAGTAATAATAACATATAACACTGATTTATTGCAACTTGCAACTATAAAATATTAGAATAACATAAAAATTTTTTAAAAATCTTACTATCGTCTGATATTTGTGGATATTGCCAAGACGGTAAACCATATGGATTAACGAATACCGTCTGCTGAGCAGAATTTGTTTCATTTCTCGTCTATAAAAATTTGATGAAAATTACTTAGATAGTTTTTAAAAATATCCTATGAAAATTAAATTCATTTATTTTTATTAAATTGAAAAAAAAATTAAAAATTTTTTTTAGCAAAGAAATAATTTTTAAAATATATATTATGTATGAGCACTGGACAGTGGAAAAAAAGTGATTAGTCTCCGTAGTTACGCTGACCTATTCAGTTCTCTCAGGTATGCCTCGAGCGGCTTGGAAATGCCTTAGCCTCGTTGTCAACTCAGCTAGTCTATTCAGTTCTCTCAAGTATGCCTCGAGCGGCTTAGAAATGGCTTAGCCTCGTTGTCAACTCAGCTAATCCATTCAGTTCTCTCAGGTATGCCTCAAGCGGCTTAGAAATAATTTAGCCTCGTTGTCAATTGACCTATAAATGCTTTTTCCAAAAAAAATTGAAAAATGAAAAACGAAAAAAGCATTTACTAACAGAAATTGCAATAACACTTGCAAAAATAATTGAAATAAAACCGATAATGGAGAGCATATTTTTTAAAAGAAATATCTTAAAACGATGAACAATATTTTTAGCTAAATTCGCTTTATTTATATACTCAGAATGAAGCAAAAAGAAAAAATAAGCGAAAAATTTTTAATTGGGTGGAGTAATAATTTAAAAAAGAAAATATAAAAATTTCAATAATAATTCTTTTTATTAATGAAAAAATATAACAAATATTTTATTAAATTTTTTTTCTATTTATTAATTTATGAAATCGTAATATTTTTTCAAATAATATAAAATATAAATTTTATATTTTTAATATAAATTAAAAAAATAAAATGGAAAAATATAAATTGAAAATATATAATAAAAATATAAAATATAGAAACGCAAAATAAAAATAAAATAAAATTTAAAATAAGATAATACAAAATAAATTAAAATAAAGTATATAAAATATAAAAATTCGATAGAAATTGATGAAAAATATTAAAAATTGTTTTCTTCTCCAATGAAATTATTTGGTATTTACTTACTTATTGAAAATAAGTTGATTTTCAAAGAAGATGCCAATTAGAAAAAAAGGAAAATTTATTCGTGCAATAAAAGAATGAAGGAATAAAATTGCTTTTGACGTTTGCAAAATCCGCAAAATATTCGAAACCAATATTTTAAATATTTTATTGGAATTTTTTTTTATTAATTTTGAATATGTGTTAGAAATATGTTTTTTATAATTATGCAAAATAGTGAAAGTAATTATGCAAAATTTTTTCAAAATTTTTTTTCAATGAAATATTATTATTAATTTTTTATTATCATTTTTAATTATTAATAATAATAATAATAAATTATTATTATTGTCAATCATTTCTTTAAATTTTGCAATTTTGTAAATTTTAAAATGAATTGAATTTTCAAATGAAATAAATTGAAATTTACATATTTAATTAAAATTTCAACACAAAATTTAAAATGATTATTTCAACTATATAGTTTGATAAGTTTTAAAATGAATTTATTAAAAAAAAGGGGTTTTTTTTCATTTCCCGAATCAATTAAGCCTGAAAAAGCTTTTTGAAAAAAATCATTTTTCTATTTTTTCTATTTTTCTATTTTAATAATTTTTCTATTTTTTAATAAAAATTTATTAATAAATTGAAAAAAATAAATTGAAAATACTTCTGGGAATTATTTCAATTTTTTCTCTAAAAATTAATTTTTTTGCAATTTTTATCTGATATAAGGATATATAGAATTTTTAAAGCTAAACAAATCCAATTTTTATTTCATAATAAAGAAAAAAAAGGAATATTTAGAAAAACTTTTTTAGTGACGAATTGTTGAAAAATTTTTTCATTTCTCAAGAATATTTTGTCTCAATGATAATTTTTTTAGATTTAAGCGATATGAGCGTTATTAAAATATTTGTTTGCATTTTTATAAAATAAAATAAGTAAATAAATTATTAAATATTAAGTATTATCGAATAAATGTAACTATTTAAATAATTGTCAAATTATTAAAATTATTAAAATAAATAAAATAATAAAAATAATAAAAAATAAATATTAAAATAAATAAAATAATAAAAATAATAAAAAATAAACATCTCTATTTTAATTAATATTATTATTGTTATTATTATTCTTATTATTAAATAAATAAGAATCAGCAATAAGTTTTTTTTAATCTTCATTTGCTATTCCTTGAATTTAAGTTTATTTTTTATTATAGTTAAGAAATTCATTTTAAATTTATATTTTTTGATAGAAGACATGTAGCAACATCAAATAACAATATCATTTTAATTTTTATCATTTTAATTTTTATTATTAACATTATCGCTCGTGTTGCTATATTTATAATTATAATTGTTATTATTAATATTATTAATATATTAATTATTATTAAAATTATTATTATCGAATGTTATCACATGAAATTTGATCAAATGATTAATAGTTCAGAGTTATCAATGGAATATAAACAGATCACTAAAATTTATTCAGATAATACGAATTTTAATTAAAAATCCATTTTAAAAAATAATTTTATTAGTTTCAGCCAAGTTAATTGGTGCCGAAATTTAATAACAAAGGCCACAGAAAACACCACATAAAATTTAAATTTAGATTTAAATTTAGGATTTTAAACGAAAAATTTTTTTAAAACAAAAATTATTGCCTAAAATCTACGATGAATAAAATTTGAGGAAAATAAAAATTTTTTTCGGTTTCGGCATTTTTAATAAAAAAACATTTATTATCTTCTTTATTATCAAATATTTCCGATCTTTAATAAAATTCCTGTAAAAGAAAAAAATTTTAAATATTTTTTCGAATTTTTTAAAAAAATTTTTAAAATAAATAAAAAATAAAATCCCACCTTACAAATTCCTTTATAAAAAGTTGATTTTTACGAAAATTATTCAGATTTTCTTCAAAATGTTCTTTTTTCCGATTTTCCTCTTCGCTACAATTATTTTTCATGTAAGTTGATTTTTTATATTTTTGTATTTTATATTTTATATATTTTATAATTTATATTTTATATATTTTTGTAATTTTTTTATTATTTTTATAATAAAATCTTTAATTTTATTTAATTTAATTTTATAATTTTATTTTTATAAATTTTCGATAAAATTTTACAATAAATTTAATAGAAAATTAATGATTATACGCTTAGAATTTTCTAATTTTTCAATTATATGAAAATTTTTCATCTATTTTTAAAAAAAATATTCAATTCAGCTGACATTGGTTATTTGTCGTGGTTATTTCGTAGAAAATATAGTTTTGAATTTTTTAAAAACTTTCTATTCCACATTTAACTTATTGTCTACAGTAGCTTAGTGATATGACAATTGCTAGCGAGAATCGAGAACGGCTCAAATTCTTCGAGTCCGATCAACGTACTACGTTGGCCGGCAATGTCATCAATGTTACCAACTGGCAAAAGCAAAAAGAGTGCGTAGAGTGGCTCAATAGGTTGTCGATTAGTTTGGAGTGCCGATACTGAAAACCTTATTTCAGTAAAAGAATTTTTCATAATTCGCGCTTATACTAGTGACTTGCCTGTACTAATGATTCCCTGGCAAAGCCTTCGTACTGTTAAGCCAGCGATGAGAACTAAAAAACCAGTAGTAGTGAATTTTTTTTAAGAAAAAAAAAGAAAAGAAAAATTTCAACAACGACTGAAAAATAATCTAATTTTTTCTAAACGATTTTTTCCAAGAAAATAATTAGTTTTTCGATAAATAAAAATAAAAAGAAAAAGAAAAAATTCAGAAAAAAATAAAAAAATAAAAATAAGATGAATAAAGAAAAATAAAATGAGAATTTCATAAAAATTTCATAAATTAAAAATATTTTCGCAGAAAAATATAAAAAATTTTTTGAGTGTAAAATTTTCATTATAGAGTTGTGGTCAAACGATTTTAGATCATTCATTTCAAATAAACGAGCCAAGTCCTTATTCATATTTCTTCATGCCCGGATCGTTGCCAATATCAGATCGTAAGCCTGTTTTCTATTGACGACTTTTGGTACTTCCTATATAATGATAGTTCATGGAAATTGAGAAAAAAATCATGAAAATTGAGAAAAAAATCATGAAAATTGTTCTTGAAAATTGATAGTTCACGAAAATTGAGAAAAATCTCTTTTTATTTATTGAAATTCTAAGAGAATTGAAGTAATTAGTTGTGAAGATCTACAAATTAGATTGTTGATATGTGGCACATGCACTGGAATTAATTATAGTATATCGTCATTATTAAAATCCTTCACTATAAAATGATAAAAGGAACCAGTACTGTAATAGAGTCATGGACTATCTTAGCATAGATAGAAGCATAGAAGCAAGAAATTTTAGTTAGCATAGAAGCAAGAAATTTTAGTTAAAAGTATCATAGCCTAGCCAAGTCTTTGGCCTGCGATTTTTATAATGTTTGTACCAAAAGAAAAGTCTGAATAAGAGCATAAATTATTTCCCTTATAAAATTACGAGGTGCACTCTGAAATAAAACGATTCTTCATAAATTTTTTCGTATTTCAATGTCTATGATTGTTGGCCCTCTAAAATTTAGTACCAATCCTAACCTCAATTCTACGTTTCCAAGTTATTCGATACTAAATCTATATTTTAATTATAAAATTTTAATTTTTTTAATATCTAAAAAAAATATTTTAGATTATTATTGTTCTGCGTTCGCAAAATTTCGACTATTTAATAAATTTCCAACAAAACTTCGTATGATTTTTCTTTCTTTTTAATCTTTTCTAGAAATATAGTAATTTTTTTTATTTTTTATTTTTTATTATTTTTTTTATTTTTATTTTTATTTTTCTTAAAAATACGAATAAATACGAATCGAAATAATTAGATCATGAAATTTTAAACGATTACTCGAATGTGCTTTCGCTACAATTTTGTCGCTTTACGGCGAATATTAATATGGATTCATGTTCAAATTGTTGCCAAATAGCAATACGCCATTTTACAACGTCATTCGTTCGTTTATTTTTCTCTTCATAAGTTTTTTTTAAAATATAAAATAAAAATAAAAAAAAAAAAATTTTAAATTTTCTTTATTATACGACTATTATTAATATTATCATTTGTTTACTGTTAATGATTAATGTAAGCGTAAGTTAGATTTTTTCGATTTGGCAAATCGTATAAGCGAAATTTTTATGGAGGAATTTTTAAATTGACGAGAAAAATATAGAAATTGAATTATTATTTATAAGCCGGATTTTTGAGAGAATAATTTTACCATCGCTCGATGAAAAAATTGTTCTCTATTTGTTTAAAAATACAAACACGTAAAAGTTCGATTAAAATTAAAATCATTATAATTATTATTAATTATTAAAATTATAAGCCTAGAAATTTCATTATTAATTTTTTTATTTTAGAATTTATAATTTTAAGTAAATATTTCTTTTTCTTGGTATTTATTTATAGGTATTTTGGTATTTATATTATTGTTTTTATTATAGATGAATGCATATTGCTGACATAATATGATATAATTTAGGGATATATTAACAATATATATATATATAATATTAAATAATATATTAATTAATATTAATATTGATATAAAATAATAATCTTATAAATAATTATAATGTAAACATATATAATATAAATAATATAAAAGAATATAAATAATATAACATAAAATATAAAACTTTTCTGGAAAAAATTGCAACGAAAAAAAAAGTAAAATTATAAAAAAATAAAAAATAAAAATATATAAAATATGCAATATAATATATAATATAAAATATAAAAATATATAATATATACATAAAAAATAAAAGGTTAAAGTATAATTATATTAAAAATTTTAAACAAAATGGAAATTTTATAAATTTATATTCATAAATTAAAAATACTAAAAATAATTTTTAAATTAGCCAAATTGTCAAATTTTATATTATATTAATAATAAAATTTGATTTGAAAATTGCTTAAATTTGCAATTATTGTTAATTGTTGTTCCAAAAAATTTGAATAATAAATTTCTTTATTAAATTTTTATTTTTCTAAAAATTTATTATTTATATATTAAATTTATTAAATTATTTATATAAATTTTATATTTATATATTCGAAAAAAAAATTGAAGGACGAAGTGAGTGGTCTTCTTGCTGTTTTCAATCCAAAAGAATACAATACAGAAATAGCGACAATGAATTCTAATAAAAAAGTATTTATTTATTTATATTATTTTCATATTTTCATATTTATATTCATATATTTATTTATTAAAATTCATATTTATCGAAATAAACAAAATGAATAAAAATGAATGAATGAAAAATTTAAGAGATTTTCAAAATAAATTTGCAATTCGAACTGCTAACAACTAACAATATTTAAGAATATTTGTAATAATTTGGGATTTTAGATCAACGAAACTGACCATTCAAATGACGAACGTGTCGTTCAATGCCTATGTTGTGCACCGAAAAAATTTCTCAATTATCCGTAAATCCATTGCAATCTTTTTTTATTCTATTAAAAAATTATCGAAATAAATAAAATCGAATTTGCAACTTATAATTCGAATTCTATTCAGTTAGTCTTGAAAAATTATTATTTAAAAATTTATTTTAAAATATATTTTAATATATGTATATTATATTAAATAATATATTAATTAATATTAATATAAAATAATAAATATAAATATTTATAAATATTTATTATATTCATATAAATAATTATAATGTAAATATATATAATATAAATAATATAATAGAATATAAACAATATAATATAAAATATAAAACTTTTCTGGAAAAAATTGCAACGAAAAAAAAAGTAAAATTGTAAAAATAAAAAATAAAAACATATAAAATATATAATATATAATAAAAAATATAAAAATATATAACATATATAAAAAATAAAAGGTTAAAGTATAATTATATTAAAAATTATAAGCATTCGTGATACATGTCATATATACATAATCATGAAAATATAAATATATAAATGCATGGACAAAATCCCAATCAGGATAGCGAGGCTTCCCTGCTAGCCTCATAATTTATCGCTTTATCGCTAATCTTTTCCAAACGGCTTGCTTCATTACTGGTTAAACTCGCACCACTGGCTTGTCGCATTGGACAAATATACCACGGAATATACCTTGGCGATAGAAATACTGATGATTCGCCAGCATCATCCGGATTTTTGGTTTTCATCCGGATTTGGTTTTGGTATACAGGTTTTCTCCTGCGGGGAATCGAACCTCATTATTATAATTTGTTAAAATTACTTATTACCTCTGAAATTAGTGAAATTTAATACGTACATGATAAAACGAATAATTTATTCTCATAATACGATGATCTTAACAGTTATTATTTCTATTCAAAAATGCAAAATAAATTGTCCTTCACCATTTTTCATTGATAATCTTTTTGCACATATGAGTACCATTCCAGATTGTAGTAAAACCATGAATTAAAATCTTAATTTCGACTTTTATTTTGTAGAACAAAGAATTTAAAAAAGATTATAAAAAAGATTATAAAAAGATTATTTAATTTTATATTTTGGTATATATTTCAAAATAGAACGAAATTCTTTTCTTACTGAAATGTAGAAAATGTAAATTTATTCGTCTTCTTCTCGAATATAACATAACCTGTTATTTAGTTAAGTTACCATAAATTAAACTCGTTGAATCACTCTAGAAATACTTTTGTCTCCCACAATAGTACCATTATTAAATATGACGAAAGAAAAACTGAAATTTTATAGCATAGAACCCCATTAAGAAAAATTAAGAAAAAGCAAGATTTATATAGCATTTATTTATATGTAATATATAAAATTATTTTAAATTACTATATTAAGCTGTATATAATTTTCAAGCAAAATCTAGTTCCAGCGGTTACTAAATCTATCAAAGCCTAATTGGAAAACTGGAAGTCGAGATGGTCCTAAAATACAAAATACTAGAATAATTCAATATATATAATGTAATATAAGTGCTGTTGTTGCAATTTAAAAAAAAAATTAAACAGATGTTATTGATATGTTTAATAATAGCACTATTGCAACATTAAGGATTAAAAAAATGGTTGAAATAAAAATTTTCCTGAAATTGACACAAATTGGTACTTTTATTCTCACACTTAATGTTTTTATCTAATATGTGCCAAGCAGATAATAACCGTTCTCCTACTTTTCCTTTACATGATATTGTAAAATATTATGCTTAAGTTTTATTGAAATAAATATTCGTCAATTTAAGGCGTCAACAAAACGAATAGAATATGAATTTAATTTAAGATTTCAAGCAACAACTTTAATTTTCTCAGAAATTTTAATTACCTCAAAAATTAACCGATCAGTTTTTCAAATTGTTTCTATAAATTCAAAACTTCATTCTACTGGAAAATCTACTATATTTACTTAATGTTAAATTTTATAGAAAAATTCTATGGTGGAAATATCTATAAAAAAGAATTTTCCCTAATTTTACGCTTGCATCCCATCAAAATCGATATATCGAAAAATATATTTTAATCATAAAAGCCAAATTTATTAGAAAAAAGAGAAAAATAAGTAAATTATTGACAAACTTTCTTTTTCTACTGTTCTATTCATTTTACGAATTACTCTACGATTGAAGTATACTAAATAAATGAAGCATTATCCAAAACGCTAATTAATCTTTGAAAGTTTATTCGAATACTGCAGTAAATAATAAATTATTCTATACATTCATTAATAATTCCTCAACGATTTAAAAATCTAAAAACTACCACAAATAAAATTCCGAAATGTTTCTTGCGTTTATTTTCTATCGTTCTTTACCAGGATTTTGAGATATTTCGTAAGATCGTGAAATCCAATCTGGTACTGTTTTAGACGTAAGCCATTCCTCACGTGAGAAAGAACGATATTGCAAAATCTCTAATGACCCAAACATGCTACCTAAATGAAAGTACCTTAAGATGTAAAAGCTGAAAAAGCACTACTTTTTTCCAGTAAAATAAATAACCTCCAAGCCAATTTCCATACAATTCGATCCGTGTGTTTGGCAATAGGAAAAATTTAACAGATTTGATACTTCCTAACTTTGATGAATAAGGATTTGATGTCATTAATTCCAATAATTCGCTTTGCAACCTTGCATAAAATCCTTTCATGCAAGTTGATCCACCAACTAATATTAATCCATTAAGTAAATTACGGCGGCAATCAATAGGGCACTAAAAAATCAAAAAATTTATGCGATATGAAAAATAGCGAGAAAAAAACAAAAAAAATTAGGAATTTACCCTGAACACGCAGTCTAGAATTAATTGTGGAAGAGAACGGATATCATCATTGTGCTCAAAGATAACTTCAGCACTCCATTCCCTAAACTAATATGCACATTAATCAATAATATAAATAAGCGAGGGAATTTGATTAAGATTGTAGTAAATGTTACCTGACAATTCCAGGGACAACAATCATTTCATTACCGAAAGGTAAACGAACTTCGCAAGGTGGTTTTGGTATATTTTCACTCGTGTTGTAACCTGAAATTTAGCTAGTTAATTTAGCTATTTAACCTCGAAAATAATAATGTGCCTCAGAGAGAATAAACGATAATTCTCAAAAATTCTTTGAAAAATTCTAGGCAACTGCAAGTAATACTATTAATATTACCTGATTTTTGAATCTGCTTGCCGCGTTCCATTGTGGTAACAAAGCAAAATCTAGTTACAATATCTTCAAATAGTCGGTATTTTCCCAATAAAAATTCATCAGCGACACTTATTTCACGTTCTTCGCCACTGCTTGTGATAATTTTGCCGTATCTATAAATTGCAAATAGATATGGAAGTCAATATTATAATTATTTTAGATTTAAGGAAAATTATAGCATTTTTCCCATTTGCAATTTTTCAAACCTCACTTAAAAAGCAGTTCGCGTACTCTTTCTTCTACACGTTTTGAGCCAATTGCTGATGATTCCCAATTGTTTAAAACTGTCACTCCTTCAATTATCTGCAAATCTTTCGTCAATGATACTTTATTAACGCAAGTATATATATATATATATATAATTGACCTTTCGAATATGAATCGAAATTCTTTATAAAAATCTAGTCAAATAAAAAAAAAGAAGTATAAAAATTACACACACCGGCAATATGAGCGCTTCTCTGTAACCAACATCGATAACTAAAGCATTCGAACAACCAAATGGAAATGTTGCTAACAAATGTGATGGAGCAAAAAGAATTGAAGGTGCATCGAAGATTTCAAACAAAATTTTAGCAATAAGATCTCGACGATATGTAGGCTCTAATACACTTTCTACGATTACAATGCGACGTTCTTTAGCGACCGTTAGAAGAATTCTGAATATCATTTTATTAAGAATATTATTTTACCATTATTATAGTATCATTGGTTATTGATAAGTAATAGTTAAAATAATAAAAGTAGGATTAAACCATTGAAAAAATTGCAAAAAAAAATTTACTTATAAAAAATTATTTCAAATAATTTTATAAAAGCATGATATTCGTCGCTATTTTTAAATGATTCATTGAATATTTTCTGTGGTTTACCCAAATTATCGATGTATTCGGAACGTATAATTGCTCGTGGTACAAATTCACCAGCGTAACCAACTCTAAAAAGAACTATAAACTGCAATTAAATTTGTATTTTGCTTTTGTGGAAAAATTCAAGAAATAAAGAATTTATGCGAAATACCAAGGAGAACACTTTTTCAGCTGATTGAAATAAAATTCCCATTTGATAAAACCCAAATTGAATACGTTATATTTAGAAAAAAGAAAAAAAAAACCGAAAAGATAGTTAGATAGTAATCTCTGGCATGAATGCATCAGGATAACCAAGTAGTTGCTAGTGGATCATCTCTATTGAAAGCTAGAAATCCAGACGCTACCACAGGAGTAAATTGCCATTAAAAAATCAACATTATCCTGGCGATCCACCTGTACTTCTATTATCAAATGACTCCTTAATAAAATTTCTTGCCGCGTTAACAGTCAACTAAGCTTCGCAAAAGATGCCAAAACGCCATAATTCATTTACTTACTTGGGACAATAATAAATCTGACACTGAAGGTGAAATTCGAGTGGTGCTGGCGATCCATCTAAATGTTTATTATCCACAAAATTAATGAGTCAAACATTAATAAATCAATGCGACTAGCCAAAATGAGAAACGGAAAATTCCTACAGAAATTATATGCATAATTATTATTATTTTCCAAATATAATTTGAAATATTTCTTATCAAATTTTTCCTCTAAAATTCTCTCCCTGATTTTACTCCAAAAATCGATTTAATCTATCGCCCGTTTTAAGATTCCGTCGTAAGATAACTATTTTACGAGGCAAGGAATTCGCGAAATAACTAAATCAATCAGTAATTCAATTTGATATATTAATATTAATTGTTGAATTTTGTTGAGAAAGAGAATAGCGACATCTAAATTCATTTTTTTTTCCGTTTTTTTGTATATTTTATTAGTTCAAAACGAAATTTCCTTTTATTTTTCAGTGTATCAATCAATTTTCAATAGTTTAATGCCTCGTTCTTTCTCTTTTTCTTATATTATCACTGGCTTCACTGGTTGGCCATAATGATTACTAAGAATCGCTCAAATGACTCTTTTAGGTAGTCACCTGAGGATAGATAGATGAGCCTCAAAAAATATCTCAAATTTCACCTTAAAAGATGGATTTAAAAGATGGAAAGGCGAAAAGGTTGAAAAGGCGGATTTACATTTATCGAATAACCTATCTCTACCTCAACCTAATTTCTTTACCTACTTTATCTACTTTAACCTAATATCTCAAATTCCACTTTAAAAGGTGGATTTACATTTATCGAATAAGTTAAATGCAGATCGGATATTGCGAGTGATAAAATATGAAACGGCTGGGCACTTGTAATTTGTATTAAAGAACGAGAGAACAGCTAATTAGTCAATGGCAATAATTATTATCAAATTAGTAAATTTATCAAATTATTATCAAATTAGTAAATTAGTAAATTTGTTATTATAAAAATAATAATAAAACATTAATTATAATAATAAATGATAATGATAATTAATTGATAATAAGATAAGCCTCAAAAAAATATCACAAATTTCACTTCAAAAGATGGATTTACATTTATCGAATAACCTATCTCTACCTCAAACTAACCTACTTTATTATCACCTAAAATAATATACTTAATAATCGGAATAAAAATAAAAAATAAATAAACTTTGTTAATATTGTTCCAATTTCAATAATAACTGCTTGACGATTATCGATACCCGTAACGCCTAACGAAAATGTATCAAATCGTGCGCTATTCAATATTGATGATATAGAACGTCGCCGTGAACTGCTTCGACCCGAACTTCGACTCGAACTTGTATTCAATTGCATTTCAATCCTAAAATTACGAACGAATCAACGCTGAATTAATAAAATCATAATAGAGCGTCGTCGCCTTCGCTAGTTAAGGCATTTCTTCGTCGCCTAAAGAGTTATATGCCAAATGCTGTGATGGAATAAACCTGTCTAAAAATTCGGGCGACTTACTTTCTATTTCTATCGTAAACGAACTCCCTGGCATATTTGTCCAATGCGACAAGCCAGCGTAACGATTTTAACCAGTAATGATAAGGATATTTGAAAAAAAAAAATCTTATCATGAGTGGGTGGGCCAATCAACACTTTGGATTGATATAATCAGAAAAGATTTTGAACCAGCAATAGAGGGACTTAGAAAGTGGTAAAAAAGAATGGCTTCTGTTACTATCAGCGATCAGCGTCGCATCGAATAGCTTGGCTCTCTAAAAAGACAATTTCACTTGGCTATTCTATCTCATAAAGCCTAATATTGATAAGAGAGAAATGGTATTTATTCGTAAAATATACGGAGAATTAATTCTGAACCGTGTAATCGATAAATAGCACAGAACAACAAGAAAAAATATTTCCATACTTCATGCCAATTTTCTTAAAACTTCTTAGCACTGACCCTACCTCTTCTTGACCTTTACAACTTCTTAACCATGGCTCTACTTCCTGACCTTTGCAATTTCATAATGCTGACCCCACCCTTGACCTTTACAATCTTTAAAATTTTAATGAATGAATGAATAAAGATTAGCCGAAAAAAATGCTAGAACTATTAACGAGACTTTTCAGCTACAATATATTAACTTCAAAAATTGACTCTTAAAACGAATATTTGAGCATTCGCGGGACTTGTAAGTAGATTCCGATGTTTGTTGTAGGCAAGTTAGTCAATTTGTGGGTGGTACTTGGGTTGAGGGTGTGTAGTGGGGGATGAGGGGGGTTAGGCGGGATAGGTGGACTGGTGTTAAGTGGCAAATCTAGTTTTCTTGGAGCAAATAATTAATTTATGACAGTTATTCTCTTCGACCTTTTTTTGCATTCAACTCATATGGAGCTTAACAAATTTTTTTTCGAAATTAAATTTTCAGATATTGAAGAAAAAAGATAAAACAGCTAAATCTAGAGATTTTGAATTTTGAGTGATATTTATTTCAAATTACCGGATTGATAAACGGCTGATATGATATAACAGGCGGCTGTACTGTTTTCCTATTTGATCATTGGGTGTAATTTTAGACTTTTCACTTTTTATGATTTGTGATAATTTGTCTATTTAAAAGCAGATTTTCTCCTTAAAATGGTTAATATTTTATGAAGTAAAATTTTGAACTTATGCAATAATTGGAAAAATAGTGTTTGTTTTTTTACAAGGTAATCGAAATCAGGCACACCTGAACAATTTATTTCTATTCAACTATTCGATAAACATTTCATTGTTTTTTTTTTTTTGAAAAATAATTTTATTTGACAATTTTCATGTAGATGGTTAGTATTTTAAAATATTCAACAAACTGATGGTAGACGGGTGGTTTTAACGTTTCTATTTATGTTTCTTCTGCTGATTTAAATAGCCAATCTCTTAAATTAGAGCAATTTGCCTAAAATTTTTTTTTTGGAAAAAATATGATTGAATTGAATTATTTCAGGCCGGCAGTTATCTTCATTGGCAACATATGTAGATTTTTTCTCTTGTTCTATTCGAAAATCGAGCGAAAAAACAAAGGATAAATACTAAATTGAGATCATTTACCAGTTGATTATCAATTATCAGATTGCTTATTTTTCTTTTTAGATTTAGCAGAGAGAAGATTTACTTGAAAGAGCGATGGATTTCGTATTTGATTCGTATTTATACTGGAATTCATAATTCATTTCAACTGATAACTGATAACTGATAGCATGTAAAATCTATAATTTTAAATTGGCAAGAAGAAGAAATTTTTTCAGGGAACAAACTTTTTAGCGGTAAATTTCAAAGTGGTAAATAAAGTATATTTTTATGGTAGGAAAATCTCAAAAAATTCCTTAAATACGTCAAGAAATCTGGAAAATTTTTTTAAGATAAATTTATCAAAAACATAATCACCATTATAACATATGGTCCATTAGCGAGTCGACTTCAAAATAGATTTTATTGACTTAGTGGTTGCCAGCAAACTAATGAGGATGACGCAGATTCGAATGTACCAAACGTTCATTGGTAGTGTTCGAATCACAAAGCAAAAATCTGATTGAGGTCGCAGGATTCAAAAAATTAATTTTAATTAATAGTCAATAAGAATAAATTAATGAAGAAAGAATGGACTGATAAGCATTAATATCAAAATAGAATAGTGCGTTACGATAAGGCAAAATAGTGTGGCTCGATGGCAAGAATATAAGTCAACAAGAAACTCGAGTAGCCTAAATCGATGACACTGGCAAACAATAAACAAGTGATAACTGGGCAAGAGTTGCTGAAAGGACTTGTTAAAAGGAGAGTTTAATGAAAATACAAGAGAATAATCTTTGGTGGTAAGAGGGAAAAAAAAACCAGTGTGCTGAGAGCAGCAAGTCATGGTCATTTGGCGACAGGTTTCTTTTAAACTCACGTCTGCATCACCTTATTTGTTGACATTGTGACAGTGGCCATCAGATCAATTATTGTATAGCTATTTGTGCTGGTCTCGGTTTTGATAGAACACTACAAAATCGCTGTCCCATAAATCATCGAACAAAATTTTACTTTGTGGGATTAATCTTTTTATTTTAATGTTTATTTTGAACTTTGAATAATCATTTCAGTTAGGATAAATGCTATAAAATTTAGAACAATAAAGACTATTTTGTAGGAAGTAATAATAAAAAATTATTGCTTATTGCAACTCGAATTCTTTAGTAGAAATAATTATTTTAATAATTTTAAAATAATTCGAAATAAAATAATTTTTTTAATTGTTTGTATAATAATTTTAATAATTTTTGTAAGAAAACTTAAAACTATACGAAAATCGAAATAAGAAAAGTTTGCATAGAAAATCAATTGATTGATTTAAAATTTCGGCTAGTTATTAAGCTAAAAAAAATTTATTGATAATTTATTAAAAAATTTTGTATATTTTATAATTTTTTTTTTTATTGTTTCGTTGATCTTTTTTAGATGAAAGAATATACAATCGAATCGCGGTCTCGGAAATCATTGGATTATTTTTAGGAAAAAGTTAGGAAAAGCACAAATAATTGAAAAAATAATTATTTTCTAGAGAAATGCTTTGATAATAAAACACACAATATTTTATTTTTAATAATATTTTACGTCTATTTATTGTTTGCCGAACAGATTGGCATTCCCTCTTTAACAGTTAAATTTATAAATTTTGATTTGTTTAATTTCACATTGCATATGAAAATTGTGAAATGTAATATTTGATGATTGTCATACGTATAATTCGGTGATAATTTTCAATTCTTCGTAATTCTTGAAAAAAAAAAAATCTCATTTCAGAAAGGTAAAGTTTAGTAGTTAATGATGGATTTTGCTACGTCAGTGTCATATTACGTTATTCCTAGACGAGTGAGTAAAACAGGTGACAAATTTTATAGTTTTCTTTTTTTTTTCTAGAAAAAAAAAAGAATTAGATAATAAAATTATATAAGATGAATTCGTATTAGTTATTGTATTTGTTATGATAAATAATAATATTCTTGGTTTTTTTCTTTCTTTTTTTGAGATTTTTATGAAAGCTTCTTTCGTTCCGATTTAGCTATAGAAAAAGACACTGATTTAAAACACTGGTCGTCAAACGGGATCCGCTGCAGTTCATCAATGGATTGGAGTCAAGAAATGTGTGTCTATGAGGAGGGAGGGGGGAGGAAGGAAGGGAGGGGACCATATATTATTTTATTTCAATGGTTTTCATTTCTAATAACAAATTATTTCAGATCATTATTTCTCATGTAATTTTTTAAATTCATTTAAAACTCTTAGGTGAAAAAACTTAATAAATATTAAATATTTGAAAACTTGCAAATGATTATTATTCCATTTATGTTCATTCACCGAGAGAATCCATGCAAAAAAAAAGAATGTTTGACGACCACTAGTTTGAAAATTAAAACTGTTTTACAATTAATCATTTAGTTTAAATTATTTTTCTATAAAAAATATAAAAATAAAAATAAAATAAAATTTTTAAAAATTTTAAATAAAGAATAAAATTTTTAAGTAAAGAAGAATTTTCAAGAAAATAAGAATTTTCAGAGAAGAAAGAAAATTTGCAATGTTTGAATATTATTATTTATTATTTTAGCTGAAAAGTTTATTGTATAAATTTTGATTTTTGATGCACATTTAAAAAAAAAAATGGAGAAAAATGAAATATTTTATAGAAAAAATGGATACATTGATTGTTGATGTACCTATCGAAAGTGAAAAATTTCGTAATTTATATTCACCAATATTTTCTTCAAAAATTTCCAATAATTTTTTAAATCAAAATAACATGAAAATAATCGCATGTAAAGCAATCAACAATATTCGTCTTGAGAATAAGGTTTGTTATCAAATAAAATTTTTTAAAATTATTTTCATTGCAAACATTTTTCAGGAATTTCAGATATTAATCAATGATGAAAAAAATTGGTGATTATGGTGATAATGGAAAATGAAAAGTCAGAAATGAGATAGAAATAATAATGAGGCATTGAAAATTTTTTTAGGGGAATACACTGAAAAATATATTTTGGAAATATAAAAATGAAGCGCGAATTAAAATATGCACAAAATATAAAATTTATAGAATAAAGCAAAATGTTAATTTAATAAAAAGCATAATAAATAAGAAGAATATGAGAAATGATAAAAATCAAGTGAAGTACTGGGAGGGGGCGAGGAAAAGAGATGTCGATTTTAATGCAGAAATTTTCGTCCAACCACTTTTAAAATGGTTACTTGCTATTATAAGCGAATATCTCATTCTTGATAGTATTCCTAAAATTTGCTGGAATTAGTTTTTCAGCTTGAATTTTATAATAGAAATATATATTTTGATATTTATTTATAGTTCAAGAAATGTCAGTCGAAATTGGAGAGCAATGGCGAGCCTTCCGATGTATCATTTGCTTTTTTTCTAACAGATAGCATTCGCGAGGTTTGCTTTCATTTAGCCATATTATCAATTTTTTATAGAATTTTTGAATTGATAAAATTGATATTTCAAAGATTATCGAGGACAAAATTGATAAAAAAACTTATCGGCCTTTTTGAATTTATATTTTTTTAAGGCGGAATTATATGCGGAACATGGTTTAAATACACCGAATAATTTTATAGGCGATTTAGGCGATGCAACAAAGGGTATATATTTATATTTAATATATTTTATATTTTTATATATTTTTAATTTATCTTTTTATTACCCAGGTATTTATCAATATATTTTTCGACAGGTTTCATTGCCTTAGTGAATTGCCTTATATTTATTTATTTTAGTGAATTGCCTTATATTTATTTATTTTCCACTGAAAAGCACTAGATTTGCTATATAATAAATTTTGCATTTATTTTCAAATTTATTCTTTCAGGTGTTTATCTAAACGAAAATCCAGATTTGGTAACGCCTGGACAATTCCCACATGATGCACCAGTTATAATTTTGGCCTGCAAGGTATGATTTCCTTAAGAATGCAAATACAAATTTGTACTTAGATTTTTTATTAATTTTATTTAGTTTCTACTGTTTATATGTTTAGATTCTTAAAGGGCGTTCAAAGGTCGTCCAGCTCAGTTCTTTTCGAACAGAACCATCAGCTGGTTGCCATTCTCATATTGCCTTACCACCTCATGATCATAAGTTGAATCGACATGATTCTTATCGATATAATCAAGTAAAATTTATTTTCATCTTTTGAAGATTTTATTCAGTGAGAAATTACTTTAAAATGTTTTTTCGATTATTTTTGATTTTTTTTCTATTGTTTTTAGATTTATTTGTTCAATCGTCTAAAAAATGGGTTTTCTCGCGTACCCTCCAACGTTCTTCCTTTTGCGATATATGAAATTATTTTCTCCAAGAAAAAGTAAGAAAAAAATAATAAATAAAAATATGAAAAAATTAGAAAAAAACAATGGATATTATAATGCTTTAATTCATTGTGTTGTACAAACAAAGATGTTGTTTTTACTGCCAATTTGAATATTGCCGTGAAATATTTCTTATATGAATTGCATATGTAATATTTCTTCCGGACAAAAAAAAATTAATAGTTTTTGCCAAATTTCAGTTTAAATCAGCCTCCTAGAACGAATATTGTATGGGAAGGTGATTTAAAAATTGGCGAATGTGTTTGCGAAAAAGTTCAGCTTGCCTCTCATACAGCTTGTCTTAAGCCACCATTTTTGTAAGTTTTTTTCTGAAAATTGAATTATTTAGATGAATCAAAAAAACAAAAATGAATTAAAAAATCAGACATAGACATCGAAATATTTGAAACAAATGAAATTTTTTCAGAGAAAAAGTATTTGAAATAAGCGATCTTGTTTCGTGGGAAAATTGCATAGGATTTGATCCTATTCTTAAATTATTGAAACCTACATTGGTTGGAGAAATTTCCGTTAAGAAAGAGGTAAATTCGAATTTAGTCATTTGAGGCATTCTTATCACTTTGAAAAATGAAGAATTTTTCTAAATTTTTTGTTTCTTTAATATTCTCTTTTAGGTGGCTATTCCTGATTGTAATTTATTCGCAAATTATTATTTTCTGCAAATGAAAGCAGAAGGAAATATTCGCTTCATGTCTTTGCTCAAATCAATGCGCGTTAAACATGCAGTAAGATATTTTAATGCTAGAATTACATCAAAAATAAAACTTTTTGCGTTAGCAAGTTTTTTTTTCTGGCAAAATTTGCTGGTGACATAAACTTGTCGTAAGAAATCCGCGTCTATTCGATGTTAGATCGATCATCTGAACAAGAAGAAAAATTCAGAAAATTTTAATAAAACTTTAAAATTTTTGAATGTGAAAATCGTATCTTTTTTTTTTCTTATTGTTTATATTGCGTTAAATTTTTATATATTATGTATTAAATTATTTTGGTTAGACAATAATGTGAAATATTTATTGTTTTAGGTTGGCATAAGTATTTTACCTGGCGGAGGAATCATATTTCTCATTCCTAATGGCCAATTTAGCTCGCTTTTAACTTTACCTATAAAAGCAGATACTTTTCATTGTATTTATTTCTCCACAATATCTCTTGTTTTTGGAGCTTTTGAAATTTCTACACCTGCTGAAGAGTAAATTCTTTTCATCTCACTTTAGATTTTATAAATTTTATTTTTTTGAATACTTAATTTTATGTTTCTTTTAATTCATAAAAATCTTTATGTTTATTTTTCAATTATTTTTGTCTCTACATTTTCATAATTTTTGTTTTTATTATTTTATTTTCGTATAACTCTTTAAAGTATGTTTCAGCAATGAATTTCATCGGCTTCCTGTTCTGGAGGAAAAAATAACAGGATTAAGTGATCAACTTCAAAATTTTGCCCGACGTATGGCGAAATTTCTGCATTCAGAAGAACCAACAATTTGTAAGATATGGGAACAGTCATTTGAATCTGGACCGAACGGTAGTATTATGAAGATTAATGATTAATTGATTAATGATTAATGAACGATTAATGATGAGGCAGTTTTTTCTCCTTTTTTCATTTTAAAAGTCGATTTAAATTTCGTTTATAAAATTCATTTTTAGATTCCGTCGATGTAGAGGTTCCATGCATTAAAACAAAAGTGGAAGACAAAAGTGAAGTAAGTAAAATCTTTTTCTCATCTCTTTTTCAGTTTTATCCATGATAAAGTTCGAAATTTATTGTTAACATAAAATTGCAGTTAGATAACCAAAACGTTATTTTGGATAAGTAATGAACTATTTAGTCGAATCATTGGTTATATTTTATTTACCTATATGTTTTTAAGGTTCAGTTGAGACCGGGTGATTCTGTTGCGTCTACCAATAACGTCTCAGCCAATTCATTGAAAGTGACTCATAATATAGATATGAATATTAATAATTCCTTACCCAAGTTATATTCGGAAATACGTGATCCTAGAATACGTCCTCGGGCAGTATTGAATGCAAATCAAAATGCTCCATCTGTTTCTACTCCTGATATACTGAATAACATACAATCTGATTTGAAAAATAGTAATCCATTGGCAGAAACATCTGAAGCGATAAAAGAGGATCTCCGAAGCACAGATGTGGTGAATATTTTAATTTAATATGTGATTTTTTGGTTCAAGAGAAAGAATTTGCGAATTTGAATTCTGAAACAAGGTGATAATTTATTTATTATTGCAGCCTGGAGAAAAATCTGTAGAGGAACGATGTTATTCGCCATCAAATCCTACGAATGAAACGGATGACTCATCGAGATGTTATTCACCTTCAGATATATTAACGAGAAGCCCATCTCCATCACCCATTATTTCTCATATTGTTTGTGGAATTGAGACACAAGGAGGTTCTAAGACAGATATGGTGGATGAAGATAGTGATTCCGAGTATATTTTCTTCATTCATTAGTTTTCTTCTGATGTAAAAGGCAAAATTCATCTGCTTAAAAAGATAAAAAGAAAGTTGTTAGAAAGTAAGCCATAATTAACATGTCCAGATTGACGTGTCTAATTTTCAGAGGCGGCCTGATTATTTCTCCGGCCAGTCCACCACCGCAAGATAAGAATGTTTATATAGCAGCGCCTGCTCCAAAAATTATTTCTGCTGATGATTTAAGGAATACACAAGAAAATTCATTCAATTCATCAAATTATACTTATAAAGTTCATAATTATTCTATTTTTTTATTTTTTCATATTTGTATTTATATTATTTTTTTAATTCTTTTATTTTTTTTGCTTTATCATCTTTTCCTTCACATCCAACTCGTAATTTTTTCAGCCGTTGGAAATACCGCGCTTCCCAAGGTTCTCAAACACCGAAGCCGCGAAAAATTTTCAGCTATCAGAGGAGGCTGTTCGAAAATTATCAGAAATAAAAGCATTGGCTGGTTTGAGTTTTCTTAAGTCACCAACAAAAGAAACGGAAATTGGTCAATCATTATCTCACGATGAAGCTGTAAAAGGCAAAGATGAAAAAATTGATGAAGTACGTTAAAATTTCTCTCATATAAATATTTTTTAAATTTTATTTTTCAGTTTTCTAATATGTCACACAAATATTATTCTTTATTATTTTTATTCTGTGATAATGAATTTTGAGAAAATTCATTTTTGATCGTAATATTTCAAAGCTAACTGAAGCCCATCACTCATAAAATATAGCATCTCATTTATTGTGTTATGCTGTGCCCAAATTTGATTTAAAATTTATTGCAGGTTCCTTGTATTCAATCTCCCGATCCCAGTTTTTCGAGCACAGCTCCTGAATCGAATGCCATTCAGGAAAGGTAATTGTTTATCATATCTATTTTCATCATTATATCCTGTATGTTTTTTTGCCTGAAAGCATTTATTTTAGCTCATTTCATGATAGAAGAGAAGATTCGAAAGCTTGTGGATCGGTATTATCCGGCAACTTGTCAGAAGCAGATATCAGTCATCCAGTAATTTTTTTTGTAACGTTTTTGATTCTTGTTAATTCTTTTTTTACTACTTGGTTGTACTTAGAGGAATTGATATTTTTTTCATCTGTTAATCGATTTCAGTGTAGCAGTAATACTTCAAGGCGAAGCCGATGGGATATTCGTCCACCTTTAATATCGAATAATGGTGACATCGACATGCGAAATCACGTATTCCGTGCGCCTGGTATCGAATATTGCCCACGAGTTGAATCACGGGTAATTAATTTTTGTTGATAGTATCTCGAAGCTTTTGAATTTCCGGTTTAGTTCTCACTTAAAGTTTCACTTGTTATTGGCTTTTTATTTTTATTTATTCTTTTGAACATTGTTTCTAGGTATTTTTGGCCACAAAATTTTCTTTAGCATTATTTTTACATTTTAATTATTTTTTGAAATTTAGGCTGCTCCTTTAATACCTTCAACTTTTGCTTCTGCAATCACTGTCAGACCGTTTACTTCATCAAATGGTGATACTGATCATCGTATATATTACGCAACTGTACCTGCAGCTGCAGGTCGTTCAGATTTAATTAGATCTGGGTCAAGACAAAATGCGCCGAATACTCTGCCATTCCGGTTGCATTCTCCACTTTTTAGTTCACGGCCGAATAATGCTGCATCATCATTTTCGATTCGAAATCCTAGATCAATTCGTCATACCATACCAGCGAGATCTGATTTTCCTGGTCCCAGGTTAATATAATGTATTACATAATATAATGTATGATATTTTCATAATGATCCATTTAACAATTCATTTATTTTTTTTCCAATTTTTCGTTTTTAAATTTTGAGTTAATCATTGCAAAACATCATGTTGTTTCGAAGTATTTTCAGCAATGCCGTATTAAATATACCTCATGGTTACTGTGGGACATCTCAGCACTTAGGTCTGCAAAAGGTAAGATTTGTTTGAAAGAAAAAAAGTTATACCTGCAGATTTGTTTGATATCATGGCATATGCATAGCATTTTTTGATTTTTATTGTGATCAAATTTTTTATTGCAAAAATCCAAATTTTCAGGTCGATTTTGTAGACATACCTCCTCCATTATTCCCATCAAAACCAACGAATTTATCAATGCAGGGCGTCGTTATCCCCGATGAAAATCTATTCAAAGATGCCTTAATGTAATAATTTTCCCAATCAATTTTTATATATTATCCGGTTGCTTAATGGGTTGATTTTTTCATTTTAAAGTCTTTTAAATTTTTTATATTCTATTTATAGTGATACATTTCCAAAATTTTTACGACTGTATTTATTTTATTCTATACTATAAAATTTTTTATACTGTAATAATGAAACATTAATTTTTAGTCATCCAAACGTTTTACAATCAATTCTTGAAAGGTTTGCAATTTGGAGACGGGAGAATATAGCATTTTGGCGATTGAAAATCCGTGAAAATATTTTCAATGCAATAAAGCAAAATTTGTAAGTTAAATATAATTTTTCATTCTGACTACCATAAAATCAGTTGCAATATTTCTATATGGATTTGCTCATAATTTCTTAAGTCAATGTTTTTATCAATAAATTTCTCTAAGAAATCGTTTTTAAAAAAAATTCTTAGCAATTTCTTTAATAAGCAAGATAAAGTTAATTTTGATAATAATTGAATTTATTAATTTAAATCTTCAACAGTGTATAATAATGTTTAAGAAATTGCGCTGTTTCCAATGCAGAAAATCATATACGTTACCAAAAATTACTCACAGAATACAGCCTACGTCAAAGTGTCGAATTCGACAAATTTAATGAACATAGTTTGAAGCCTTTAGAGAATCTAAAAGAATATTTGTTGACTGTTTTACAAAGCAGCAACGATTCATCAGTCATTTATATTTCATGTTATTTTTTTATCTTTATAAACTATTCTCTTTTTTTCCATCAGATTTTTAATTTTTCTCTTCAAATGTTCTTTAAATTTAAATTCACTTTCATGAATACGATACAGATGATATTTTCTCCTATTTAATTTTATTTAGATGTTTTGCATAATGAAGTGAGTCAGAGATTTTCCGCCAAGATCGAATTTTGCACACCGGAGGAACTGGCTAACAAGATTGGCCTCACAAGTTCTCAGTAACTCTGGTATATTATTTGGAGCCTTTTTCGGGATTCTCTATTATTTACGGGTCTTGTTCATATCGTCAATTTTAAGTGTTGAAAACAAGAATAGGTTCTTTTTTCTTTGTGAATCAATTTATTTATATTTAGTTCCGACTAGGCTAAATAGTATTTATATGCACTATAGGCTTCGGAATTTTTTTCTTTTTTTATTTATTTAAATGTTTTACATTTATATTGTTTTTTTGAATGTAATTCACTTTTATTTTTATTATACTTTTTATTATACTTTTCCGGTATTCCGGTATTCCAACATGTAAATATATAACATGTAAATGTAAAACTAAATGTAAATAAATATTTCATTCCAAAAATATTCCATTTCTTATTTAGATCGAATTTCGTGGAATATGAGAAAATGGAAATATATTCGATAAAAATAGCAATAAGAATATTTTGAAAAATAAAAAATAAAATAAAAATCATAAAAATAAAATAAAAAAATAAAATAAATAAAAAATAAAATAAAATAAGATAATAAAATAAAATAAAAATAAAAACCTACAAACATCTAGATATATATAAAATATAAATTCATTGACTAAATACTATGTCTAATAATACTATAAATAATACTCTAAAAAATTGGCTGCCTTTAAAGAAATGTTATAATACAATATAAATAATAATAGGAAGCAAATCTTCTTAAGAATCCGCACCATTATTGGTTAAACTCCCTCCACTGGCTTGTCGCATTGGGCAATATGCCATGAAGTTCCTTGGCGATAGAAATACTGGTGAGTAGCCAGCATCACCCGGATTTTTGGACAGCTTTACTCCTGCGGGGAATCGAACCTCAGCATCGGTGTTTCCAATTGAGCAATAACCCACTGAGCCATCCTATCCCCAATAGGAATTTATGTGTAATTTCTTCAAAAATTTCCGTGTTATCCTTGGGCAGGAGCCGTGATAATCTTTTCCTGTTCCAATTTTGGCATATTTGTTCATCGGAATGAAACAATAGGAACTAAGGATTACTGATTTTCTATGAATTCCTAACAAATTTATTAAAAAATTTACAAATAATTTTTTTTAAGAAAAGAAAAACGAGATTAAATTTCAATAAATGAAATTAATGCTGATTCAAGAATGAAAGAAAGAACATTCTTGCATATTCTCTCGAATAATCATGTATAATTTAGCTGATAACATAAGAAATAATATCCTCGTTTTCTGCAAATTTTTTTCTTTTTGATTTATATTTGTTTAATTTCTAAATTAACCAATTAAAGTAAAGTATATTTAAGTATAAAGTATAAGTATATAAGTATAAAAGTAAAGTATATTTCCTTAGGAACCAAGTAAAAGTTGAAAAATTCACCTTTATGCATTCAACAATACTACCAAACATTGCTGGAAGAAATATAAGTTTTAATATATTTAATGAACGAACAACAAATGTGATGTATAGCAATAAGGTTGCACCGATTAATGAAGGAAAAATCTGTAAAAATTCGATTTTTTCGACTAAAACCGATAATTTTCAATAAATCCAAAAAATCTTATTTATCAATTTATCTCCCTAAAAAATATTTAAAAAATTCAAAAATAAAATTAAATAAATAAATAAAAAATAAATAAAAATAAAATTCAAAAATCCAAAAAAAACAAATAAATGAAATTCTAAAAAAAAATAAAAATATTGTAACAAACTTGTATCATTAAACATACGACAATTGCAAAAACGTTCCATGTTCCACCAACTGTGGAATAAATATCATTCGCATTGCAAAAAAGATCTTCATGATTTATTAGAAACAACTGAAAATAAACATTAAATCACTAATTTTATTATCAGAAATGTTGCTATCATTTTATTATCATTTTATTTTATTATATCCGATTTATTATCAGAGAAAATATAATAGTTGATTTAAATGAATTTTTTAAATAGTGGAAAAAGAAAAGAATCACCAAATGGTGAATATTTTTCTAATGCAATATTTCTGTTTGGTTATCTCCACTGATTACTACGATGAAAGGTTTAAGGTACAGCGCTAATAGATGAAGAAGAACAGATCCTAATAATACACAAAAGTTTTCTTGGATTTCATTTTTAATATCAGTTTTATTCCAATCACGAAAACAAAAATAAAGATAATGTTAAATGCCCTCAGCCATATTAATCATGAATATGAATATGACAACCAATAATATATCACTCAACTACTATCAAAGAATAAGTACCAATTATACTTTAGTTTATATTAATTTATAATCTATTCTTTTAAAGATTTTTCCATTTTTGAAAGCTCAAAATATATTGCACTAAGAATTATCTAGGAGAAACCCAAAAAGATTATATAGACTCAGCTTATGTTGTAAAATTTTTTTTTTTATTATCTTTTAACTTTTAAATCATTTCAGGTTGATAATTTTAGAGGCATATGAATGAATCAAAATTGATCATTTCATGCCTTTGGTCAACATACTTCATTCCCATTTTTTTCGCATTTATAAAACAAATCAGATTTGAAAACAAAACAAATTTCCTAAATGAATTGATAAAAACGCTTTTATTTTAAGTGCACTGATAAAATCTGATAAAATCTTAAATCTGCCATTATTAACATTGCAATCTTTTTTTAAGTCATGCACACTTACGCAACCCGTGGACAAATGATTCCTAAAATTTTATTCTCTCAAAATTTCTGTGATATGAAAATATTCTAATTTATATAGATGACAAAGTCGAAAGTACTGGCCATTAGAAAAAACTGGTGGACTGTGCTGTATTCACTTTTATAGAAATTTTAAAATCTGTTCAAGGATTCATTAATAATTATGAAAAGTTACGTTAAATGAACTAAAGGAAAAATTAAAATATTTAAAATAAATATAAAAAAAATATAAGAATACAAACTTTATAGTCGAAATTTTTCTCCTTTTGGCAAATGGCCTGAGGCCAAAATATTAAAACAAATAAAGATAAGGATAGAACTGTTAAAAATGTGGCGAATTCAAAGAAATATGTCGCAATTACGAAAAAAATATCAAAACTTAAAATAGCCAAAACAAATATTAATCGCTCGATATATGTAAGTTCTGAAATTTTTAATATAAAAAATATAATAAAAGAAGTTCTTAATTAAACGCCTTGGCTTCTACTAAATCGAACCAGCAGCAAAGTCTAATCACAACCAAATAATTTAGAAAAATAAAGAAATTCGTCAGGACATCTAAAAATTAGAATTGCAATAATTCTCGTTCATCTTGATCCAAACTTAAATTGCCGTGTATGGATATTATCAAGGTCCAGACCTTCTCCCTAATATGCGTGATCCTATCATTTAAAAATTCGGATCATGCTCACCTGCATTCCTATTTATCAAAGTGAACCAATCACTAGCAAGTATTTCCAGTCATACAAAATGGCCAGCAAACCGAGCCTAATCAAAAATTGTGCTTTTAACCTTTCACTTGGTTAATGTCTCCATAAATTTAACGACGAGTATTAAAAATATTAAGTTAAGGAAAAGGGATTATATTTAATACCTATTTATATTACTATAAATTTATTTATTTTCGATTTCCCAATGCTTTATTTCCCAAAAAAAAAACTTTCTAAGAATTCTCTATTTCATCAATAAATAAAAAATAAAATCTATGAGAAAAATAAGGAAATTTAAAAATAAAAAAAGTAAACAAAAAAAATGAAATTAAAAAGAAAGAAATGGAAAAAAATTTCGAGGAAAAAAAATAAAAATTTACCAGTTTTTTGCAAATTTGAAAAGTAATTACTAAAAACAATAAGTAATGTAGCAAAAGGTAAAACGCATGCAAAAGGCTTCTCAAATGGTAAACGATTCCAGCAATTATAACGATTCGATGAAAGAAAATTCGCTATCGTCCAATGAATATATAATAAACCTAGAAATTTTTTTTTTTAAATTAAATTTAAATTTAGAGCCTAAAAATAGAAAAAATTTTCGATAAGTTGGTTGAAGAATCGCACAGAATCACATTTAATATGGGTATTAGTGTACAAATGATTGAATTGTGTTCTATTCAAAAAACTAAATGGATTTGCTTCCGATAAATTTCCTAGATTCCTAGAAATAAACTAATTAAAATTTAAAAGGTGGAGTGTAGGAAAAAGCGAAATTTAAGTGGTTGTTGAAAGGTTCTACCCCCATAAATGTCTATTAAACAATTACCTAAACCATTATATCTTAGTAATTCAGATGGTTCTCAAGTGGTGTATTTCAGCGAGATGAGAAAGAATAAACGACTACTTGCAAAAAACAATTGATATTAGATGCAATTCATCCTAATATTTCTGTCTAAACTAATAATTCTCTCCTTACAAAAAAATCGTACTGATAAAGATAAAGACGAAATGAATTGAACCAAAAATGATATACGCTAAATTATTGAAGAAAAATTTTAAAAAAATGAAAAAATTGGAAAAAAAATTTAGAAAGATAAACCTTTGTTGGTTGCTGTAAAAAATGGACAACATATTGTTCCAATAAATGTAAGAAACATGAGAAAAAATGCACATTCGAATAAAACCATTGTAATTTTTGTGAAAAATTTTATTTATTTATTTTTTTTCCTGAAATTTTCATTTATTAAAACCATTTCATAATACATTCGACTCTATGGTGAATGAGTTAAACAAATCGCAAATATTCCTAATCCCGTGGTACTTGCGATAAATATTAGAAATGAACTCGAACATAATAATAATAGTATCAAAAATGGTCGTGTAAATTCTCGAGTAATTCTAATTTTAGCTAAGGCAAATACTCTAACAGAAATAAGAAAATCGGACAAATTGGTCAGCCGATTCTGGCAAGGTTATGGTCGTAGCTACGTATCACAACGCTTACAAATATAATGAACTAAGCGATGAATTATCCATTTCCTAACCAAATATCGTTTACCGGCCGGGATCTTCTTAATTTTAGGAATGGTACATTTAACTCAAACAGCCAATAGGGCACAGTCAGCTCTACTATTATTGAAATCCTTTTAAAGACTGATTGGCCCAAGCCCGTTTTAAAAGTAATAAGCATAACTTTGCTGAGAAGCTTTTTACACCACCAATACGAATATAGAAAAATAGGAAGATAATGGGAATAAAAATGTCACCTGTCATGCCCAATTTTATTATGTTTTTTCTTCCTATCCATTTCCTTTAAACGGACAGTAAGATAAAGGATTTGAGAAATATCGCACAAATCAGAAATTTATCCTCAAACTTAGGTAATTAAATCGTAAAACCGAGAATAAAAAAAGGAAAAAAACGAAAATATTAAAAATATTAAAATATTTAAAAAATTGCATAAGAAAAAATTAGAGAAGAAATTTAGAAAAATAATTCAATTCAAATTAATTCAATTAAATTTAATAAAAATAAGAATAAGAAAAAAATTACTATCAAAAATTAGTTATTGAGATTCACTCCGCACGAGCACCAATTATACGATAAAAATAATTTGAGTTTAGTAGATGTGGTACCCTCACTAATTAACAAATTAATTTAACGTAGTACTAATAGAAGGCATTTAATTACATGGAACTTACCAGATAATCAATGTTCCAATCAGATTGACTATACCTTGAAAAAGTTCTGCATTAAATAGATGCGCATATCGTGAAACTAGCAGTATAAACGCGTCGGAATGGTTATGGTTGGAGCCATAAGATCGTAAGATCATGAAGTAACAACATAAAATATTTCAACTTTTGCTATTTCAAATCAAAAGATTCAAGGATAGATGGCATAAGCCGAGGTATTTAAAAGGTTAACACCTCTGGAACGACCAAAGAGTACTGGTAGCAGCTGATGTCCAGGAGATCACTTAGAAGTTAGTTGCTCCAGACGACGTCCGAAAGGTAAGCTTGGTCTTACCTCAGTAGTCCAACCGCACCGCCAGAACATTAAGGATATTAATTATCGGTAACTTTGCGAACTCTCAATAGTTGGAGTGAAACGAAACAAAAATTGATGAAATAATTGTGGCTTTTGAATGTGGAAATAATTCGATCAGATGATCAAAAATTATTCGGCCAAAGCATAAGAAATGGTCAGTAAAATGGCCTGAGATAGGCATGGAAGTCCTGTTAAAATCATTAAAAACCTCGAATCTATCCATATTTTTTTTGAGTCTAAACTTAATCGCATTCAATATCCTCGAAAAAACTGAAGAGCATTTAAAGCCATAGAAAGCGATTGCAAATGCGAATCACCAAAGGAGCATGAAATGATTGATGATGATCTGTAAGTCGCATGTGGCCCAGATGTGGCCCAGCGCTCTTCATAATACACCTACAAAGATGTTTTCAGTAGTATGGGAGAAGAAGGAGAGGTGACTGGAAGAGGCAATTCTGCTCCCAATTTTCAAATTGAAGATAATCAAATTGAATTTATGCTATGACATGGCTGTACTGACAAAATTTTCACGCTAAAAACAAAGCGATAACCTGTGGTTATATGCGACCAATACTTTTGATTCAATCGACAGGATACAAGTCAAAAATTTTGGCTATGCGAGAAACATGGCTATGGCCATGGCTTTTCGGCACTCAAGAAGTGTACAAATCAGTTCATAGTACAATACCACAGACCTTTTAAAATTCTGAGACTTTCTTCATTGATAATTACGAGGAAATGCAATAACCTCGAAATGTCGACAATGTCGACAGCGTAGAATGGTCTTCAATGAAACGAAATGAAACGCATAGGTGGACCAGCAATATATGGACCTAAAGGATGGAAAAAAGAATGGCTTCTATCGACGATGGGTGTCAGATCGAATAACTTGGAATACCCTTGTAGCCATCAGAGTCAGCCTAACCAGTAATGGTGAGAGCGGTTAGAAGGAGGCTGAGGCAACTTAGCAATATATAATACTCTTAATTCCAGATCCAAAGTTGGATCTGAAAACCATGAAAACTAATTATCACCCCTGTCCATACATACTAAAAACTAATAATATTACATTGCACTGGTGATAGTGAAGGATTTTGAATAAAATGATAATCTTGTTGATAATCACTGCATAATAAGATTAAAAAATTTGAATAAGGCCTATTGAAAAAAATCGAAATTCTTTAGGATAAAATATATTATAAATGGTGATTTGGTTCACCGCAGCTAGACATGCGTTCTTTCGGCTGACGAAATCTTTATGGAGCCGTCGTGAAATTACCATTAAAACAAAAGTCCTTATCTATATAGCTGTGATTCGCTCGATTTTACTACATGGCTCCGAGACATGGCCAGTGACAGTGGAGGAGCGTGATATTAAATAGCTATCTACCTTTGACCACTCTTGTCTAGGGTAAATTTTATGGGTCCGTCGAGCGGATAAAATACCACATGATAACATCCACCTTCGTTCAAATACCATTTGCATTAATAATATTATTACAGAGCGTCGCCTTCGATGGTTAGGGCATGTTCTCTGTCGTCCACCATAAGAATTATCGCATATATCGTCACTTGCTAAATCGTTACTTGTGATGGATGGCGTCAAAAGCGAAGTGGGCCAATCAAGATCTGAACTGATAAGGTCAAAAAAGATTTTGAACGTATAGGTGGACCAGCAATATATGGATTTAGACGATGGGAAAAGGAATGGCTTCTATTAATGCTGACGACAGCACCCGTTTGGAAGTGTCTTACCCTTGTAGCCGTTGGAACCATCCTAACCAGTAATGGTGAAAGCTGTTAGAAGAAAGAAGAAAAATATAAGAGACGCTAAGATAAAATTTCTACAAATTAAGCAATGGTCGAAAAAAAGTCAAACGTTAAATAATTCGGACTCATTTTCATATCTAATGGCCAAGCAAAGAATGAAATTGTAGCTCGGATGATTGCACCTAAAGGTGCCTTCTTTCTCTTTGGAACCGCCGAAAAAAAAACTAAAGGTTGCGAAATTTAGCTAATAGGAGTGGAAAATATTTTAGGAATGGATCGGATTCCGGATCCGGATAGGAGAACTTGGAAACGTTTTACTCAATATTACTGAAAGGGTACATCAGCCGCTAATGAAGTCGGCCAAACCAGTAATATTTCGAGCCTGAACACTGAACAAAAAAGGCTCGGACCGTATAATTATCGGCCGTACCGTGAGAAACTCGTTGGACCACATTTCACTCAATGATCGGATCGGCCTTTTCGAATTTCGTAGTTTGAAACGATTTTTTGACCGAAGAAATTTAAGTGTTGTTTGTCGGACAGTTTTACTGGAAAGGTTCCATTTTACAGGGTTAATTTGATTTTCTTCCTCGTTTAAATATTAAATTTTGTTACTTCATGAATTAAAATCAGCGAAAAAGGTGGAATTTCGTGGCGAACTTCATAATGGCTGTAGAAAGGAAATTGAATCGTGCTGAACGTCTCGCATCATTGCTTACCTCAAGAAATGCTCTCATTCGTAAAGAAGCTGCTGAAGCGCTTTCTTCTTTCTCATTAACCAATCCACAAATACCGAAACTAATCAGGTTTAATTTTTTTTGCAAGAAATTTTATTATTATTATCATCATTACTATTTATCATATTATCATTACTGTTATTATTATCTTTATTATCACTACTAATATTATTATGATTGTCGTTATTATTTTTATTATTACTATCATTACTCTTATTATTATCGTTACCATTACCATTATTATCATCATCATTATTTTTATTATTATCACTATCACTACTATTATTATTGTTGCCATTACTGTTGTTATTATTGTTATCATTACTTTTATTATTACCATTATCACTATCACTATTATTATTATCACTATCATTACTATTATTATTATCGTCGCCATTATTTTATTATTATCATTGTCACTGGTGTTATTATTATCATTATCATTACTATTATTATTAACATCATCATTTTTATTATTATTGTCACTGTATTAATATTATTATTGTTCATTATTCTTCTTTTTTTAATTTTAATTATTTATTATTATTATTGCTGCTGTTATTATTGCCATTGTTGTAAAGAAATTATTATGATTGAATTATATTATGAATGAATGAAATTATTATTGAATTTATTTTAGACATTATTTACAAAGTGTTTTATGGGAGACACGAACTGCCGCATCAACAGCATTAACTGCAATATTGAAATCAGTGCCAGAAAATTCAAAACAGATCGAACCATCAAGGAATTTACTCGAATCTCTCGATCTTCGTGCAATTGTTCGCGATTATCACCCTTTATTGAGGTTTTAAATGATTTTTTCAATGATTTTTTTTTGGAAATGATTTTTTTTCAGCTCAGTTAAATTTTTGTATTTAAATTGAAAATAAATTTCTAACTGCGACTTCAGTTTTTATTTTTATCATTTTTTACCTTTAAGAATATTTCAGGTAATTTAATATAATCATAATTTGAATGAATTGTTAACGAGAATCATAGTAAATTAAATTTATCATTGCAGCTGCGAATTAGATTTGATGACTCAATTAGCTGATTGCAAACTTCATGATCAACGAAAAATTCTTGATGAACAACTTGATTTTCAAACACCAATTGGTGTATCATCAGCAACTTTCGTGTCAGAAGATGATTTCAAGAATACGAATGAAGTGAAATTTGAAAAAAAAGTATATTACATCGTCGGATTTTGGTTAATTATTGATCAAATATCAAAAAATTTGTTTTAATTTCCTCATTTGTCGTTTTTTGCTGAAATTGAATATAATAAATCATTATTAGATTTCACATGTAATTTACTCCACATTTTAAGTTTAAGTTGGTTCTGAATGCGGATACAGATAATATCATGATTTGTGGTGACGAATTAGATATGGCAGTTCAAAGTATTTGTAAAGAATATTTGGAGGATATCGTGAATATGAAATGGGAAATACGTCATGGTGCTGCGCTTGCAATTAATTCTATTATATCTTTTGCATTTAATCGGTATTTCAACCCTATAAAATTTTAATTTTAATAGTTTCAAATTGATAATTTTTTTTAGCAGGTAGCCAGGTTACCAGTAACAATTTTATAAATGCATATTGCCATATGCTTCTTAAAATCTATTTTGTGAAAATGTAGCAATTTTTTTTAATTGATTTATTTTCATCCAAAAATATGCCTCGTTTTTATGCTGAATTTAACTTTTCTTCATTTCATTTTCTTGCAGGCTTTCGGCTGAACTTATTGATTTATTAACTACAAAGTTATTTCATGTTTTGGCTCTGGATAATTTTATTGATTTTTCGTCTGGAAGGTACGGGATTTAGGAATATTTAGAGAAAATTTGACTGAAATTGAAAAGTTAAACTTTATAGTTTAACTTAGTGTATGAGTTAGCTAAAATGCGAATTGCAGAATATGAGAAGTAAAATTAAAATTCAAATAAATCATGGACAATCCAGAAATGTTTAGATCTGCTGTGGGACCTGTTCGTGAAGCTGTTTCATCTTGCCTATCGTCATTAATTATCGTTTTCAATTCATCTTCTCAATTTGTCAATCTTATTGCTCGGAATATCTCAGTACTTTGTAATATGACTGATGCTGTGCATCTGAGTGCTGAAAATAGTATGAAATCACTACTCATGAAGCAGGCAAAAAATTTTTTCTCAACTTGATTTTTGATTTCATGGATTCTCATTCACAAATGATCTAGACTGAGTAAGTTTTTTTCAGTTGTGGTTCCAACGGCAGGCTGGATTATTAATTCTGAAGTACCATTTTTCGGGTCCTTGTTATTTTTGGAAATTTGATGAATTTTATGGTTTAATAACGAAATGCTTTGATGATACTCATGACGAGGTTTTTTTTTGTAAAATATTGTGATTGATAATTTAGATAATTTTAAATTTTTTTAAATTTTTTTATCAATTCATTTCAGAAATGTTTAACAAATATTTAAGATTTGTTCCTCAGCGCTGTCCGCAATAACAGCTGTTTTTTGTAAGGGAAATCTGGTAAGAGAAGTTTCTGAAAGGCTGTCGAAAATCGAATATATTTTATATCATTTTATAGAAACCGCTTGCAACACGGAAAAACAGCAGGTGCATTTGTTTTCTTTTTTTCGTTTTATTCAGCGAATAACTTTTTAAAACAGTTGAGATTTTCGATGTATGTATAAAATTATAATTTATTTTATTAATTTATTTAGTTATTGGATATTGATACCACAATTGTCGATTTGCTATCACTTTTGCAAGTATGGCTATCAGGGAATGAATTACGAATATTACCGTATTCGGTTTCTTCAAATCTTTCTCACCTTATAAATCCAGTGCATATTACTCGGTCCAATAAAATCATTACCGTCATAGCAACATCGTTTTCTAGACAACAGTCAGTTGACGTTGGTTAATTTCAGTTATGAATTATGTGTTTTTCTGTTTTTTATATTGTGCACTTATCACAATCTGACACTTTTTAAATGGTTATCAATGACTAGTGCCAATAAATTCAGAAAATCAGTTTTTTGGAGAATAGTATATTTTGAAGGATAATGGTGTGGAGTTCGAAGAATGTGTTATTAAAGTGCTTTCTTCAATTTTTCGCTTAGTGTTGTTTGTCGCTGCTCAGGGCACTGATGATCTCATTGAACTTTGTATTAATTGTGCTGCAATTATTACTCGGCAATTTTTTGCAATAGGACGCCTGCCAAATGCACTTGTTGAAACAATTGGACGATGGTGTTCATGTTTATTATTGGATGCTAAAGATGCTGAGATCGGTTATTCCTTTTATTCATTTCAGTTTAATTCAGTTCTAAGCATATGCTAGTTTTTTAAATAAATACTTTGGATTTCGGATTATATTTATTTTTAGCCATTCTTTAACCATTCTTTTATTAAGACTTGTTTTATTGAATCTTACCTATTTTATTCCTGCTTAACACATACCATATGTTTAAATCCACAAATTTGACCACTGTTCTCTTTATAACTTCTGTCTAATAATTAAGGAAGGCTGCTTAACTATAATTTTCTTCGTTGAACTCAGAGAAATTTTAGATTAATCAGAATTTTAATATTTTTTTTTGAAATAATGCTTTTTTAGATCTTGTAAAATATAATGTAAGCGTGGACAAATCGAACAATGGAGTTCAATTGCTATGTGGTTATGAAATTCTAACTCTCAATGATATGGATCGAATAAATGCTTTAATATTACGTAAACTGCAGATCTCTCGTTTTTTTGCGCCATTAATATCTACTATATATAGCTTTCCTTCCAGGGTACATTAATATATAAATATATTTTTCAGATAATTTATTTATAACTGATGATGGAATTTTTGAATTTTTAAATGGTAAAAAGAATAAAGAATAAGAATAATAATATTTTCTGAATTCGATTTTAAATAGCGGTATTTTTTATTATCGAGAGAAAATTCTGTTAGAAAAAAGTAGCTTGATATCTCTAAGGTGTTCAAGCCAGATGCTTCATCTATATATAAATCTTATTTTTTTACAGATTGGTGATCAATCCTTTAATCAAGCTATTCAACTTCTTATTCTTCCTATGTTGAAATCTCCGCTAATTATGCATCGACTTGCTGGTTCCATTATCGTTTACAGCTGGTTTACTTTTAATTGGTCAGTTTTTGTATTTATTTTTGTAAATTCATTAGGATTTATATATTTCTTTCTTTCCTGGTTGTTTCATTTATTTATTTGATATTTGTGATACATTAATTATAGTTCATTTATTCGTTTTTAGTTATTTATATTAATTTATTAATTATTAATTTTTATATATTTGTTTTAAATTTCGGATATGTTTCAATGTTTTTTGGTGCCCATTTTTGTGAAATTTCTTGTTTTTTTTGAAGGCTTACCGGTTGGAACCACGATCCTCCATTTCTACTTATTACTCATATACAACAAATGGTAATCAGTGGTCCTGCAACATATGTCGATGAAAAATTTTTTTTTCATTATTTGGAAAATGCTTACAAAGAATTTGTTCAATATTGTAGAAAGAAAGGAGTTGAACAACATAGGATATTAGAAATTGAAGAACATGGAGAAAGTATCGATAGCAATGCGAGGTAAATTTTTTGGCTTCGTATGCAAGGCAATGTTTTCCACTGATTTTTTCATAACTAATATTCAGTATTTTCAGTAAACTATTTGATATTTCTTCGGCTATAATCAAAGAAGAGCACGATCGAATTGTTTTAAATTCACGATATGAAGGTTTTAAGGATGCTTTAGCTAGAGCTAATGCGATTATGACCGCAAATATCACGTATGTTTTTGAATTATGTAATTTTTTCCTTTTGTTCCTTAACTCTAATGTTATCTTAAATCACGGAAAATAAATTTACGTAGTTTTAATGAATATCAGGCATCTCAATCAATTTTTTTAATTCTATTATTTAGCATATTTTTAGGCGTATAAATGCTCTGCTCGTTTCTTCTTTGCTAATTGTTTATCCGAGAGTAGTTTTGGAAACTCCGACATTGAATCCATTTATTAAACCACTAATGGAACTGTTGAAGTTTGAAGAAAGTAGTTATATAGCTAATTATATACTCAATTCTATGTCTATACTTTTTCGAATGACTTCAGGTGAATTTTTTTTGTTCTGTTCAGTTTTGGTTTTTTGCTTGATGTTGTACTTGATGTTATTTTTTATATTATTATTTGCTTGATGTTATTTTTTTAAATTTAGAGAAGTTTCTTCTATATAGGTTTATCTATTATTTATTTATTATTTATTTTTTATAAAAAGAATTTTTTTCAGAGCGATGTCCAAGTCCTCACATAAAAATGATTAAGCAAATAGTAATCAGTTTAACTTCTTGCCTCAATCGACAAGCAGGATGGTATATATTCGCATTAAATTTTGCTTATTTTAGTCAATTAGGCTTTGAGAAATTTTTTAAGTAAGATTTCGTTACTTTTTAAATTTAAGAATAGAATTAAATTTAGTGAAATAATCTGGTTAATGGTTCTATTTAAAGGGAGGATTCTTTATTATTGTCTTCAAAGTCAATCAGATCAAGTTCAGCAAGGTCTCAAAATGCAGAATTCGTTCTTCGTACTCTCATTGCTCAGTCCACTATTTCTAATTTTGATTTTTTACTTGATTTTAAGAATCGCGAAAGTCCTATGGTTAGTTAATTGATCTTAATTAGAAAATTTACAGTAAAAATTTTCTGCCTTATATTTTTGAATATTTGTATTTTCTCTTAGGATGTAACGATGTATATGTATGCATATAGTATATATCTGGATGAAATTCGAAAAAATCGTTTGTCTTTACCGTCTGATCTCGACAATTTGCTGGTTGAAGCAAAAAAATTTTTAATTTGTTAGTTTGCTTTAAAATATTTGAAATTAGCAATGTTATCATTTTCTTTCTCATACGGTTCATTTATTGGCTCGAAATCCCTGTTATAAATACATCCACTATTGCTAAACAGATATTCTTATTCAGATACTTTATCTATAATTTTTTTGCAGCTAATGATATATTAGTAAGGTTTTCTGCGATTCTCTGCTTAAAAGAGATGGCACGACTCGATGGTAAACTCAGAAAAGTGCTCGAATTGATTATCTTACCTTTACAAGATTCATTACGTAAAGGAGAATTATCGGAATTTGCCCGCGCTGGTCTTATTGAATTAGTTTATTTTCTCAGCGAACTTAATGTAGAGGTGAATTTATCGGTACTCTCGTACAAACTTATTTTATTGTAATTTAAAAATTGAAAACTTAACTGACTTAAAAATTTAAATATATTTAATATTTATTGTTCATTTTTTTAACTCACTACTGTAGTTTCTTCGAAGAAGTTCAAGTTTGAATTTCATTTATTTTTCAGATTTTAGGTGCATTACGCATTTTAGCGCCTCTTTCTTTGCGACTTATGGCTGATAAGAATGAAGAAATTCGAGAAATTTCAGCGAACGCTTTTCGCAATTTGGTTCCTTTAATGGCACTAAAATTAGTTCGATCTTTTAAATTTTTTCTATTTTTCATCACGAGCTATTTGAGTAAAAATGATTGAACTATAATATTTATTTATAATATTAATATTATTTATAATATTCAGATTTTTATATTCATATTCTATCCAAATTATATGAGATTTTGGAGATTCGTGTTAGACAAATTCGTAATTTAGTGAAGACAACTTTAGAAATCTTTATATATTTTATTGAAATTTCTATTTATCTTTTATAGAATGATTCTAAAATTAATTTGTCCTCAAACGATGTTGCGGATGAAGGGTTGTGCGATTGCTCCATTGATTTATTACTAGGTGATCCATCTCAACTTCCATCGACTGCAATTGAAAAAATTCCTGGTTTGAAGGCCGATGTTGTCCTTCGCCATTACCAGCAAGTAATGATTTTTATTCTTGTTGCAGTATATGAAATAATATGAAATTTTCAAATATATCTTATATCTTAATATCTTTTTTTCAGGAAGGAATTTGTTGGATGTCATTTTTAGAAGAAATGGGTCTTAATGGAATACTTGCTGATGATATGGGCTTGGGAAAAACTCTTCAAACTTTATGTTTACTTGCTGTCAAATTGCAAAATAATCCTTCGACTAAGGTTTTCGAAATATACTCAATATACTCACTAATTTTGTTTTAAGTGGGTTTTACATATTTTCAACGGATAAAAAAATAAGTCTTTTTAAATCATTAATTATTTGCTCATATTTCTAGAATGCATTTAGGTTTTGATCGTTTGTCCTCCGACACTTGTTAACCATTGGTGCTACGAGTGGTCTGTATACTTTCCTACATTAACACCGCTTTATAAGGTTGATGAAGGAATGAAAGAACGGCAAGAATTAATTATGAAAGATGGTTATCAAATTACAGTCGCTTCTTACAATACAATACGCTTTTATGCGTATTTTCAGTTAGAATTTTTTCAGTTATATATAAATGCTTTTTTAATATTTTTTCATATTTCATTTTTTAATATTTTTTCAGAATTTGTTTTGCGTTATTTTAGAGAGATAGAATGGTATTATGTTATTCTGGATGAGGGCCATGTTATCCGAAATCCCGCAACTCAACTTTTTAAAGCTATAACTTCTCTTCACTGTCGAAATCGTCTTATCCTCTCTGGTACTCCAGTGCAAAATACACCTGCTGATTTGTGGGCTTTGTTCCAAGTAAAATATTTAAATCATGAAGAAATGAATGAATAGTTCGTTTTCTCCTCGAGAAGAAATTAAGAGATTTACGTTGCTTTACCCTTTTTTCAATTTTATTCCATGTATAAATTTTTACTTTACGGTTTTTTTTGCCAGAGAATTATTTTCGAATTTTTATTTTTATATCTTCACTGGCTGATCTTTTCCATCTTTTGTTGCAGTTTATAATGCCTGGTTATCTCGGATCTTTGAAACAATTTAGGATATCTTTTCTCAATTCGATTAATGCATGTAGAAGTGCAAACGCATCAGATAAAGAAATACAGGTTCAAATAAATTTTTTTGAAGGATAGATTTTTTAAATTGATTTAGAATTTTAGAATAAAAATAGAATTTGAAGGCATATTTATTTTTAATATTTTCAATTTAATTTAATATTAATTAAGCTTAATTTAATATTAATTTAATTTGTTTTAGGATGGTCAAGAAGCTTTAGAACGACTGCATAAAGCAGTCCTGCCATTCGTTATGCGTCGATTAAAGATGGACGTTCTCGACGATTTACCTGAGAAGATTGTTCAAGACTATACATGTTCAATGACAGATATTCAAAAAGAATATTATGAGCATATTGTTAGTCTGTGTTATATGGGCAAAGATACTGGTTATCGTGAAGGATTAACTGCTTTAGAAACGATTTCAGAATTGCGTAAATGTATAGTGCATCCAGCTTTAGTCAGTCCGAAGGCATTAAAGAGGTTTTTCGCTAAATAATTATTTTTTTTAGTTTCGCTTATTTTCTAAATCATTTTTTAAAAATGATTTTAGAAATTGATTTGACTGTTTTTGTTTTTTATTGTTCGTTTTTTCGTAAATGTTGAAAATTTCTAGTGATTGTGGAGTACTACTTAAAATTGTTGAAGAGTCTGGCAAATTAATCGCATTACGAGAGCTCCTTCGAGAATGTGGCATTGGTTGTCAAGAAAATGATGAAGATAACGATGAACTATCTGCAGGTTTTTCAAGAGATTTTTTAAAATTTTTTCTTCTTGATTTCTGAAGTTTTTTATATTTTTATTTTTTTAATTTTTTTTATTTTCAGATATTAATATGAATATTCGTAATCGCCGCGCTCTTATTTTTTGTCAGCGGCTCTCAACTGTTCGTCTTATTTGCGAATTCTTCAATTCTGATCAACTGGGCATGAATATAAAGTTTGAATTCCTGATTCAGAAATTGGCAATTTGCATTGGCAATATTATATTTCACTTCGATGGTTTTCTTAACAGAAGATTATGAAATTAGCGATTTTTCATTGATGATAGATTCAATATTATTTCTAGGTATGATGTACTCGATGGCAGTGTTCCTATAAATCATCGTCATTTTGTTGCTGAAAATTTTAATCGGGATTCAAGTATTGAAGTTTTGGTGCTTTCTACTGTATGTTTTTATACGATTTTTTTCTTTTGACGGCAATCGCAGTTTCTGATAGGGCTGGTCTTATGAACTAATAGAATGAATTCTTTTCGCTTGGAAAGTGAGCATTCACTATTTCTGATTAAACTAGCTGCTCTGACTGTTGGTACGGTTACGATTTTTGCCAGAGATAGAAGTTGACAACAGTGCATAGATTTTTTAGTGGTTCTCAACATGACAGAAGGCTCTTAATTATTTTATACTATTTTTCCTCCCATCAGGCACTCATTTGATGGTAAAAGTACTGGTAGATTCTTAACATCATTTGGATATTATTTATAATAGCAGATTTACTCACATTAAGGGACAGTCTTTAAGCAACATATCATACGAATATCTAAACACATTTTCAGCTATATTTATAATTTACAATCTATTTATTTATAATTTTTTGATCATCAGTGATCATTTAGATTGGTGGTGAAGGTCTAAATTTGGTTGGAGCTGATGTGGTGATATTCGTGGAACATGACTGGAATCCTGTGAAAGATTTGCAAGCTATGGATCGAGTGCATCGCCTAGGTCAGAAGCGTACGGTCAATATATATCGTTTGATTACTGAGGCATCTATCGAACAAAAAATAATGCGTTACCAGAAGTTTAAAACAGATACGGCAAATGTTAGTGATATTTACAAATTTTTTAGCTTTTATATGAATCGATAATTTCCATGGTTTTGAGGTACTTATCACTAAATTCAACTTTTCTAAATCCAGGCATTAGTCGGTGCTGATAATCGCTCGTTAAAAACTATGGCAACTGAACAATTAGTGGAACTATTTGCCGTAGAACCTTCTAAAATGCATAATTCGACCAAATCAATTTCTTCATCATCTTCACAGAAGCCTTCAAAAAAGAAAAATCGAAGGAATGCACAAAGTGATATGGACCAAAAGTTTGACTTAGAAGAACTCTGGGACCAATCACAGGTTTTCGTTTTTATTTCTTTTTTTTTATGGTTTACTCTTATCTTTGTATTACACGTCAATTACGATCGCAGTTTTATAGCAAACGTTAATTGCAGTATGATTGCTTTGATGTTATAAATCTAGCTACAAGCTCAACAAATTATCCGCAGGCAGCACCTTCATTTATTTCATCAGATGAGCCGTTAAATAAGAAGCCGCGTGACGTGTGATTATTCTATTAAATTGAGTTGATCTATTAATTTTCATTCCTTTATTGTTTTTCACATTAATTGAATATTTGATTTTATTTTTTCTTTTTCATAAATTCGCTATGTTTAATAATCCTTTTTATGATCTACCTGATCATATTATAGATTTTATAAAAATTCTTCTTAAAAATATCGAATATAATTTCATTCAGCCAGCAAATGAAATGAAAATAATGGAACGAGAATTAATCTTATAGATTTTGCCTACCACAGTAATTAATAATTAGAAATTTCTCAAAAACCAAGAATTATTTTAAAATATAAGCGCATTTTAAATTTATTTTTTAAAAGTCCATAGTAAAATCCATATAAATTGTCAAATATCTCAAAAATCACTAAGTTATTAAAAAAAAAAAAGGGTTAAAGAATATTTCGGAAAATTGTTAATAGTTTTTTTTTTTAATCTTAAAATAAAATTTATATTTGAGGGTTATTCGGGAAGTGTTGCTGCTTCAATAATTTTTTCGCAATAGAGAGAGCATCATCGGTGCAGATTATTCCTTAAATTGATACTTAAATTGAGGGCTTCTCAGCTTATTTTTTTCGCATTTTCGCGTATTCTATTGTGAGGTTTCAGACCTCTTTTTCAAGACGTCATGATAGTTCATCGTTCCAATGGTTCCATTTGCTATTAATTGGTTCCAATTTGTGATATATAGCCGATGCGGTTTATATTAATAATTCCCGTGCAAATTTATAGATGAAACGATGAAAAATTGTATAGCGAAAAAAAAAAAATTTATCGAGAAAATCAACCAAACCAGTCAATGCATAAAAAATTTAATTTTAAATGAAAAAAAGTCTCTATTTAATCGATTTTCAAAAATTTAAAAATTTAGAATATTTCAATATTGGCAATTTTTTATTTTCTGAGATTTTTTATAGATAAAAGGGTTTGTTTGATTTTTCATGGTTTTTTTCCAGGCTTTTCTTAGAACTTTTTTTTAGAAAAATTAGTAAAAAATCACATTCTTCTTCTAATGGCTCTCACCATTACTGGTTAGGTTGACTCCGCTGGCTACAAGGGTAAGGCGTTTTCAAGCTGCTCGATCCGACGCCGTTGCTAGTGTAGATTATTCTTTCCATTCCTTTTTCCATCGTATCCATATATTATTGGTCCACCTATACGTTCAAAATCTTTTCTGACCAGTCCAGGTCTTGATTGGCTTATCTCGCCACTCATCATATGGTTTAGCAAGTAACGAAATACGCGACAACTCTTATGGTGGACGACGGAGAATATGCCCTAACCAGCGAAGGCGACGCTTTGTGATAACGTTATTAAAAGAAGTGGTAGTTGAACGAAGATGGATACAATCATGTGCGATTTTATCCGCTCGACTTCTGATCTTTAAAATATATCGTATTGGATTTAATTCAAATAAATATTGAAAATTTTCATTTTCATTACAATTATTTAGAACAATCTTATAAATATTCATTCAAAATTTTTCTTTTAATAATAAAATATTAAAAGAAAACAAAAAAATTAATAAAATTTATATATATTAAATTTTTGAAGAATTAAAATACTTTAAAACTTGTGGAATTTTTTGGAATCGTATTCAATCGAAATCGTTAGTTTTAAATTTTACACGATGAATTAGATTTTTTGTCGAAACAATATATTTAATAATAAATATTATATTAAATAAATAATAAATAATATATTTCCATATTATTGCTACATTACTGTAAATGATTTTTTTTCTTAAAAATTAACGGTTAGTGAAATGCTTTTCTGTAGTTTTTATTCATTTTCAATAAAATAATTTAGACTTGTTTTTCATGAAAAGAAATTTTTATTGCAAATTTTTTAGTTTTTTTCTCTTACATGATTACTTTGATTGGTGGCACGAGTCGATTTGACTGATAAGAATTTGTCGAATATCCACATATCATTTATCATTATATCATTGATAATGTTTGACGATTCGCTGAAATAAGCAGAGTAAATGATGTATTTAATTCACGAATTTTAAGTCGCGATAAAAGTAGTACAAGTAAAATCAATTCCAATTCAAGCGACAAGCAAGGACGATCAAAGATGATCGCATATGCTTTTACGGATTTTCCTTAACATTCACCAATGTATATGAAACAAAAGAATCAAAATCTAACAATGTAAAAGCAAATAATATAATAAAGAGGAATTACCGAATAATTCAGGTCAAACTGAATATATTACTGATAAATGATAACTGATACATGATCAGGTGGATAAAAGATAAAGATTTCAAACTTCATAATGTGAACTCTTTTAAATAAGATTATGGATGATGTTGCGCCTTTTTTTTAAAAATGCCTAAGGATGGTGCACAAACTACGCCATTCAGCAATTTATTCCGGTGACTAATGGTGCGAATGGTTTAGTAATTTTGCATATAGTTTTTAATAATTTTAGCCTATTAGATCATGTTAGATTAAAATTCAACATAAAATTGTAATATTTTGAATAATTTGATTTGTCATAGACATATAGAATTTTATTTGTATAAAATAACTTCTTCTGTAACTTCTTCTGCTAAATTCGACAAAAATTAGAGTGAGTCGAAGTTGAGGGATTATGCTTTATAATTGAAATTGCTATTAGGTGAGAGGCAACGATTTGTGAAGTATTTTTTGGAGTTTGGAGTTCTTCAATTAATTTAATTAGTTTGCGATATTCGGAAGAATAATAGATTGCATAATATTTTAAGAATTAGCCAAAAAATACTTCATTGTAGTTTTTATTTTGATTTTTAAGTGATCGGAAAATTTAAAATTTAATATTCTTGAGGATTTCATTTTTATGGTTCAGCAAGCAGTGAAGGCTGAAAATCAAGATTCTCATCGACGACTATGAACCAATTATCTGAGAATTCAAAGGCAAAATGGTGATGATAGAAGTGAAAATTATGGTTCATGTGAACATTTTCAACATTTTATTTTTATATGAAGAAAATAAAATTTAATTGCTAATTGTTTTTTTTTTTAAATTTGGATATTTCCCTCAAATCATCAATCTTTATTTTTTCTTTATTTTGAAATTTTTTCGAAGTTTTCCAAAAATTTAAAGCGACATTTCTGAATTTATCGGCGAAATAAACAATATGATTTAAGCGATAATTTTAATCTGATAATCTAACAATGTTTCATCAGTGAAATAATAGTGGATAAATAGTGGATAGCTCTTTTTTTTCTCTTATTTTTTCCTAAACCATTTCACCATTTTTACTATTGGTAAGCCTTGTTGTATAAAATGCGTTCACCAGAGACTAACATGAGTATGAATGAAAAAAATTTAGATATTCGTCACCGCTACCCACATTTCGCTCTTATTGTTTTATTCCTATCAGGTAGCGAAAATTGGATCAATTTTGCTTATCAGTAGAAATAACATATAACTCGGCCAATCTATTTCGATGAGAAACTCAATGTTATCATAATTAATTAATTAATTAATTTTATATAATAAGATCAAAGTTTTATTTTTAAATTTTTCTTATTTAAATTTCCTTAATTTGATTTTATCAGTTGATAAAATTGATTATAATAATTTCTTTTTTTCGCTTTCCAGGCTTTTTTTAAAGTAATTTTTCAATAAAAAATAGATACAAAATTTATTTACAAATCATAAAATATATTATTTAAATTATTTTAAATATATCAACGTTGCATAAAGTAATTTTTAAAGTAATCTTTGTCATTAAAGTTATCATAGATTTTGGTCGAAATGCCTTTTAGAATGTCGAAATTAAAAAATTAGCCTAAATAAAATTTGAAAGCGAAGATTTATTCATAAAATCTAATTAGTAGTGTAGTTAGTTCAATAAAAAATCACAATATTCTACCAAGAAAGAATGCCAACGCGAATTCATCAAAATTGTATGGTTATGGTTTACAAACTTGAAATATTTATATGCATGTGCCATTTATAAATGTGGAATCTCCTTTCCTGTCAAATTAAATTGGTAGCCGAGTGGTCGAATCTCAATATTTTATTGATTTTTTATTTTTTAATTTTTAATTATTAATATTTATTAATAAATTAATAAATAAATAAATTATTTGTTTATTTATATTTATTTGTTTTTATAACTTTATGGTAGTATTAATTGAAATTCTTTGTCAAGCAGAGAGCTATCCATCTACCTTATGAACTTAATAATTTTTATTGACTTTCCAAATAAATAAATCTTATAAGTTTGTTAAACTTTTTCCTTATCATCCATAGCCATGCGTAGATCGATCATTTAACTATCATTTAACTATTCAAAATTTTCTCTTGCCATATCAATTTGAATTTTAATGATAATTTATTAAATTATGAAAAATTTTATGCCGTAAAATTTTTTTTCACATTAATACTTTCACACATTTTATTTGTTGTGAAAATCCATATTTATTTTATCACAGTAAGCATAAAATTTTTTATGAAAAAAGCACTTAAAAAAAGAAACGAAATAATGATAAATAATGATAATAAAATAAGATCGTATAGATTTTAGTCATTTAAATTCTATTAAAGAATAGTTGTTAAAAATAAGTTTTACGAAGATTGACGGGATTATTTTTTTTCTTTTTTTTACAAATCTTGTTATAATTGACATTTCCTTAAAACCCTATCCTCTTAATATTCCTTGAAATATTGATGTATTATTATGTCGGATATGCCAAATTCCTAGAATTGGCAGCGATATATTCCAATAGTGGTGTACTTATTTCGTATACACCGAAAGAGCGCAAAAAATATCTTCATGATTTGAGAGAGCATTCGAGGCTTTCCCTTCTAGACAGAATTTTGAGCAGTGCTTCGAAAGATTTAGGAGGTTGTACTGGATTTAAAGGATATTGCCACCAGACTGCATCAAGAAGGAATAGTTAGAGCTGGGTGAAAGGTCACAAAGAGTAATATTCGATTTTCAATGTCGGCTTATTATCTAAAATTACAGCGTTTTCCTAAAATTGCGAAGAATTTT